AAAAATCTTAATTCCAAATTCGAAGTAAGCTGTTAAATATTTTTTATCCATAGTCCATATAATATTACTTATAATTTATGGTTATAAAATAGATCCCTCTTTACATCCTATATCAGCACTGCTCTTTACTTATTTTGCTGATATGTCAGTAGTGATTTCAGCTTAACACAATAAAGTTTATTTAGATACTGAAACAGTTGTTTTATTTCTTTCTTTTTCACCTTCTTCTACTAACCATTATGCAGCATTTTGCATATCATTTTTATTCAAATTCAATGCTTTACTAATCTCTGCTTTACTAAAATATCCTTAAAATGATTCATATAATTCAGCCAATAATTTTTTATCAGATTCTTCTTCATTTTATACATTTCCTGTTGGTTTATTTAAATCAAATTCAAAAAGAATGAAATCCATAATCTTGATTGTATTATCAGCTGGTTGATGTTCAGCCTCTTTTTTCTTTTATTATCTAGGATTAGAAGCTGCAGGTTCTTTTGTAACTTTTGCTGGAGCTCCTTCTATTTTAGTTATATTTAGTTTTCTTCCTATAATAAATAATTTCTCTCCATCTGTAACCAATGGATAATTTTTATTTATTGCTTACATTTAAGGATGTTAAAATAATTCTGGACAATGTAATGTCATTTAACTTAAAGTTTAAAATGTTTCAGGACATATAATATCCAATGTTCCATTCTATTATTTCAAATATAATTTATTCTAAAGAAATACCCATTAGACATCATCTTGTTTTTTTATTGGTTAATGTAGATATATCTTACCAGCAATAGTTCCACCCTCTCCTGTTCCAACTTTATACATACCACCTACTGGGGAACTTACTAAAATATACAAATAACATTATGAGGATGTCATTGTCATTTAATGATAATTTAATTTTGTAAATTGCTATAACTATGTAATTGTAAATCCTCCTTAATCACATAATGATCTCATATAATGTAAATGATGACTCTTTTATTGCAATCTTGGTAATTTTATAATTTCTCTTATATTTAAATCACAAAGACTCAAAATCTACTTAAATGTTCCTACTCTTAATGCATAATCTATTAAAATCTTTGACAATTATTTATGATCAATCTCTTTTACTAATCTTTGTAAATTCTTATCAATGATCTATCTAGAGTATTCTGGTTCATAAAATAAAGACAATAACTCTTATTTGCATAATGATTTGTGAAAATCTTCCAATCCCCAAGGCCATCTTGTTGGATTTGATTATAAAGCTGAACAACTTGTCACTCCTTAACATTATTTAAACACCTCTTATGAACACTCATGATCTAAAATTACAGATTCTTCTTCTTACATTATGCCATTACAATTGGTTTCTCTATTTTGCTCTTATTGATCTTATTTAACATCATACTGGCTCTGCTAAAGTATTCATTCTTAGAGTTCAAAAGACTCTCTGTCAAATTTCGAGATGAATGCTGTATTAAATTAAAATAATCTTATCTATTCTAATTACAATACTTCACTACCTTAATTTAATATATGCTGATCTCGTAAAGTCAACTTGCTCTAGAAATGCATCAAACCCAGAAACATCTTCACTTTTAGTTAAAGACTTTTCTGATAATCCATCTGTTTCTTTCATCGATAACAAATACAACCAATCCAAATTCCCAATCAATAAACTAGGATCTAAGAAGCTAAGTGATGTGCTTGGAATATGTTGGGGAAAGCTCATTAAATTTATTTTTTTTTTAATATTAAAACATCACCATCATTTAATTATGGATATCAAATATCTTTATAAACTATGATGAATAGGAATATATAAATATCTATCACAAATGTCTCAAATAATTATTTAACATATACAAATATCTATACACTTTAATTATTATAATATCAAATAAATCTGCCCTTATTATTTATTCTAATCTCCTTCAAAACGCTTCAAACATATCTAATCATAAAAATTTCATTAATTGACTATTACAATATAACCATATCCTGATTTTTATTAAAAATCATATGAATAAGTTTATGATGTTTAAAAATCTATTCAGAAAGTTCCAAAAAAATTTATAAGAATCGTAATTATATTTATTTATCAATTCATATTTACTTAGTAAGTTTTATATTATATTTGAAATCAGTTTGTTAAAATATTAGATTAAAATTAGTTTATTCAAAGTATTCCTTATATATTTTTCATTTTTTTGTTACTTTAAATATTTTCATTCTATTTTGTTTCTGTTAGTCTTATAACTAATAGTTATCAACTTACAAATACTAAATATCAATCTAATTCATAAAATCTTAAATAATATGTTTTTTTGCGCCAAAAGTATAAATTGTGGCAAAGTTGGTATACAAAGTTTTGTTAATAATAAAATAAATTAAACTAAATGAACCCATAAGATGCGCCATAACAGGATTTAATTTACAGAGACTTCCTTGAAAGATTTCTTAGTAACATAGACATTGCACAAATTGAAGCCATGAGATAACAAAATAAAATTAGATTTCCAATTAATTTAGATCTATTGAGATAGGAATCGAGATAACAATATCCAAACTTGTAAATACATTATATTTATATATAATATAGAGTTGATGATTTGATTAGAAATCCTACTGATTTTATCAGAGTTTTCTAACAGAAATTGAGTTAAATATGCAAACAATTATAAGATTAATAAGATGATGATGATAAAAAGGGAGTGTAGACAGATAAAACATATAAAATCTATTTTGAAGGTAAATTAGGAAAGAATTACGTAACCCCAAGAGGTTTGGGAGCTGCATAAATAAATTAATTAGTTTGCACATAAGCTATAGTAACTAAGATGTCCTTGGTTTTATTAAAACTATAGAAATCAGTCCACTTTATAGAGAAGAAAAACTAATTCAAATAGGTTGAATACTTTAATAATATGGATCCAAGTGCTAGGACATCATCAAGATAAGTTAGAGTAGTATAAAAGAAAGATGAAGAAGGTAATCCAATGATTTTTGAATTTGGATTAAGTGATCTTAATGACATGTAGACATTAGTAGTATAAGAATTGCCAGAGAGAACTCCAACAGGAATGTTACCAAGATCTTTAGAAGTTATTTTAGATTAAGATTTAGTTGATAGAGTGAAACCAGGAGATAGAGTTGAAGTATTTAACATAAAATAATAATAGATTACTGGTGTATATAAATGTATTTAAAATTCATCAACAAAGGCAAATGGAACATTCAGAACTACTTTAATTGCATAAAATATAAAAGTAATGAATGCTGTACAAGAAACTAAAATATCAGAAGTAGATATCAGACACATCAAAGAAATATCTAAAAAGCCAAGTATTATATTAAATTATTGTAAGATCTTTTGGAATACATGTCAAAATCTATAGCTCCATCTATATTTGGACATGGAATAGTTAAGTAGTCAATTTTGTTACAGTTGTTAGGAGGAACAGAAAAGAATTTAGAGACAGGTACTCATTTAAGAGGAGATATAAATATTCTTTTGATAGGAGATCCATCAACTGCTAAATCTTAATTACTTAGATATGTAATGGGAACTGCTCCTTTGGTAGTTACAACAACAGGTAGAGGAACATCAAGTGTTGGTTTAACAGCTGCTGTTAAAAGAGACAATGAAACAGGAGAAAATAGTTTAGAGGCAGGTGCCATGGTTTTAGCAGATGGTGGAGTTATTTTGATAGATGAATTTGATAAGATGAATGAAATAGATAGAGTAGCTATACATGAAGTAATGGAATAACAAACAGTTACTATTGCAAAGGCAGGAATACATTGTTCATTAAATGCAAGATGTTCTGTTTTAGCAGCTGCAAATCCTCTTTATGGTGAATATTAATTAGATATGGCACCAACTAAGAATATTGGTTTACCAGATTCTTTATTGAGTAGATTTGATTTATTATTTATTATATTGGATGAAAAGAAAAAGGATATTGATAGAAAAGTTGCTGAAAGAGTTACAAAAAATCATAGATATAAAGGATAATATGATGAAGAAGAAAATATTGGAGATATTATATAACCTATGGCTTAAATGAGTATTAAATAAGAAATTTCACCTTTTGTACAATAATCCGCTGTATATCATTCAAATGATCAAAAAGACCTTTTAACATAATCATTCCTTAAAAAATATATTATGTATGCAAAAGAAAATTATGCAAATGTCATTTTAGATGATGAAGCAGCAGAAGAAGTGACTAGATAATGGACTAAAATGAGATAAAATGATTTATTAGAAAAATAAATAAGAACTTAACCTATTACTATTAGATCTTTAGAATCATTAATTAGATTGGCTTCTGCTCATGCTAAATTAAGACTATCCAATATAGTCACTAAGGCAGATGTAAAAATAGGAGCTAAATTAATGAAAATCTCATTGTAAATGGATTAAGAGGAAGAAGTTGAAGAAAATAAGAAACCAAGTGGAAGAAAATCAAGTTTATAAAAACTTAAAAGTGAATAACCCTTATCTGCTGGAAGATAAAAAATTGAATCTGAATAACCTAAATAGGAGGAACAAGAAAATCAATTAATTGTAAAGAGTGATAAGAAAAAATAAAAATAAGATGATCCAAAAGATAAGGAAGCTGAATTTCATTTATATTTACAATAGGCTCATTCATAAAATATTACAAGAGATTAATTAAAGGCTGTACATAAAGTATTGAGAGATTTCAAAGAAAAAGTATTTTATTATCATTTATAATAGCTTCATCAAGATGTTGTTGATATTGATATTATTTGGGGAGAACTTTAAAGTTAAAGTAGAATTATTATTGCTGACTATTTATAATTTTTAAAATGCCTTCTGGAATTGGATAAACAAGAAAAAGTCTAATTTGATGATAAGAAAAGAACTGTGTAGTTATTATGATTTTGGATTTGTTTTTTTTCAAACAAATTTAATCTATTTTTCTTTCAAACTCATTTCCTTATATCACATTAAAATTTATATCTTTTTTAAAAAAAATATATAATGGCAGACGTCTAGACATAAAGAGCATTCCAAAAGCAAGAAGGTATCTTCTAAAACTCAAAAAAACTTTTGGCTAAGAAAACATCAAAAGGAGTTAGATATTGGAAAGAAGTTGGACTTGGATTCAAAGTACCAAAGGATGCAGTTGAAGGAAATTATATTGATAAGAAATGTCCATTCACAGGAAATGTTAGTGTAAGAGGAGCCATCTTAAAGTATGATATTAATAAAACTATAAAAAAAGAGGAATTGTCATCTCAACCAAAATGACCAGAACAATTATTATCAGAAGAGATTATTTACATTATGTTGCAAAATACAATAGATATGAAAAGAGACATAGAAATGTTCCAGTCCATATCTCACCAGCTTTTGGACCAGTCAATGAAGGAGATATTGTTGTTTGCGGATAATGCAGGTATTTAATTCATTGATTTAAATTCAGACCATTATCAAAAACAGTTAGATTTAATGTTTTGAAAGTCATCCCTAATGAAATTATTGGTAACGTAAGAAAACAATTTGTTTTATTTTGATTTAATAATCAATAGTACATTATATAAAAATTGATAATTTTCTTCAAAATTTATTTTTTCAATCTTTAAATAATCTAAACCATTTAGAGTCTTATTAAGCTTAAGTATTTTATTCCTATTGAGTAATTCCAGGAGCTTTAACAACATCTTCATGACAATAATCAAAAAATCTTTCTGCTTCATGAGATCTATCTGGATCAAGCCCAATTAATAATAGAAAGTCAACAAATTATTCTTTAGTTACTAAATTTTTTTAATTAAATTTTATTACTAAATTTCTCTGGATTGGATTTGAAATTGAATTTCTTATGATCAGCCCATAAATTGAATAAAGTATTTAAATCATAATTCTGTTGATCCCCTTTATAAATAATTTTATTATATTTCCTGGCCTTTAACAAATGGTTAATGGTCTTAAAAAATTTGAATAAAAATTCTTTCATTTTCTAATAAAATATTGTACATTCTTTTTACTAAGTTTTTCAAATAAAATTCTTCTCTCTCCTTTTTATTCAATTTTTCTTTCTATTTATCCTATAATGGGACTTATTGTTATTAAATCACTTTAGCTGATTAAGGTCTTTTCTTTCCCTCTTATTTCATAACTTTATTAATTCTCAAAGATTCAACATGTGTACTCTTATCCCAAATGTCTGGGTGTTTCATTTAAGATTCTACTGAATTCTTTTTGAAAATCTTCTTTATATAAATATAAGGATTAGCTAGGTGATCCTACATTAAAGGCTTTTCTTTCTCTAACATTGGAGGAGGTCTAAGTTTAATATATATTAATTCGTACTTTAGTTAAATTTTGTTTGCCTATAAAACTAAATCGGCTTGAGGTTCAAGTAATGGATCCTCTGGTTTGGGTCTCTACTTTTATTTCATCCTTTAAGCATACCATTCCTATTCTTTTTATTTAGCTTCATTTTTAATGATTCTAGGATCTTCAAATTAATGTATTGGATTAATGATTCCCATCTGTAATTTTTATCTTTGGGATCCTTGAGTAGCTGTAATTTGTTTTGGAGGTACTTTTGCTTCATCTGAGAATACAGGAGGTCGGTTATTATAAACTTAAAGTAATTTTTCTTTTTATTCTTCGGGTGTCAACTTTGAATGTTCTATTCTTGCTTCTTTTTAATGTCTTGCATAAAGGGATAAATTCTAATTGGAATGAAGTTGGGAATTTATATTAGAGTATATATCAGACATTATTAATATTAATTCAATGAGTTAGTAAGAGGATGATGATATGAAACTCTTAAGTTGTAGTAATTGTGGAGAATATTACCCTAACTGTGGAATTATAGAACACTTATAAAGTTGTCTTTTAGAAGGCCCATAGGTTGATTGCAGATTTTGTGGAGAGATAATATTTTAGAAAAAAATACAATAACATCAATAGAATTGCAAGGCATTTGCATTTTAAGAATAAGAGGATGATGTTTGTGAATTTTGTTAAGAGAAAATATTTAAACAATTTAAATAAGACCATTATTTGGATTGCCCTTTGAAACAAGTTGCAGATACTTACTAATTTTAATCTACTCATGAATGTTCAATATGTTTAATAGATATTGGACCTTTAGATGAAAAAGGAATTCTATAATGTTGTCATATCTTCCATCAAAAATGTCTTTAAGGATGGCAACAAAAAAGTAAAGAATGCCCAGTCTGCAGATACAATTGAAAATATAAATCTTCTATTTGATAAATTTATACTTAGTTAATTTATTAATTTTCCATAGCCTAAAATTTCATATATTAGAACACATTAATTTTATTATTGAATGATACTTGAATGAAATATTTTCTATTTGTATCAATATAATAAATTTTAAGACTTACTTAATATAGAATAATAATAGAATTATAAATCATTTGAAAATATCTTCAATAGTTAAAATTGAGTTCAAAATTTCAAATAATTTTATAAATTGATAAAATTATTTTACTACCTTAATCAAATTATCTAATTCTAATCATTTTAAATCTTAAGCATTAATGTGAAAGCTCTATCATATTTCTATTTGCTAAGACAAAAATTATAACTAATTTAAAGCTTTATTACAAGATTTGACTAAACAAATTTTTGATTAAATTATTGTAAAAGTATGATATATATAATTTGGATGAATTATAAATGAGAGATATGAAATATATATATAATAAAAGTATGTATTTAATTTTAGACGCAAAAAATATTACATTTTATTTAATTACTCAAAAGAATAAAACTTTTAAAAAAGATGGATCTTTAGAATTAAAAACTTACTATAAAGTTAGAATAACATACTTTAGTTACTTATTTTTATTTATTTTTCTTAAAATAATCTAACATACTTTAACATTATTATTATACTAATTTATATTATTAATTGAACATGAACAAAACTATTGATTGTTTTGGGTAGAATATATTTTTCGATAAGTAGAGCAGACAATCTAATATTTAATGAAAGACCACTTACAATAAGTTAAATTAAATAAAATAGTCCCTAAAAACTTTGCAATCTCTCATTATTACTTGCATCTCAAAAAGCAAAAAGTAGCCAAAATAAATCCAGAAGATCCTTATATCAAGTCACCTTAAAAGATTAATACTATTAAACTAATGTTCCTACTAGATCTCCACCTAGTTAATAAATATAATTATAAAATTACTAATACACATCAAAATCAAGGAAATAGACAAAAAATTAATCCAGTAAATAATAGGGAACTAAATTTAAGACACTTCCTCTAAATGAATGCAACTATAGTGATATTTTAAAAAGAATAGAGCTAAAGAAATTAATGCTTGAAAAGATGTATCCCATCAAAGAGAAGTGTAAAACACAAACTTGTAGAACAGAGAAAACAGAAGAAAATTGTTAAACTTAGAAATTGCAAACTGAATTTAATGTTTAATCAAACAATAAAACTAAAAAAAACAAAGGAATTTAGACTTATAGACCACGAATTGGATCGTCATATAAAAATAATAGAATAATAAATACTTGTTAAGCCATGCCTCTGTCTTTAGGATTGAACATTGAAAAATGTAGAATTGTTTAGAGATTGAATCAATCACAATTCTCTGTTAGACCAATTTAAAAGAAAAGTTTATCAAATTGGAGTGCAGGATATAAAGATTAATAGTCATTGATATAAAAACCAATTGTTTAATAATTTTCTTTTAAGAAATAATCATCTATACCAATTGCAAAATGGGATCATTCTGATTTGGAGTATGATTGAATAATTGAAATGAAAAAACAATAACTGTTTGTATTATTATAAATAATTGTTTTAATACTAGAAAATTAGTAATTAATCTATAATATGAACAATATATGATTTCTTAAATTAATAATATTATTTATTTCTAAATAAGATCATAATTAATGCTATTACTTCTTTTCTAGATTTTTTTATATTATTGTTATAGAAATCTATTAGAATGATGGAAATTAATTAAATTATAGAACTGATTAATAGTATATCTCATGTCGGCAGTCAATAAATAAATGTATACATCTGTAATCATAATCATTTATCATAACAATAATAATTAATTACAACATCAAAATTTTAAACAAAAATTGTATGAAATTAAATAAAATGTAAACCTCATTAATTTTTTATTATTCAAACAAAAAATTCTTTGTTTAGATGATGAATTATCAAAGCCAATAGTTACTTAAAATAATAAATAGCAAAAATTATCTTTTTTCGATAGATGGAACATATTTTTTATTTCTATATATCTATTAGTTTGAATCATTATGATAAATGAAGAATGTACAATAATGATTATTAGATTTTCTATTTAAAGTAATATATGTAAATGTTAATTATAGTGATATTCAATCAGAGGATAAAGGTAAAAATGAATATCATAAAATAAATACTCTAAATAAAATAATGATTAAATTTATATATTGTGGTTACTTTATATTGATTTGAAAATTTTTCATAAATAAAAATCTTTTTTCTCTTTGAGAATGGGCGCATATAAGTATTTACAAGAGCTCTGGAAAAAGAAGCAATCAGATGTGTTGAGCTTCATTATGAGAATCAGAACATGGGAATACAGACAATTACCAGTCATCCACAGAGCAACTAGACCAAGCAGACCTGATAAAGCTAGAAGATTAGGATATAAAGCCAAACAAGGTAAAAGAGATAATGATAATGTTAGGCTATGTTATTTATAGAGTCAGAGTTAGAAGAGGAGGCAGAAAATTGTTGATTAGAAAGGGACTTGTCAAGGGAAAGCCCAAGAGTCAAGGAGTCAATTAATTAAAGCCAACTAGAAACCTTAGATCAGTTGCTGAAGAAAGAGTAGGCAGAAAGATTGGAGCACTTAGAGTTTTGAACTCTTATTGGGTTGCCTAAGATGGAACATACAAATATTATGAAGTCATCACAGTTGATCCATTCCACTCAGCAATCAGAGGAGATCCAAGAATTAATTGGATCACTTAACCAGTTCATAAGCATAGAGAATTGAGAGGTTTGAATGAAAATTAATATTAAAAGGTTTAACATCTGCTGGCAGAAAGAGTAGAGGACTTAGAGTTAAGGGTCATCGTAACAATCAAACCAGACCATCAAGAAGGGCTAATTATGCCAGAAGAAATAGAATTTCCCTTAGAAGATTTAGATGATGTTTTTTATTTTGCATATACTCAAGTACAAATTAACAAAAACAACACGATATAAAATTATTTATTTATGAACGAGATTGCCTATCCCTAGACCTAATTCCAAAGATACTCATCTCGCCAAATTAACAAGGTTACTTACTATTGTCAATCTCTGAATGCACCAGATAAGGATGTTTTAGAAAAGAAAAACCAAATATATAAATGGTAAGTGAGACACATTAATCAAGGTTGAGAAATTTGCCAAAACAACAATTAGAACAAGTATTATCCTTCACCTCTTATTACAGAGTTAATTCCTTTCAAAAGATGTTTAAATAAGATTAAAATTAACTTCATGAATATTGGGAATTGGATCAAAGTCCATTTGTAGTTGATGTAAAAATTAAATTAAATGAATAATATTATGTGAGAGAATGTAATAGAATAAATATGACTGATTAATGGAAATATGCATAATAAGTATTATATTGCACTTAAAAAAATAGTATATTCTTGATCATACATATATTTCAGATTATGAATGGCTTTTTGATACTATTACAATTAAAGGCAATATTGATGAAATTATTTAATCGTTTGAAATACTATCTTAATAATCAATATTTACAAAAAGTTGGAGAATCGAGACTAATGAGGACGAGGAATATTCAGAAATTAATTTTGATTTATAGTAAAAGCAAAAAGCATTCAGGACCTTATCAGAACATATAGTAGACGAAATAGAAAAGGCCATCTTAATTAAGTAACATTTTGTAAATACAACTTAAGATTTTAATAATTTGAACAGAAATGCACTTATACTAAATAGGATTAATTAATTAACTTTCATTAAATTGAATTAAATTTAAATAATATTAATTATGAGATTGAAACTTAAGAATATTTAAAAATTTTAGAGCATTCTAAAGGTGAAATGTAGTTTATTGATGAAAAAGTTCTATTATAAAGTTGGTTTTAACATATTAAATGCGAAAATTTAAATTTGAATGATGTGGAACAATAAATCCAACATTTGTTATAAGATAAAGATTAAATATTTTAATCACCTCTTAAATTTACAAGTAAATATGATAATTCAATATTATAGTTACTGAATCTTTATTATTTTGTAAATATTTAATATGTAAATAATTAAAGAATACATATCCATTAAAAAAACCAGTTGAGGAAAATCTTAAAGAAAAAAAAAAATAAAAATAAAAGTTTTCTGATTTGAAATTATTTTAAGGTAAAATTGATTAATTGAAATAAATTAATTCTTATTTTACAAGTTCTGAAAAATCAAAAATATTACCTGAAAATGAATAAAGATTATTTAGTACTAATTTAGAAGAAAAAGAATAATAAATATATGAATATTCAACTAATTTTATGAAAAAACTTATTGAAACTGTTTTAATAGAACTTGAAAATTATAAATAATATAAAAAGAAACATAAAAAAGTTAAAAATGCTAAAAAATAATAAATAGTTGAAATTGTGTAACCAGAACCTACTATATAAGTATCTACAGATATTATAAAAGATGATGAATGGAATGATAAACCAAAGTCTAAAAAATAAAGAAAAAAGCAGATTGAAAAACAAAGAAAAAAAGAGTAAAATTATCAAATGATATTTCTAGCAATTTAGAAAGGAAGAAAGTCAAATAAATGAATCAATCACAATAGTAAAATGTATAACAAAATGATAAAATAGAAATATCATCTAAATCTTCTATAAAGGATGATAATGAAGATATAGAAAATGATAATAATAATAATTAAGAATATATATTTGAATAATAATAATAAATTTAGATCATTGAAAAAGTAATTTAAGAAATTCCAATTATAATTAATTAATTACCTGATGATGAAAGTGAGTATATTGAAGTATAGAATAAAAAGCAATAAAAAAAATAAAGCAAATCAAAATAATCTAGAAATAAGAAGTAGTCTAATAAAAAAGATAAAGAATTTAAAGATAATTAATCATTACCAGATGAACAATAATATATTCCAGCATTAAAAAAATCTACTTCATAATCAGTCCAAAAGAATAATAATCATTAATATGAATAATTAAAATTAGAACGGATGCAATCTCAATAATAAAATAGGATTATTTTATAAAAAAAAGAGAATGGAATAAATAAAATTCAAAGATCAGGATTAGTTAAATCAAAAGCTTAACAAAAAGAATAAAAGTTGTATACATATGATTTAGATCAAAACTAATTGTAAAAGATTTATAAAACTATATTGGAATAAAAGATTACTAATGATGTTAAATAGATATATTAAAAAGAAATTGATTCATTTAATAAGTATAAAATAGCTAGAAATATTTCTATTTAAAGAGTTTAACATGTTATTAAATCATATTTTAAGAATTGTGATACTGAAATCTTTGGATCATCTACAACTGGTTTAGCCTTAAAAGATAGTGATGTTGATATGGTTGTTTATGGTTTATAAGTATATACAAAGTAATAATTATTTGAACCTATGAGAAGATTGATTGAGATATTTAATGAATTATAATGGGCTGTGTAATGCAAGTATAAACTATTTATTAATATAATTTAGACATATATTTTAAGCTTCAGTTCCAATTATCAAAGTTTTAGTAGATCCTTCTATAGACTTTCTTTCATTCAAAGGAGAGCCAAAATATATTTTAATGCAATGTAGAAATCTTGATCTCAATTTAAAATATGGAGATCCAAGTAATTTTGAGTTTGACTTTAGGTTAAAATATCTTTATTGATATTACTTTTGAATTGACTCCTCCATATGCAATATATAATCCATATATTTAAGCATTTAATATTGGTTTTTAATCAACTTAATATACAATTGATATATGTGAAAAAATACAAGGGTTTTCAGAAGTAGCAATATATTTAAAGAAATTACTTAAAATAAAAGATTTGAATGATTCATATACTGGTGGTATTAGTTCATTCTGTTTAACTATAATGTTAGCTGCTATAGGATAAGATCATAATATTGGTTAAAAACTAATTAATTTCTTACATAAATATGGATGTAATTTTGATCCAAATAAATGGGCTATATATTTAGATGAAAAGGGATAAAATAATTTTTGTAATATTGAAGATGAATAATCAAATCAACCACTTACTATTATATCACCAATCAACTTATAAAAAATTCAAATTAATGTGACTAAGATATAAACTATCTTATAATTATTTCAACAATTGTATATTGAAATAATGCAAAATATAGATTAGATTGAATCTTGTTTATAGAAAAAAATCAACCAGAAAGAATTATTAGATAATTATAATAGTCACTAAATATAAAGATTAGTTGATCTTGTCTTTTGGCAATGTCCTAATCTACTAGAAAGCCACATTTAATGATTTTATTATTATTATCTATCTGTTTATAAATAACAAATAAATAATCATTATGCTTTAACTAATTAAATAAAAAACCTTTTCTGTTTAAAATCTTCTTTTCTTCTTTCAAATTCTTTTACGAATGGAAGCATTGTTGATTTTCTTTTTATTGAATTAAAAGCCATAACAATATTTTCAATGTTCATATTGATTATTAAATTGATTAAACCTTCAAACTTTTACCTTTTAATACTTTCCTTTTATTATTAATTAATGCAATCATTATTATTTTTTCTTGGAGTTAAACATGTAAATTATGAAACACTCCTATTTAAGATAGGAACTCCATTAATAAAATTTGTTTATTTAAGATTATTTATTTAAACCTTTTTCTTTTAAGTCCAATCCTATGAAGATTTTAACACAAAATTCTTTTATTTTTCTTATGTTTAAAGATTTTCAATGCTTTGTCTTCTAATTCTAACATATAAATCCTGCTACTTTACAAAATCAGGTTAATGCTTAATTATTGTTTATTATCTATTGAGTTATTATTTCAATAATGGAGTTAGACTATCTCAAATTATTAAATAATTATATACTTTTTTTTAGATTAAATAAGTCTTATAATTTAGATTTACAAAATTAGTTTTTTTCATTTTATGGTTAATTGATTAAGGTTTCATCTTAGATATTATCATAATAAATGGTATTTTATTTTTTTTATTTAAGCTCTGGAGATTAATTGATTTTAACAGTGGCTAAAGACTTAGATTAATGTTAATTTGATTAAATTAGTTTTACTCTTCTTAATCTAGAGATTTCATTGTTGCCAGTCACATAGTTAGAGTTTTTATGTCTTAAATTCATAATTAAAAAATAACGATTACATTAGATTAAAATAAAATAACATAATTTTATTATTTTAGTTTGTGAGATATATATTACTACAATTTCATTAAATTATTATTAACTATTTAATTGGTACTTCTTTCTTGTTTTTAAGTGATTCATATTTACATAATTTAACAGAATTAAACGTAACCTTTTTAAAAAATTGTGATTTCTTATTTTATGATTCTTAAGAAGTGTTTTTTCTTCTCTTTGCTCCCTCACTATTACATGATTTACTTTTAAGTATTCCTTTTAATTAAGTATTTTAAACAGAATTCTTAACAGTCCTAGTTTTACTTGTGTATGGACTTAAAGTAACTTTATTTATTTTCTCATTGTTTTCTAATTATACAAGACTTAATTTTTCTTATATAGGTTCTTAATTATTGTTAACCAATTATGTTACATATATTTATCTTTAAGAAAATCTTGGTATTTTAAGAGGTGATACTTCAACAGAACAACTTTTAAATGTTTAACTTAACTATCGTTTATTTTATCTAATTTAAGATTGTTTCTAATTAGGTTGAATTTGTTGGTTTGAAATTTTAATTGCATTCCAATCTTCTTTTTTTGGTGTCTGAGAATTATTCATACCATCTACTGAACTTGCAGGACTTTAAGGAGCTTTGTCCTTCTATTTCAATTTACGACCATTTTTTTTCCCTTATTCTTGTTAAAGGTATAACTTCACACACAATTTATTTGAGTACTCATCTTCATTCATTAAAGTACATTATATTTGTTTTTAAGTGGAACTTAGGGAACCTTAAGGACTAAATTAATTAGGCTATTTAAATCTGAATTCTTGTGAATTTGATCTCATTTACATCACTCTTGTCATGACAGAAGTATAGGTTTCAGTTTAAAAAGTATCATACTCCTCTTTCTTAAACTTTGGTACCATAATTCTACAATCTAATTCCAAGGATTGTTCATCACTTACTATTGAATCTGAATTTTCTAAGATTTACATAATTAATTCCTATAAAACGGATTTTATATTTTAAAATGAAAAATAATATTCTGATCATCAAGGAAAATGAAGTTTATAAATGTTAATAATATAATATAATCATATATTGACCTATGATCTATAGTATTTGATTAATATAAAATAAACAATTACATTATTCAATTATTAAGTTAATTTAAAATCAAATGATTCTTAAAAGTCAAAGAAAGAATTTATTTAAATTGACTAATACTAAAAAACAATAATTGATATAGTAGATTAAAAAATTGATAATTAAGTATATTAACTTAGACTTATAAACTTTAAATTATATAATTCTCTCAGATATTTGCGATATTTTCAAATTTTTGGAGATAATTAGAAATTTCAGATTCATTTATATTCTTTAATAAATATACTTAGATTAGAGAATGATATAAGTTGGAATAACTATTTGGAATAATAAGAAAATTCAAACGATCTTTGAATTAATTTTGATTCAACTAAAATGATTATTCAATTTTTAATAAAAATCATTTTTTTAGAAAAGTTTTAATTTGTATTTAAGATTGATAATAAATACTCACAAATATATCTTGGGTTAATATAAGAAAAAAACCATAAATTTTTGAAAAAACTTAATATGTCAATTTAATTTCTCTCTTTTAATAATTTATTATTTATGATCTCTAAAATAAATTGAAGTCTGTATATTATATATTTTAATTAACAAATAAAGAAAATCATCCTAAAAATATTTCATAAATATTGCAAAATTTCTCTATGGATTTTAATATATTACACATTATGTTAATAATGATACTCAATTATAGAAAATAGGTAAATTCTTTATGATTTTTAGATGTAATACATGGAATCTGATTTTCTTATATAATAAATAATTGAATATTATATACAAAAGAAAAATTATTAAATAAATTAAAAAAAAGATTTAAAATGGTAATGAGTTTCACTTATGTTTATTTTAGGGAGCTCACAAATCATTGAGAATGAAGAAGAGATTGATCAAAGCAAATAAGCAAAATAGACCTCTTCCAAATTGGTTTAGATATAGAACTGATAACACAATCAGGTAATGAATGAATCCTAGTCTCATTATAGATATAATTCAAAGCGTAGACACTGGAGAAGAACTAAGCTTAACATCAATTGATTTGTTTACGATTATAATACCGTACATTTAATAATAAATCGAAAGTTAACTGGCACATTCACAATTTATTTAATTATTAAAATAAATTCCGTTCATTATTTTTTTAACTATTCTTTCAAATGTTTTACTCTCTCGTACATGGATTCAATTTAATTCTTCATTGTTGGAATATCAGATTTTCTAACATCTCTGCTGATACATCTTTAGATATTTAAACATCCTTTTTGATCATCAATTGTGCCAATAATCAATTCTTTTTGAATGAGATCAATTAATAATTGTTCAATCTCAGCTCTAGAATTTAAATAACAAGCTTGTTATATTTTATCAAAAGTCACACATTTATTTCTATATTATTATTATTAATAACCTTTAACACAATTATAGAATGGTAAGGATTATCATTTTCTTTTTCTATTTATCATTTTGATATTTAATTTATGGATCACAAACTCCATATGCAAATCTATCAAAAAGTATTTTGTCTTCTTCAGTCTAATAGAATCAATTATCAAAATACCTTTACAAGCTACATGTATTTAGTAAATTAGTAAGTCTAATCATCCTCTATATAATCTATTAATGACATAATAGGTTTATTAAATATTAATAAAATTTATAAATATGAAAAGAAAATAAACAATAAATGTAGATTATTAGAATGATTATAATAATTGAATGAAGAAATCAAAATAGAAAAATTCATTTATATATCCAATATTATGTATAAATATACATCTAAATAAAATAATTGATAAACTATTTATACTCACAATTCACTTTCTAAAACTCCATGTTTCCATTTTGCTTTTAATTCTTTATGATTTGTATTACTTATGACTCCTTCTCCATGAGGAAGATCATTCTCGAAATTTCCCTAAAACTCGCTGTAGTTAGATAAATACCAAGTTCCTTAACCATTTTTACTTAAAATAATAAAATTAGAAAAAATACAGCCCATTTTAAAATTTCCCCTCATAATGTCTCCAATAACCTTAAGTTTACACTAATCCTAATTATTAATAGTTAATTTAATATTCAAAAACTGGATTATCATTATATAATGTCCCAGAACCATGATAAAGATCATTTTAAAATTATCCAACATATTAAATTTTTTAATTTTTATAGTATAATATACCTTAACCATTCTTCTATCCTTTATCCATTTCACCTTAATATTTAATAAGAGTCTATTGATCATCATAATATAATTTGTTTTAATTTTATTTTTGATTTTATGAGTTACATATATCTTAATTTTACTATATTTCTGAATTATTAAAATCTTCTATATTTTTAATTTTATCATCACTTAAATTTTGAAATGATTGAATAATTGAAGGATTAGATTAAAATATACCATTTATCCAGAGTCCTATAACCTTTTTTTTATTATTTGGTTAAAATGCACCATATCCATCTACAATATTATTTACAAATGAACCAGCAAATACTTCACCATTAGATAAAGTCATTCTACCCTCTCCATGTTTTCTATAATTATTTTTATATTATTACATTCCATTTTAAAATGATCCTTCATAACATAAAGCATATTTCTCCATATTTGTGCAATCTTAATAATTAAAATTTTCTTTCAATAATATAGAATCTAAGTATTTTAATGTACCAAAATTATGATAGTTTCCTTCAAAAAAATCTCCTTCATATACTAAGATATTTGACTTTGTATATAATTTACCTATATTATTATATAATATATTAATACCTAATCCATGATATTTACCATTAATTTAAGCACCATAATAATTGAAATTCTATGTAACTAAATTTTATTTTGGTTATTTTGCTGATTAACTAATGTTTATTTTATGATCATTCATTTTATAGTTTAATTTCTATTCAATTTTAGAAAATTAAAGAGCAAGACTTTTATCTAAATATTAAGTATCTGGAGGTAAAAGGGAATTCAAATTAACAGATTTGATTTTATCTATAGGTTAAACTTAAATATCTTTTAAATCAGAATCAATATTAGATTCTGGTGAATTTAAATATTTCTATAATTAATGATAATTAGGTCTTCTAACCAAATCTAAGTCTAAAATATCTATGACTATTTCAATTAATCTTCCACTATAATTTTATTTCTAAGCTTTTAAAAATGTTATTCTTTCTTATAAGAGAACTTCATCAATATAAAATTTCTTATAAATGTCTTTGCTTTTCTTTTCTATTGATTTAATAAATGAATAAAAAATACTTGTTATCAATTCTAATAATAACATTCCTAAACCAAAAATTTTAACTCTATCTGTATCACAATTACTTTAATGAAATTCTTCAGGTGAAGGGAAACCAGACATTTCAAAAGAGCTTAAATTTTTGGATTTATATTGTAATAACTCTTAATAGAATGAAATAGTTTATATAAATGGTTTGATTTTCCAAATTGTTCCATCACTTGTATAAATGTTTTCAAATCCTAAATATTATTTCTATGATCCAAGCATATATTATGCATTTGTAATAGATACAAATAGATCAGTAATTTAATTTGGTGTTAATAATTAATTTTTAGCTTTTTTTTATAAATATTCTTTTAATGTATATGATGGATGTTCTGTTAAAATGTTCAAACAATAATACTTAGTAAACAGTTTTTCACGTACATGAATTTGAATATTATGAATTTTAGTAATTCCAATTAAATTTCCATTTTTAATTTCTTATGCTATTTTCATTTCCTCTTCAAAAGTATGGTCACTTGATTTTTAAAACCAAAAATCATATTTTTTATTGTTTTCAGGATTTTCATATACTTTATATAGTCCTTTATCAAGAATAAGTTTCATTTATTTTAATTCTGGGAGTGTCTCTTCTTCATCACTTTCTATATTACCCATAATAATTTATTATATTAATAATAACAGTATATAAATATGTAAGAATCCACTCTTGGTAATTATACTTTAGGAAATACAATAGGAGAAGGTACATTTGGAAAAGTTAAAATTGGTACTCATTAATAGACTGGTGAAAAAGTTTTTTTCATATTTCATACAATTAGGTGGCTATAAAAATATTAGAAAAAGCAAAATTTTAAGATGATAGTGATGTGTATCGTATAGCTAAAGAGATAGAGATCCTTAAAAAATTAAGACATCCACATATTATTTAAATTTATGAAATTATAGATACAGATAAAGAAATCTATTTAATAATGGAATATGCAAGTGGAGGAGAATTATTTGAATATATAGTTAAAAATCAAAGAGTTTAAGAGAAATAAGCCTGCAAATTTTTATTATAAATCTTATCAGGAGTTGAGTATATACATAGGATTGGTATTGTTCATAGAGATTTGAAACCTGAAAATCTCTTATTCGACTAAAATTAGAATATTAAAATAGTGGATTTTGGATTATCTAATACTTATAAACCTAATGAATTATTAAAGACAGCATGTGGAAGTCCTTGTTATGCTGCTCCTGAAATGATATAAGGATTAAAATATTCTGGATATTTAATTGATATTTGGAGTTGTGGTATAGTGTTATATGCAATGCTTTGTGGATTCTTACCATTTGAAGATTAGAATACTAATTAATTATATAAGAAGATAATTGCTGGTGAATTAACATTCCCTAAATGGTTATCAAATGATGCAAAAGATTTACTTAAAAGTATTTTAAACACTGATCCAAAGAAAAGATTTACAATTCCTTAAATCAAAGGTCATAAATGGGCAAAATAAGTAAGAATAGATGAACAATACAATATGATAGGAAATGATAATATTTTAGTTGATGAAATTATAATAGAATAATTAAAAGCATTATATGGAGTGGATCCAGTTGAATGTAGAAAAAAAGTTAAAAAGAACAGACATGATAATATAACAACTCTTTATTATTTATAGATTCAAAAAAATAAAAGAAATAGAACATTTAATTATTTTAAAAAGGAATCAGATGATCCTCTTTCATTATCTAATGGATTGAATACTTCCATAATTGATTCCAATAACACAACAAAATAGAGATAACATACTAGCAATAAATAATCTCCTTAACATAGAATTATAACTTCTATAAATAATACTAGATAATAATCTCCTTCACCATAACCATTAAAATAAAATACTAGACTTGATTCACCTAAATAAAATATGGTTTTATTAAAAAGAGAAATAATTAAAAGACCTTAAACAAAACCATTAATTCCACCTTAAATGAAAGTTATTACTCAAGTTGTTAATAATTCAATATCTAGTGTTGGAACTAATGGGAATACTCCTATTTCTACTAATAGAAAATAAACTGAAGACTCTTTCTCTTTAGATAAAAATAAAATTAAAGTAATATTTCAAATTTATAATAGTTTACAGGAAGAGATCGTGCTACTAGTGCTATTTCTGATTATACTATTTCTGTCAAACCTAAACATCCTGTATTAAAAATACATAAAGGAGCATTTAATTTAAAATGCACTACCAATAGAGATCCAGATAGATTGGTTGAAGATTTGAAGAAATCAATGAATTAAATGCAAATCAAGATCTTATAAGTAGTTTATTCTTTAATAACCTATAGTAAAATGATCCTTATGAAATATTATGTTAATTTAATCTCAACATTAAATTTGAAATTTCTATTAGATAGATCTACAATTGTGATAATTTATACTTATTGAAAGGTCATCATTTAAGTGGAGACTGGAATACATATCAAGAAACTTTAAACAAATTTATTTAATTGTTACATTTTTGAATTTTCACATTCCTTTTTTATTAGTTAAAATAAAAAATTATTAAAAAAATATGAGTGATGTGATAGGGCCACATTTAACTAATTTTGTACCTCTATCGCTATTGAATAGAACATTGATTGAAGATGAAATGGAATAATCTTAAAACTATACAACACAATATCAATCATAATAAATTATCAATCACATAAAAAAAACTATTAGATTTAATGAAGATATAGCTGTGTTATATTTTTCTTAATCAGATCCTGTTAAATCAATCTCAAAGTCTTTAAAATCAATCAAAATTTAGTCTTCTATGAAATGGGTTAACCCATCGATCTGATTTGAATATATATTTTAGTTCTTTTTATAAGAAAAAATAATAATATGATCTAATTTAATTCAAGTCCTCTCATTGGACCTAAATCAATATTTATGTAACCTCTAGAATCTTATAAAAATCATGATATTGATGACACTTAATGCACTGATGACTTTAATAATAAATTCATATCATAAACCAACAACTCTTTCTAAGAAACTCCATATAATTAGAATGAGGGCAGTAATTAAAGAAAATAAACTAAGAAAAAGGTTAAATTTAATCTAAATATCGTATACTGTTAATTTAATCAGAAAGAGCCTGCTATTGCTATTGGAAAACTAGTTTAAAAGTTAATAAATTAGAAACCTCATTTAGAATGGGTAAATCCATAGATCTCAAAAATAGAATGATTTTAAATTTCACATTTATACTTTTCTTTACAATTCTAATTCAATAATGAATTATATCATACAAAACATATAGGAAATTTTTGATAACTTTCCAAATTATTTATGCCGTTTTTAATAACTTTTAACAAAAAGGAGATTAAAATTAGATTGCCAATTCACTTTTTAAGACATAATAATATTAATGAATCTTAATCATTTATATTAATATGATTAAAAATTTCAGCATTAATTAAATCAATTTAATGATACAACCTCTGAATGAAATTAATTTATTTAAAAAAATCTTAAAATCAAACAGTATCATTTTATAATGATTTCAACAATATTTATACTAATGATAACTTAAATTCTAAAAATTATAAACCTATCTAATATAAAATACTCTATATAATATATTTCAATCTATGCAGCAGTATATATATATATATAAAATATTTATAATTTATCAAATTGATTTTATATATTCAACATTAACATTATTAACTTTCTTTAGCCTTTTCATCACCTTTTTTTTACCATAAATTAACATTTTGTTATCTATCTTCTTATTTATTATCTACATAGGAATTATTTTCATAGGAACTATTTTTTGTTTATAATGATGTTTACTAAATATTTAAATAAAATACTTTTTATTATTTTCTTCTATCTTTTTTATCTTAAACTTGTTAATCTCTTTTAGCCATTAATTTAATTGCAATTTTTTTAAAGGCTTCCTCAACTCCATCAGCAGTCTTAGCACTTGTTTCAAAGAACATCATATTTCTTTTTTAAGCATACTCTTGAACTCTTTCACTTTAAACCTATTTTGTATTTAAATCTGATTTATTTCCCAATAATAAAAGTTCTGCATTTTTTTCAGCATAACTCTCAATTTCATTCAACCAAAATTTTTCAATATCATCAAATGATTATTAACATGTTGTGTCATAAACAATAACAATTCTATGATTGAATTATAAATTAGGTACGCATCAGCTCCTTTATAATAAGCATTAGTAATTGTTCTAAATCTCTCTTATCCAGCAGTATCCCAAATTTATAATTTTAAACCTTTATTATCTACTTTTAATGTTTTGAATCTAAAATCAACTCCAATTGTTGTTATATAGTTTTCACTAAAAGTATCATCAGCAAATCTTAATAAAAGAGCAGACTTTCCAACTCCACTATTACCTATTATAACTAATTTGAACAAATAATCATATTCTCTGTTGGCCATTTAAACTAATTTTAATATAATAATTATATATCAAAATATTTGAATTTTATATATAATTATATAAATATACAATATATATAAACAATTCAAATGTAGATATATAATAAATAAAAATCTAAAGATTAAGATAAAATTATAGTTATATGAATCAATCCTATTAATGCAAATCCTCTCTATTAATTTTTTATTCTTATATTAACTAATCAATTTCATTCTTTTCAAACCACTTTATTCTTTTTCCTTCATTCCATTCTCCAACTTTTACTTCTTTATTTTATAAATAATAGATTCCAATTCCATGTTATCTTCCTAAAAAATTTTATTCATAATATTACCTTATATCCAAGTTCCTATATATTTTCTACCATCAGCCCATTCAAATACTCCTTTACCATGCTTTTTATCTTCTTCATATTCCTACAATATAAATGAAAATCATTACACCAGTATATTTACGACCATCCTACCAAATAATCTATCCTTTTCCATGCATTTTATTCTTCTTCCATTAACCTTTATAAACTCTTTTATCTGGCCAAATATAGGTTCCTTCTCCATGTATGTCATTTTGGAGAAACTCACCTTAAAATATTGATTAAATCTATACCATCATATCGTGAACCATCAGCAAAATTGAGTATACCTTTTCCATGTTTTTTACCTTCAAAATATTAACCTTCATATTTAGCTCCATCTGGCCAATTTTCAACTCCTTTACCATGTTATTTATCATTTTCCCACTAGAAATAGAATTTAATTTTACCTCTCCTTCATATTTGGCACCATTTACATGTACATATGTTCCTTTACCATTAGCTTTATCATTTTTCCATTCTCCATCATAAACATCTCCATCTGCATGAGTCAATCTACCCTATATATAATAGTTTAATTTTACTCTTCCTGAAGACTTATCTTCAACCCATTCTCCTTCATAAATTGAACCATCTGGCCATTTTTATTTTCCATATCCATCTCTCATACCATTTTTCCACTCTCCTTCATAAACAGCACCAGACTCTAGTTATATTGGAGGTAACTTCTTTCTTTCAGTGCAATTCATAGTACTTTTAATGAGGTCATTTCCTTCTTGATTACTTGCTACATTCATACTAACTGAATGGTTTGCAGATATATTTAATTATTTATCTTATTCTAATGATTTTTTTGAATTTTCATCAACATTCTTAGTAGGAGCTTCTTTTGCAGATTCTTTTTTTTGTTCTTTTTTTGAATCTTTCTTTTATTTTTATTATTCTTAATCAATATTAAATCTTTCATGTTCTTTAACTTAAACCTTTTATTCTTCTTTTTTTTGATCATTTTCTTATTTATTAGACTTAGGTTTTGCTTTATCCTAAGTTAATTTCATTTCTGTATTATCATTTTCCTTATTAGCACAACAAGATTAGCAACTTGCCCCCATTATGTTATTTTTGTTATATTATAATTAATAATATTTATTTTAACAAGTTTTTTAATTAGCAAATTAAAAGTAAGACTCTTTATATATATACATATTTTTAATTTGATGTTAAGTGTTAAGTGTTATAAGATATAGGTTTAAGTTTTAAATTTTATGAACTGAATAAAATCAAAAAAAATAAAATACATTTTTTAATCATAAAAAAATTAACAAAACTGACAATCAAACAATCCTCATTATTAAATTTGATTACAAGCTTTATTCAATTACTTAAGGCATATTTCCAATGCTGATTCATCTTCATATCCCAATTCAACTAAAATAATTAGAATTTCTTATACTTACTTAACAAACTCTTATTGATATAATCACAAACCCTTTCTCTCTTTATTACTAACTCACAAGTTTCTCTCAAAGCAATTATTCTAATGTCATCATAACATAATTATCCCAAAATGTTTACAATTTTCATTTTAAAAGGATTTAATTTCTCATCTACACATTCTACTTGGTAATGTAAATGTTATCAAATGTGTATATCCTAACTCTATAGCTTCTTAGATTTTGTCTTTTTTCAATAATCAATAGATGAATGAAAATAGTTAATTCAATAAACTATTAAGCATATGGAGTATATTGGATTCCTTCATTTTTTGTAAATTCAGGTATCATTTCATTTAAAATATCAAATAAATCACCTATCTTTCCTTCCCTTATAAATTTTTTAATTTCTTGGTTTAAATAATTAACATACTTCTTGATTGACTAGTTAATCTTTCATAAATGCCTATTCTGCTATTTAATTAAGTTCATTATTATTTTCCTATTCATCTAAATAAAACCCGCTGACCTTTCTTTCAATAGATGTTATTTATTAAAAATTAGGACTCTACAATCCACTTAATTTTCTTTTTGAAGCAGACATAGGTGTCATTTATAGATTTTAGTTTCTTTTTAAATCACCTTTAAATTGCTATTCTTCTTCATATATCATATCATCTTGTTTTTTTTCAATTCTCATATTCTCATTTTCTTAAAGAGAACTTTCTTTCTCAAATTACTTTTAAGAATTTATGCATCCATAACTCCATAAATATTCTTAATTAATAAGATGAAGACTATAAGGTGAAAAATCTTATTTATTAATCTCTTATATTGTTTCATGCTTTTCCTTTTATAACATTTTTTGATGATCATAAATCATAGGACTTGCTCCTAAGTTGAACTATAAAACCACAACATCTCTATCAAACTACTTTTGGATATAAAGGTTCTTTAAAATAAACTTTGATTTTTTATAAACTTTGAATTCCATTGTGTGTTAAGAAGACTCCTGATTTATGAATCCACATCCTACAATATCATCTTATTTGTATGGATTTCATTTTTTAATCAATCTCTTGTTTTTTGATAACTACTTTTCCATCTGAATAATATTCTATACTCCCCCCAAAAAAACCCAAAGTTTGATTGATTTAACAATTATTAAATGCCAATCCAATAGATATTAAACTAAATTTATTTATTATAAAATACTTCTTAGAGTTTACTTTTTTTAGGATTTTAACTTCAAAATAATAGAATGAGGAAGAGATAGCTTAGTTCTTTTTACAAGCTTGCAAGTTCGAGAGTATTTGTGTTAGGTGAATATTTCACTGTGAGTCCATCATTTTCTTATATGATATTTTACTGCTTTCTTCTATTAAGTTTTGCATTTGTTAGAGTGCTGAAATCTTGTAATTTCAAAACCGAATTTATATAAGGTTCTACTTGCATATATTTTTAATTAAATTAATGAAAATATTATATATATAGCCTATCTATCTTTCTATAATTATAATAATATAATTTCTATAATATATAAATTACTATTCATAACATTATGTAATTAAGTAATATTTTCAAAGTGTTAAATATTTAGTCCCTAAATACCCTTATAAAATTTGAATCAAAAATAGTATTAGCTTTATAGATGCAAAGAAGTAATAGTCTGAATCTAAATTCTAAATTGTAATTATTGCGAATTCTATGATGGCAAATAATGATAAAATCATATTATTAATAGTGGAACAGAAGTTAAATATTAAAAAGTTCTTTCCATAATATTTCTTCTGTGGATTTAATAACTATAAATAATATTTAATGATTTTACCCAAAATACTAATACTAATTCAGTAATTAATTATGAGAAGGGAAATAAAGTTATTTACACAATTGCTTCAACAATATAAAAACGATAAATATATTTTTAATCTATAATAGTTTCATCTAAAAAATCAACTATCAATTCTAATACATAAATTACATAAAGTGTAATTTAAATTATACATAAAATAACTAAAACTGAAGTCAACATTCTCTCATTTTTGAAATCTCTGTAACGTAGAAAATAAGCAAATATTATTGTGATTATTCTTTTAATTCTAATCCATAATATATTACATTTATTTATTTTTTATGAATTATTATCTTCTTCTTCTTCCAAATCAAACTTTTATGTAATTAAAGGTGTAAGTATACCATCAGCTTCTATTTTCCTTTACATTTACATTTTTAAATTGTTCAATTCTTCTTTGTCTTCTTCATATCTTTAATATGTAGTTATTTATTTATTTATATCATTGATTGTATTTATTATTATCTAATTATCATAATATCTCTTGACATTAAAATCTTATTTTTCAAAGTTAACTGATACTTTAATCTAATATTCTGATTTGTAATTTACAATATAATGAAGTTCTCTCAAAGTTTATTAAAAATCCAATAGCTTCTATGTTGTTAATATAATTAAAGATGATTATTGAATTCCTAGAATATGAAAACATATATCTAACAAAATTTGTTTTTTGTTGAATATCTCTCTATTGCTTTCATCTATAAATTCAAATAAAGAAAAACAATTCTTTATAAATTCAGCATTTCCCTTTCTAATATCTATTTATAACATTAATAAATTGAATTTTGTAATGAATTCATCAAATGTACGTATTTCCTCTTCATCATTTTCAGATAATAATACATCTGACTCTCCATCATCTATTGTCACAAATATCTTCTATTTTTCAAATGACATCTTCATAGATTTTACTAAAGGATCTTTTAAATTGATTTGCCAAGGAAATAAAAAATCTCCATCACCTTATAAAACCAAAGAAATTGGAAATTGAGTTGATTTATTCCAATCTAATATATTATTATTATAATTTAAAACATCAATATATGCTAATGTATAATCTGAACTAAATGATAGTTTTAGACAATAAATATTAAATTTATTATTCTTTGACATAAAATTTAAGATCTACTTAGATTTTTTCTTTTAATAGTATTTTAATAATATAAAATAAAAAGGAAAGTACCAAATTTTTAATAATAACAATGAGACTTATTACAATTTTGTATATATTCCAATAGAATTAATATTCTAAACTATATTATTGATATAGTATTAATCTAGTTAAGTATGTAATGGTAAATGCCATGGAGTATTAGGAGTATTATTGCCTTAAACATATAGTCTTCTAACATAGTAAGGAAGATCTTCAGGTAGAAATTTTGGATCTTCAGATGCTGCTTCAAATAAATTTGGATTTTCTTAAAAGTCTGTAAATGATATTATAGTAGAATGGCTTACTTTATGATTAGAAATTCTCTCTTATAAACAGAGAAATATTATAAAATTTACTATTAACAATCCAATAAAAAAACTAATTCCAAATAATACAATTTCACCTCCAGATTATCTAACAAAATTATACACAACACATTATTATTTATCTAGAATTTTACCAGGTTTGCATGATTTAATTTTACATATAGGACTAATAGATAATTCATAAATATTAACATCATCATCATAATTAATGCATCTTTTACATTCTCCAACACTAGACAAATAAGCATAAAAGCCTGATGGACACTAAATACATTTTGAATCTTATCTATTTATTCCAAAACCTTAAGGACACTCATAATAATATATTGTTCCTTATGAAGAATTAAATCCTGTAGTTATTTTTAGATTATGATTCATTGGATCATCAAAAAATATTCTCCCTCCACTTCCTTTACCACTTATTTTTGATCCTTAACCACCTTCAGCTGATATGAGTCCTTTTCCAAATAACTTACCTCTTAATTATATTGATCCTCCAGATCCCCCACCATATATAATATAATCATCTCTTTAAGAAGATTCTCCATTTGCTTCAATTATCCCATCTATTATAATATTGACACTCTAAAAATAGATAACTCCTCCTCCATATCCTCCAAAGTAATTTCCACCTCCTCCAGAACCCTCAAATAATGGATTAAAAGGATTTCCATATGCTTATCTTGGTATTAACTTTTAACATTATTCATTAAAATCATTCACTTCTGATTTTGGTCTTTCACCAAAACCTCCATGACTACCTCCAGATGAACCACATTTTAAAGTATATGATAACATCCAATCATAAAATCCACAACCATATCCTTATTATTCTTTACAACCTAAACCAGATGCATAAACTATAGAATTTGAATCAATTGTTATATTAGATTTATTAGCATAAACACCTATACTACTTCCATATAATTATGTATTTTACAATAATACTTCATCAGATGCTATACCAAGAGTGAAATTCTCATCTAAATTAATTGGAATTCTCTAAAATGATTTTATGTCTATAATTGAACTTTTATTACAATAGCCTTAGTTACATTGACAATCAGCACCTAGACATTTAAAAAAATGGCATTATATTAAAGAGTTTTCTAATTTAACATAATCAGAATAAATCATCAAAAGATTTGTATTCATTACAACATCCTTCAATAATAGAGTTTTTGCTGTAAATTAAACTTTTTCAAATAAAACAAAGTCTATATCTTAAAGTAAGATTTGTTATCCATTAAATATTAAATCTACAATGTATTCTCCAATATTTTATTAAAATATTGAAGATTATATACTCATAATTTATGCTATTAAAGAGTATTATTCAACAGAGGATTAATGATTTTCAATATTGAAAATAACATTAATCATAGTAATATTTTGAAAGTTCCATGTAGTTTATTGAAATAATAATGCTTCACAATCTTTTATGATACAATTATCTTGATTAAAACAATCTAAATATTATTATTAGCAATCTTAAAGAGTAAATGCAATTTAAATATAAATGAGTAGGAACATTTTTATAATTTTATTAAATAATTATATGATTGTAGTTAAACAGTTAATATATATGTATTTATCTTAATCACTTTTAGAAACTCTCACTTTTTTGTAATAATGTCGTTTCATATAAAAGCTAAATTAATCTGATCCATAGATAAATTTTTTTTTAAAGAATTAAGCTATTTTCATATATGGGAGATTACATTAAAGCCTTAATTGAAACCTAAGTCATAGGAGCATTTAGAGTTGCATTAACAATGCCTTTAGAACATGTGTTAGACAGAATAAAGACTTATAAACAATCTAAATAAGGAATAACTTATATATAAGTAAAATAGTTGATTTAATCTTTAGAGTTATTTAGACATCAAAGGAGCAAGAGGATTGATAGGTTTATATGATGGCTTTTATCCAAGCTTTCTGAGAAATATGGTGAAACAATATTATAGATGGCCTNAACCTAAACCAGATGCATAAACTATAGAATTTGAATCAATTGTTATATTAGATTTATTAGCATAAACACCTATACTACTTCCATATAATTATGTATTTTACAATAATACTTCATCAGATGCTATACCAAGAGTGAAATTCTCATCTAAATTAATTGGAATTCTCTAAAATGATTTTATGTCTATAATTGAACTTTTATTACAATAGCCTTAGTTACATTGACAATCAGCACCTAGACATTTAAAAAAATGGCATTATATTAAAGAGTTTTCTAATTTAACATAATCAGAATAAATCATCAAAAGATTTGTATTCATTACAACATCCTTCAATAATAGAGTTTTTGCTGTAAATTAAACTTTTTCAAATAAAACAAAGTCTATATCTTAAAGTAAGATTTGTTATCCATTAAATATTAAATCTACAATGTATTCTCCAATATTTTATTAAAATATTGAAGATTATATACTCATAATTTATGCTATTAAAGAGTATTATTCAACAGAGGATTAATGATTTTCAATATTGAAAATAACATTAATCATAGTAATATTTTGAAAGTTCCATGTAGTTTATTGAAATAATAATGCTTCACAATCTTTTATGATACAATTATCTTGATTAAAACAATCTAAATATTATTATTAGCAATCTTAAAGAGTAAATGCAATTTAAATATAAATGAGTAGGAACATTTTTATAATTTTATTAAATAATTATATGATTGTAGTTAAACAGTTAATATATATGTATTTATCTTAATCACTTTTAGAAACTCTCACTTTTTTGTAATAATGTCGTTTCATATAAAAGCTAAATTAATCTGATCCATAGATAAATTTTTTTTTAAAGAATTAAGCTATTTTCATATATGGGAGATTACATTAAAGCCTTAATTGAAACCTAAGTCATAGGAGCATTTAGAGTTGCATTAACAATGCCTTTAGAACATGTGTTAGACAGAATAAAGACTTATAAACAATCTAAATAAGGAATAACTTATATATAAGTAAAATAGTTGATTTAATCTTTAGAGTTATTTAGACATCAAAGGAGCAAGAGGATTGATAGGTTTATATGATGGCTTTTATCCAAGCTTTCTGAGAAATATGGTGAAACAATATTATAGATGGCCTATGATGATTTTCATTCCTTCTATGTTGAATGATCACATCCATAACTAATCAATAAATAAAATAATTACAGGAGCATCTATTGGATTATTTGAAAGTTGCATAATTACACCATTTGAGAGATTGAAAACATTGAAAATGACATCTATGGCTACAGGATTTGGTTATTTAAAATATATAACATTGGAATCTATTTATGTAGGATTTAGAATTCAAACAACAAGATAAGTTGTATCATGGACAAATTATTTATATTGGGATCATAAAGTCCGTTATGCATTAAAAACAGATCCTGGATAACCTCTTTCTATAGTTAATTCATTGATTGCTTCAACTTTGAGTAGCATTCTCAATATTTTAGCAGGTATGATTAATGATTTAATTAAGTGCATCCTTTTGATACAATTAAAACTTTGGTTTAGATGGAAGAAAATCATAATTATAGAAAAATCTCTTTGTATTAGTCTTTTAAGATTGTATATCAAAATTATGGTCTTGCAGGTTTATATGCAGGATGGTAAGCTAGAATTATAGCTTACTTTTGTCAAGCTCTTCTTACAACTCCCACTATAGATTACCTAGAAAGGAATTATGGTATTTCTAAAACTAAAAAATAATAATGATGAGATTATTCTCATATCAATTTCTATATGTAGGTTGTATAATTAATTAATTACTCAAATTATCAACCTTTATATTCTAATAAACTAATTATTTTCTTTTATAGTTTAATTTATTTATGTATACAAATTAATTTAACTATTCTTCTTTTTTTTAAGCAAATTTAATTGTTTAAGTTTGAACAATAAAAAGTTATTTATTAATTCTTTATTTTATTTTTATTCACACTTATTATTTATTTAATATTATACATTCTAAATATTATCTTAAATATCCATAATTCTCTATTATTATATATGTGTATCAATAAAAATTATCATTACAATCTCAAAATGTCAAATTAGGTATCAAATTCTGAATCTTTAAATAATAGAATAATATTCATAATTTATTTTTATGAAAAATTAAAGTGAAAAAAGTTTTGAATTGAGCAAAGATCAATTCTATCAAACATTTAAGCCTTTCGAATACAAAAACAAAAAGAATTCCCCTTTCACCATTTCATATTTAAGCAAAAAATAGAGTGAATCATATTGGATTAAGAAAAGAAAGATTCAAGGAATTTACAAAGATTTTTTTATTCAAGAAATTAGAAAAGAAATAGAAATTTAAAGTTATTTTTAGAATAGAAGCCAAAAAATTATGAAAATTAAAAATTTTACTATATTTGAAAGTAAGAATAAATCAATTGTTATTATTGCATATAATAATGATGAGTATTGTGTTCCAATATTAGAATACTTTCAGAGTATAGAGAGAGGATAAAGTAGGAAAATATAATTGAGTAAATAATTGTTAGAGATTCATGAAGAATTAGAATAAAATAAAATTTATCATCAAAATATAAAACCAAATAATATATTCTATTTTTCTGGCGAAATTATCATTACTGATTTTGGAAGTAATAGAACATTTCAATAGAATTATATTTCATAGTTTAGCAAAATTTCAGAAAAATAATGGCAGGATGAATATTATTATTATAATCCTAAAATAATAGTAGACATTATCTAAAATTAAACAGATTATGATATGAGAATAGAAGAATTAAATAAATTTTAAGAGATAATGAAAAGATAAAATAAATTTGAGAAAGTTCTTAATAATCCTTAAAATTCTATGAATTTAGATGCTTGGGCTATTGGAGTAATAATAATTTAAATATTTTTTCCATAAAAAATTGAAAAGAATAATATTGAAAAATTCTATGCATTGAACACCAAAGAATTGGAAAATAAGATAAATTAAATAACTCAATTTGACAATGAATTAGGTTAAGGTTTGAAGGATTTGTTTTTTCCTGAATAATAATAATAATAATAATAATAAAAATAAAAATAAAAATAAAAATTATCATTTCAATAATAAATATCGTAATCTAACAATAATTTGAATATAAATAGATCTTTAATTATTTCCTAAATTATTCCGCAAGAGTCCAAACTTAAGAGTATCAAAATATAAGTAGGCTTTCAAGATGAATAAAGAAAGAAAGTAGTTGCAATTTATGAGACTTGTTAAGTAATGGATTAATTTGTCATTTAAATACAAGATAAATAAAATCCTAAATTGGAAATTTTCTAAAAAGAAAAGAATATTTCAGAAAAAAGTAGGAAAATTTTGGATTTTCATATTCTCCTTCAACTCTAACTTTCAGAGGCTTAATCCTATTTAAATGATCTTAAGAATTTAAAGAAGGAATTTGAGGATGAGAGGACTGAATTATTAAGAAGTGAGAAAAGATCAGATACAAATAAAGTTTAACTAGAAAGTCTAGTAGAGGTTATTTAAAAAATTGAAGAAACCATTTTTCAGGTAGAAAATAGGATTTAAGCTCTAAAATATTTTTATAATTATTAAATGGAAACACCAGAAGAAAATATCATTTATTATTATAATCTAAAAGAAATAAATATGGTTTAATGGAAGAAACAGTTTTAAATTAAGTGTGAATAAACAGAAAACAATACAAATTATTAATAATAGCAATACTTTTCATAAAAAAAAATAAAAGATTTAATAAAACTAAGATAAAAAGAACTTAAAATAGATGCTCATCTTTGTGTTAATATGAATTAAAAGGAATAAGAAATAGTTTCAATTTATTATTTAGAAAAATGTTTTAATGTATAAAAAGAACTTCTTGAAAAAAAATAATCACAAAAAGAATAATTAGATGTTGAATAATTTCCATTTAATTTATCATTAAAAACTAGAAGAAAAGTAGACAAATTCATTAATACAAAGTAATTTGAATTTTTATTAGATTATACTGAATTTAATTCCCTTTCTGCAAAACTCAGAAATCAATATTTAAAGACATTGTTCATCTGTTTAGATGATAGAATAAAAAGAAATGTTTAAAGTGAGGTTAATTAATTGCTGTCAGCAATAAATCGTATATATCCTTTACTTAATTCCAAATTCAAATAAAAAAATGGAAAAAACACTGTTAGAGTAAAATTGCAACCTGAAATGTTACCATAGGAATTATGTAAGTAAATAAAATAGTTTTTTTAATAAAAATACAGCTTCAAAATTAACTACGATTTTTAGTATTTGGAATTACTAAAAAAATTTGATGATATTAAAACTTAAAAAGACTATATTGGATTTTTAGTAAATGGGAAACCTCATGGTCAAGGGTTTAAGAGGATAAACGAAAATATAATGTAATTTGGAATATACAGATATGGACAGTTAATATGGGGTAGGGAAATTGTCAAAGTTGACAATTATATTAACTATTATAAAGGATAATTTAAGGATAATAAAAAATTTGGTGAAGGAGTCTTTAAAAGATATTTATTTAGTGAAATAGAAGGAAACCTATTTTTTTAAAAGCCTAATTAACCCTAAAATTTATGAGTTAAGAATTTATTTAGTATCTATTTTAAAATATATTTTTTTACTATATTAGTAGCTAATATATTTATTATAATTCTAACTTACTTTATCTTCAAATTAAGTAATAGATTGAATATCTTTAAGATGTTTGTAAGCATAAATTAGATTATATGTAAAATACTTTTCATAAGAATATTATTAAATATTATCAATAATATTTGAGAGAATGTAAAAAATAATTAATTTATTATCTTAAATCTTACCGTAGAGAAAATTGTTTATAAATTAATATTTTTATATTTAAATTGAAATTTTATAATTTTTTGTAAAAATATAATTCAAATGAAGATATTAAATAATTTTAATATGATACTCTTAAAATGATGTAATATAATAAGTTCTATTAATAAAATATATTAATCATTTTAAATAAATAAATTAGTTGATTACATTTATGAATTTATAATATTTAACTAATAAATTTAGAATCCTCAAGAAGAAGATTCAAAATTAGTTAAGTTGTTTTTAATCAATTAATGTTAATAATAAGTTATTTTACTATTGAAATTTATCAATTAAGAATAGATGAAACAAATAAAAATGAGCAAAATTTTGTATACAATAATGAATAAAAATTCATGGAAAATAATATCCTTATAACAGATGGAAAATAATAATGAATGATAATTAAAATAAATGGATATTGAATAAGAAAATGATAAAGAGATTGTTGAAGATTAGAATCAGCAAGAATAAAATAATGATAATAATAATAATAATAATGAATAACCAGCAGTAGTAGTGGAAGTAAATAATTAAAAAAATCAAATAAATCAGAATGTTATTGATTGTGAAGGATAATTACCAGCAGCTCCAATAAAATTAGATAAATAAGAACCTTTGAAACATGAACATGCACCTGGATAAAATATAAGATCTGAACAATTAAGATTATAAGTTGGCAAAAAACTAGCAGAAAATCCAGATTTTTATTCAAAAAGTAAATGGTAATCTATAAATGCTTCAAGTACAACAACAAAGTAATTACCATTTTAAGGAGAAAGAAATGCTTATAATTTTTGGAAATCATAAGTAACAAATGATGCAAAGGATATTTATTATTCTTTATTTCATAGATAAATAGTATAGAGTATTTTGAAAATGATTAATGATTAAATGAAAGATCATTTTTCTGAATAACATGAAAAAGATGTTAAAAAAAGACTATTTAAATTGGATTAAATATATGAATATTTTGGAGTGAAAATATTGATGGGTTACAATAGAATGCCTGATCCAGAAGATTATTTTAATGATAAATTACCTTTCCGTAATAAGATTGGAGAATTAATAAAAGTAGGTAGATTTAAATTCTTGGAATAAAATACTAATTTAAGAGATGAAGTAATGATTCAAGCAAAATATCATAATTTAAAATAAGAAGATGTTGAAAAGAAATTTAAAGTTGAAGGTGAAGTATATAGTTATTTAACAAAGAAATTAAATAAAAAATTTAGGATATCTCATGATGCAGGACAATGTTTGGCAGTAATTAAAAATAATTTATTTGAAGCATAAGATTTATAAGGGAGAGCAATTGAATGTATATTACTTATGGATGTACAAACACAATATATAATAGCTATTAGATTTTGTTTTAGAGAAAATATCAGTAATACTATATTTAACATGTTGGATCCATATAAACATAAGAATCACAAATTATATTTCCAATAAGAATTATTAACTTTAGAATAAGTTTAAATATTAGTAGAATTCTTTGCTATATATTCATGTGGTATACTAGCATCAACTACATAAACATAAAAGATAGATTTCAAAGATGGATTAGTAACAAATAATCATGTAATGTTACTTAAACTATTAACACCAAATTAAGCAGATTTCAAAGTATTTGCTTCAACTGCTGATGGATTTCATAGAAATACTAGTCAAGATAAAAAGAGTTATGCAGTTGTCATCTATTAAGAATATATTAAATTAGTAGAATAATATCCTGCTTTATCAGATGCCTATAAATGTTTGTTTTCTTCTGCTACTGTAAATGGAGCCATCTATACAGAAATGTAAGAAATTGTCATATGGAACAGTTTCATTGCTTTTAAAAGTATTTAAAAAGTAAATTCTTAAATCAACTTCTTAGAATTTCGACTTACTTTAGCTAAACAATTATTAAGAACAAAAATGAAGAATATTCCAAATGTTTCAGAAACACATCATAATCTATAAACTGCATAGCCAAGATATTCAACTATTGGAATTGTGACTGATATCATGGGAAGTTTTAATCCTCAAGATATGGAACTATTACCTAAGATTAATTTCCATGTTCCTAGAAAATGCAATCCTCCTGCAAAATTATAAAATAAACTTGTTTGTCTAGTTTGTAAGAAAGTTCCAACAGAAATGGTAGAATGTGAATCATGTTCTGAAATATCAGGAAAACTTATAACTCTATGTGCATCTGAATGCTTTTCATTGTTCCATTAAGAACCTAAAAAATATGTTTAATCTGCTATGGATTTACCAGTTCTTTAATAATCTGCATAATTTGAATAATCAACATTAGGTAATTCAGAAGCTTATTAATAATCCTATATGAATAGACAAAGTAAATGATTTCATCACATTCATATATTATAAAATCAATTAAATTTTTATCATTCTCTTTCTAATTAAATTGGAGTATAATATTTATTATATAAATTAAATATAAATGGACAATTATACTCCAATATTTTATTATATAAAAATAATAATTTATTCAAGAATAGCTAATTAAAAGTTATTAAATAATCTTCCTATATTAATTATCTTATGATGAAAATATATATATATATATATAAGTAAAAATTAATTGATTAAAAATTAATTAATTAAATTATAAAAAAATTAAAAAATTTACGCCCGAACAGGGTCTCGATCCCTGGACCTAGAGATTAAGAGTCTCTCGCTCTACCAAGCTGAGCTATCCGGGCGTATTGAACAATTTAACTTGTATTTTCTTATGAAAGGATTGAAAATTTGTGATTTTTGATATTATTTATAAAATATAATTATCATTATTATAAGAGCTATAAAAACAATTAAAATAGATCTTAAAATTTTGGATCTTTGTTGTCGTTATAAATTAATTCTAATTTAGGTTTTATTTTTTTGATATCTTCAATTATTTTAATTGATTAAACTTCTTTTGCGTAGTTTAAAAATCTACAAAGAGTATCTACAAAGATTTTTAAAACCACTGTATCTACTTCTTCAATAAAATTTCCTATAATTTCAATTGTTCCTAAATCTATTAATGTTTAAAACACTGTATTGTCTCCTGTCTTTTATAAATTTTATATGACTTAGATACAATTTTACTTTTCTTGTAAAACTGATGCAATTAAACCATTAATAATTCTATTAATAATTTTATGTTTAACAATTTTATTGGAGATTTTACAATCATTATATGCTAAATTAATAACAATTAAGAAAGAAAATTTTCTAATTTACTTTTTTCGATTATTACTATATTCTAAAGCTATATCCAAAATATTTTATTCAATTAGAAACTATTATTCTATTTTATAAAATATACATTTGAAAAACTTATTGTTTCTGTTAATGAAAACTATTTTAATACTTATAAAGTTGTTTCTACATATTCTCCTTTTAAAGTAGAAATAACATATTATATTATTTTTGAACTCATCAAATACTTATCAATTTCTTCATTTTGTTAATATAATACTGTTAAAGGATGTAATATTTCATTTTGTAAGAAATCACAATCATTCCTGTTAACTCCTTTATCTAAAATTTTTAAACATGTAATTCTCTAATTTAAATATATTAATATTTATTACATCTTTAATACTTAAATTATGATTATCCATAACATAACATATATTATGCATACAGAAACAAATATTTCTATATAGATTACAGTCAGTTAAAGAACTTAATTCTAATAAACGATCAAAACTCTTAACTAAATATTAGCAGATTTCAGACCATTTATTGGCTATATTACCTAAGTATATTAGAATCTAAAATATTATTATAATTAATACATCACTAATGTCTTAGTTGTCTGTTAATGATAAGAGTAATTAATATGAAATTTCTAAAGATTGGATAAGATTTTAAGGTTATTATTATAAAAACATAGGATGATTACAAGAATTAGCTAATGTTCTAATGACATCACATTAGACTTCTTTAATGATTAAACTTGGAAGGCTATGTTATAAGTAATTATTTTTAATTAAAAATTCTTGATTCTATGTAATTTAGTTAATATTGTTGGTTGAAATAGAATTGAATGCAAATTGATGAAGTCGTTTTAATTCTTAAATATTTTGATTCTATTAAGATTATTAAATTAATGGTATTAAGTTTGTTAATTCTAAATCGTCTTTTTCTCTCATTTCATTTTGTTAACGAATTAAAATCCTTTTTTAATTAAATATTCGTTCTCTATCTATTCTACGGATTTCAGAACGAAAGGCATCTTTTTTTTGTGCGGCATATTCTTAAGGATTATTTAACATAATAATATAATCAATTAAATTATTTGAAATACTTTTTCTATTTTAGTTTATTTTTTCTTTATTTATTATTATTCATCCTTTTTGTATTTGGAGATTCTTCTGACCACATTGAATATTATGATGAAGAATCTTATTAATGATATTTTTATTTTTAAATTATTTTATTGACTTTATGAGGTAGATTTTATGTTTATTCTTTTAAATATTTTTATTTATGTGAATGTTAATGATGATGATCATGTTAATTATGATGATTATATTATTATTAATGATTATAATTATGATCATGTTAATGATTATGTTATTATTAATTTTTTGAATGATGATTATGTTTATCTTTTGAAGAATAATCAATTCTATTCATTTTTTCTCTTTCTCTATACTCTTTTCCTTCACAATAAAGTAAATCATATTTTTTATATCCTTTTGAAAAACAATTCAAATGTCCTTTCTCTTAACAATTTAAACACAAAAGATCTTTTAATCTTTATTTATCCTTTTCAAATACATTTTCATCATCTATAATGATAACATTACAATCTTTAGATTTATGTCCCTTTTTGTTACATCTATGACATTTGAATCCTTCAACATCACAATCCTTTGCCATATGTCCTGCTTGGTTGCACTTGAAACATAAACTATTAGGACATTTTAAAAAATAATGATCTCCCAAACAAAATCGACAAGTCACTTTAGTTTCAGCAATGTCTTCAACACACCATTTTTCAAAATGGCCAGGCTTTGGTTATCACTAGCAATTACTTTTTTGCATCTTCTACATACTCCTTTAGAGAGTACATCAATACTATCAAGATTAAAGTATCTGGTCTAGACTTCAGCTGATTATTCTGGATCTTCTTATTCTTCTTCTTTTTCTTCATCATCTTTAACAAATCTGGCTATTTTATCAACCAAATTTGTTTATTATGTGATTCTATCTTTGTTCTGATTATACACACTATAAATTCGAACATCTTAGTCTCCCACTCTTTCAGATCTAACTTAATTTTCTAATATGGAACACAATGGTAAGGCTTCTACAACATAAGCACTTGGTAAGAATTTATTGAGATCAAACTAATTGTAAAGACCACTCATTAATTTATATTGAGAATTAATATTATTTATTTCATTAAAAACTATCGTAATCATCTATTTATCTACTATAAAGGAATAATTTTAATTCTTTTAGATTAGGTCTCTTTTTAGGATCTTATTATAACATTTTCTAAATCAATAACAAAGTCTTTTGAGATAATTATGATTATGGTATTTCAAATTCAGCTTATGCAATAGAAAGTTTATTAATATCTTAAAATGGAGACTTTCTAAAACATAAATTATATAAGATGCATCCTAATTGCCAAATATCAACTTTAGCATCTATAATCTACTATTTATACACATCAATCATTTCAGGAGGTCTGTAAGTAATTGTAGTTATTTTACAAAATTGTTCTTCTATTTAATTCAATTCAATTTAACTCAATAAATTAAGATCAATAATATCATTTGATGCTGATCCAAAATCGCAAATCTTACAAGTACCTCGTTTGATCATAATATTTTCTAATTTTAAATCTCTATGACTAATCTATTCTGCATGTAATACTTCTAATCCATCTAATATCTATTTAAATATTTCTATTATTCTTCTCTCAGTTAACATCTCTTAACTAAGCATTGCCTATAAATTCATTTCACATAGTTCCATTACTATACAAAAAAATAATTTATTTTGAATCTTCACTTCTCCATAATCAATCAATTTTATAATATTTGGATGTTCAGGTAATCTTTTCTTTTTATTCATTCTTATATCAATACCATTATATTAATTTCCTATTTTGCTATCGTATAAGTTTCTTAAGAATTAATTAACATTCTTTTTATGGCAAACCCTTCACATTTCCATATTTGAGAATACCCACCTACATCTATTAATTCTTCTTCTTTATATTTTCCCTTATTTAATCTATATATTTAAGGCTTATTAACAATCTCAATATTTCTAGATAAACACTTAAACATATTTAAATTTATATTATTTAATCAAATATCATATAAATTTCCTCCTCCTTCTGCTTCTACATTCATTTCGATAATGTCACCATTCTAAACCGATTAAGCCTAAAATGGAATGGTGGGATCCAGCAATTTTTAATTTAAATAGAAACTTATCTTATTTTAATTTAACACTATTTAAGATTAAAACTCCTTTGTTAGATCTAATGGAGTTATATTTTAATCCAACATCACTTAAAACTTTTTATTTACTTATACATAATGTATCAGACAATTAATTGATTGCATTCTTACCAATCTAATTACAGTTTAATATTTATTTATTTAATATTATAACAAAAAATGATCATATATTGTATGCTTTATCTATTAATTTTATTCTTATTCAAATATTATATCATATGATAATTATAATCCAATTATAATTTTATATAATCAAAGAATTATTTTATTTTCTTCTATTCTCCCTAAATATTTTGACTAATTAGTTAATAATAATATAAAATAATTGATAATTAATCAATTTTACACTTATATATTATTTTAATAATTCATAAAACATATTTATTCTATAATAGAATTATATATAATATATATTTTGATCATCAATTAGAATATGTTTAAATAATCAAATAAAGAAATTTATATAATAAAATTATATGAATTAGATCATCCTCCTCTTTGTTTCACATTTGCTTTTATGATATTGTTTTTATTGATACCCTAATCATATAAACTCAATTCAGGTAATAATATTTCTTCGTCTTTATAAAATGTAACAACAACATTTTGATAGCTATAAGTATCCATTAATTGCTATTATAAATCCATTGTTGTTGTTTCAAGTGTCAATCTCACACAATATTTTTTATTGGCAGAAGATAACAATATTGTTATAGGAATTGCATACTTTATTATAATAATTCCATTCTCTCCTACTCCTTATTAAATTAACGATTAATTTTCATTCAACACTACATCATTAAAATATAAGTCAATATCAAATCTCTTAGTATCATATATTTGACAAAATTCTTCTTTCATTTAAAGTCCTGTTAAATCTGATTTAATCATAATAGTAAACTCCCTTTTAATACTTGGAAATTTGACTTCAATCTTATATTCCTTTAATAATTAATTCATCTTATATTAATAACTAATATAAATATATTATAATCAATAAATTTATGATTGCTATTATAATAATCTTAAAACCATCTCAATTATTTCTTATTACTTAAGATAAGAATTTTGGATAAGCTAAATTATGTAAATAGATATATATATATACTTATAAATCTGATATCTTATAAAAATTCTTGAAGTTATAACAGTTGATTGGATATTATGAAATCATTAATTATTATCTTTAACACTCATTATTTTTAATTTGGAAATTATTAAAGACTTTATTTAATGTCCTACTCATATCATCTTGGTTATTCTCTTTAATTATTTTCCTTGTATTACCTCTATCAAAAATAAATCCACTTGATCTTATATATTGCTATACTTATATCACTACATTTTATAATGGTCTAGTAATGTATTTAATAACTATCAAATTTATTAAAAAAGATAAGAATATTATTATTATGATAAAGAAAAATGAATATGCTGAAAATTCTAAAAACCTTTCTTTAATTTCATCTAAGCTTTTCAAAATTTATTCTTAATTTTAAAGAATATCAAATATACTAAATGAATAATTAAATATACATTATTAAATCTAAGTTTGATATCCCTAAATTTCTAGCAAATATTGCTTAATCCTACTAAAAAACCTAATTGTACCTACAAAAAATATCATATCCTAGATATTTATGAAGTTTGAGACAATTACTGGTGTAATTTCCATTATTTAGATAATGTTAAATTTGAATGAAATCTTCATAATTTAAACCAATAGTTGATTCATTATAAATATAATTACCAAAAGTAAAATTTGTATTTGATATTAAAATCTTACCATCTCTTAAAGTAAAAAATCTATTTGATCTTTTAAAGTGACTATTTAAATTTTAAAAAAGAGTTAAATTCAAATCTGTTGCTGCAATCCCTTAATATCCACCATTTTAAGATTAAATTGTAAGTGTTTAACTAATCATTACAACATTCCAAGTCCAAAATACAAATGGATCACTAAAAAATAGATCTTGATTTGGATTATTTTACATTTATCTTATATGTGATAAATACCAAGGTCTAGTTTATGGTTTATAATCTATATATTTATCACCTGGCCAAACTGCAAAATATTATTCTTATGTTGTAGTACAAATAGACAAATCTAAGTCTTAATCCAATAAGTGCAATAATATTGTCAAACTACTAGTTAAATTCTTATAAAATTCAATTTAATTGGGTTCAGTGTATGCTTATCCAAATTCTCCATAACAAAACGAATATTAAAATGCATAATTATCTAGATTTGTAAAATTCTATAAACAGTTAAATGTTGGAAATAGAAACTTAATTTATTCCATTTCAATTTTTTGAAAGAGATATTTAACTCTATAAATTTAGTTTAAGCTTCTGTATAATAATAATTTAGTATCTGTTATTGAATAGTTCATTAAGTTAGTTTAGAGGTTCAATTCTTATTAAACCAATATTGATATTGAAGCTTTTTCATAATAAAATTCCAAAAAATTCAAATTTACTAATAAGAGTCCTATTATTAATGAAAGAATGAAAATTTAGGCTACAAATAAAAATATTGATATTTAAGTTCTAATTCTCAATTTTTTCCATTATCTCTTAAACATAATATTTTATAATGATTTTGTTAATTTTAGAATAATGTAAAAATCAGAAATTAAATATTTTAAGTTTTTATAAATCAAATATATTTTTAATCTAGCAATCATTTGAGATATTATTTAAATTAAGATCTAAAGGATTTATAAGTTCACTTTTCGATTAAATTTAATATTAGATTTATTCAAAATATTGGCATTCTTTATTTTTATTTTATTGACTAAGATTTAGTTTGGCTTCAAATTTTAAAAATTGTCTCATTAAGTCTGAAAATGTATTATTTTTTCTTTTCCTCCTTTATGTATTTAACAATTAAAAAATTTCTCTATTAATATTATTTCCTCTTGATTTAATGTAAAAAAATAGAGTACCCATAAGATCTTTTAAAGGTAGAAACATTTAATGAATGATTAAAATAGCCAATAACAATAATATTATACCTGTAAATAAAAGAACATATAGACTAAATTATAGCTATACTTATAAATTAAGATTTATAGTAGCTAACTATTAATTTAAAATGATTTGGGAAGTTATATTGGAATATCTAATAAATTAAAAATTATAACATTTACATTATTAAATAGAAACTCCCTTCCTTAATTCTAGTTGCATTGACTATTACAAATCTATTAAAGTATTTATTGTATAAACAGAATGCATTAGTATTGAATTCATTACATTAATTTTGAATTGCCTCTCCTTAAGCAACTCTTTTCATTTATTACCAATCAGTATCATTGAAACCAGTTTAATTTGTATCATTAATAAATAAAATATAATCTTTAATATAGATCTAAAAAATTTAAATGATATCAATATACCAAATTTTATATAGATTCTATACCTTAAAGGACTACCTCACCATTCTCATTAGATACTATAATATTATAAGGAGTGTCTCTAATATTTGTATCATTTAATTCAACATTTTAAGTTAGTATACCAATATTTGAAGAAGAATTCCCAGATATTGAATGAGTGATTGACATTTAATATATATTTTTGGCGTAATTCTTAAATATAGGGGAGAAATAATAATTTTATTCAGGTTAAGTCTTCAATCCATCCATATGATTAATATACCTTATTTAATAATGAACAATTACCAAGGTCTTGTAAGAGGATTATAATTAAGTGATAAAAACATATGAGGATAGGCAGCAAAATAAACTGTATCTGTAAAATCCACAATTGAAATTAATGAATTTTCAGTGGCATCCAAAGCTATAGTAAATTAATTTATTATTTAGGTTGTTTGATTAAAGATATTTATCATTTGATTTTATTAAGGTAATGTTATTTTATCTTCTGATCCACAGGCAACATAACAAAATTATGGTGCATCATACTCTATAAAATTATTTACTATGTCTTCTAGTTTTATACAATTTTTTAAATTATTCATGTTTTAAAAACTTCCCAAATTTAACTAAATAAAATTGAATATTGAATTTAAGTGCTTCAATCTGGATATATCTAAAATGCTAAATAGAATCAATTTACAAAATTTGTGTTTATTTTTAATATAAGTTTGCAATTCTATAGATATTTGGGAAAGTGCTTTATATTCTTAATTCATCAATAATTGGTTTGATTAGTTTCCAAGTAAATTAAAAATTACAGTAGATTACAAATAGTTAGTTAATCCAACCAATAACATTGTTAAAATGAGTATTGGTAAAATTACTATCAACACTTGGTATTTCATTCTTAAGTTCCTAAAATACCTAAGAAAAATTTAGATCATGTATTTAATTATTAAGGCGAAAGAATAAATAAAAACTGTAATAAATTTGTGTTATAAAAAAATAGAAATTAAATTTTCTGTAAATTAGAAATGTAAGCTTGATATATTTTGGGTAACATAAAAAGAATTTAAAATTTGAGAGGATCAATTCAATAAATTTAAAACTTATTAATGGTGAACAACAATAAAAATTTTGATTAAAAATTGAATTATATAAAAAACAAATAATTTAAATAGCTCAAAATATATATCATATAGTTTTTCTACCAAATATAGAATTAATATATTGTCTTTTGATCTATTATCAAGTTAGATGATATATTTTTAATAAATTATTTAATATTTGTATTAATGATTAACTAAAACTAATAATTTGATGAAATAATATATAAAAAGTGAATGAATTGTAATAAATTGTTTATAAATTTGATTTTATCAACGATGGACTTATTAGAAATTAGCAAATGTCTTAGCTTTAAGTTTAGTAAGTTCATCTCTTAATATCTCAATTTCTTCAGCCTACTCTTTGGCCTTTTTAAATAGTCTATAATTACGAGCAATTTAACTGAAATATATAGAATATATAATTACGTAAATTTATCTTCTTATGGTTCTTATTATTCTTCTCCTTATCTAACATTCTTTTTATTCTACATATCTGATATATCTTATAATTATTTAACATTTCCCTAAAATAAAATAAATAAATACAGATAAAACTCCTCCTTAAGCAATCAATTATTAATTCTCTTTTTTAATAAAATCAATATCTTTTTCAATCTTTTCTCTCTTTTTGTTAATAATTTATAATCTCTTATCTGTTGCACTTTTTAAAAGATCTATTTAATCTTTTAAATTAGCTAATTCTCTCTCATTCAATCTAGTATCATCTTTTGTTAAAGCAATTTGCATTTCTTTTTTAACTTTCAATAATTAAACTTCCCTAGTTTTACATTCTAAATCTTAAATAATAAGTTCTCTCTTCTTTAAATCATATTCATTTTTTTCAACTTGATATTTACTTTTAATAATATCTTTCATTAATTCAATTTTAGTATCTCCTTCCTTTTTGATTTCATCATTCTTTTTTTCAATTGTTTCTCTTGGAATAAGTGCAGCATCTTGTAAATTAGGTACTGGTTTATCTTAACTGATTTCAACATATCCTTATTTGAATCTGAACATTACTTCAATATTAGATCTACTCTTTTCTAACATGTTATGTAGACTTTAAATGTCTTCTTCACTATTAGTAAGTTAAGATGATAATTAATTAAAATCTTATTCAAATTTTTTATTAAAATTTTCAAGATCATTGAAATCTTTTTCAACTTTTTCATATTCTAATTTCATTTTAAATCTTTAACCTAATACTTACAATAATTAATCACGAACATGTTCAAAATCTATTCCTTATAGATTACTTGCTTTTTCTTAAATATCAAATAAATAAGTTTCAAATTATTCATCTAATTATGCAGAAATAATTTTCTTTTAATTTTCAAACAATGGATCAATTTAGATAAGTACATCTTTATATTTTTGAATTTTGAGTAATTTTTCATCAGATTCCTATTTAGCTCTTTCATTAGTCTTTTAATCTTCAAAAGCATATTACCAAAGGATTTTAACTTTGTTAGCATCCATACCTGCAGTCTAACCTCTATTAAAGTAATTAACAATTTAATCATTCAAAGTTTTTCTTTGTTATTAAGTTAAATCTCTAGTTTAATCTAGATTAGTTTTCATTTATTATAATTGATTTAATTATGTTGTCATCTCATCATGTAATTTCTCTAATTCTGAAACTCTTAATTATGCTTATTATGATATAATTATTGATAATGCCAATCTAACTATTGATAATTCTTATTCAAGTATTCTATAATCATATTCTAATTTTCTTCTAAATAAAATTAACAATTTATCATCAAATCTTTAACAAATATCAGTAATTTCATTATTTAATTTTTTAAGTTCTGCTTCTAAATTTTTACGTATCTTTTCTTTTTCTTCTTCTAATTTTTATTTTCTAACTTCAAATTCTTTTAATTTCATTCTTTCTTCCTCTGTCATATCATCTGGACTCTTTTTCATCCATTCTTCTACTTCTAATTTTTCATCTAATGGAGTTTCTTTCTTTTCTTCCAAAGTACCTCCCATCATATCTTTAACTGCTCTAATACCTGAATCATCTGCCATTAATGCTTTCATACGTGCTTCTTCTTTTAATCTTTCTTATTCCTTTTTTTCTCTCATTTCTCTTGTTTCATATTATGAAAATCCTATTTCTTCTGGTTTAACAGTCAATATTTTTTCTGGATCTTCTAAAATATTCTTTTTCATTTATTATAATTAAGGATCTCTCTTTAATTCTCCATTAATTTCAATAATTCTTTTATTTCTTTCATTAATGTTATCTAATTATTATTATCTCTATTTCTAAATCAATTCAAATTCAGCATTAAATTATCTTTTCATTAAAAATATCACATCATTAATTAATATCATTTAATTTCTTTTTCTATTTAGAGTAAATAATTCACTTACTCCATATAAATAATCCCATTCTGTTAATTCTTCACTTCCCTCTTTCTTCTCTTCACTAGCCTTTTATTATTATTATTATTTCTCCAATTCTTTCTATTTTTCTTCTTCCTATCTCTTCTCTTCCTCTTATTATTATTGTTATTATTATTATTATTATCTTGCTTTAATACTAGCAGCACCTGCCTATGCTCTTCCAGCTGGTTATTTTTATTAAACACCTCCGACACCAGGTTTAGCAGCAACTTTGGTAGGAGCAACTTCTTCTTTTTTTTCATAATCATTTAAAACCATAGACTAAATACCAGGTTTAGAATTAATAATATATTTAGGATCTTATATATGTTCTTCAATACTCCAAACTTCTTTAATTGTTTATTATTTTCTAATTTTTAATTCTCTAATTTCTTATTTTCTTAATTCTTTAATTAATTTTAATTTTCTCATTTCTTCTGATTGTCTAATTCTAATATGATAATTAGTAACAATAATATGTTAAATCAATCCATTAACTCCTTTTAATGGAATTTCTATTTAATCCCAAGTTCTCTCTTTAATTAATTAATAAAGAATTTCTTGTTTAACATTTTCTTTTTTAACCAAATCTCTTAATGCTTATTATTATTTCTTTCCATCTTCCAGTATAGCATCTCTAGCATATAGATCAATAACAAATTCATCTCTTGATAATCTTTCTAATTCATCAGCTTCTGCATTTTCTTATAAAAGTCCATTTAATTTAGATTAAATTTATTTAAGTAAATCTTTTGTTTATCTTTTTTGTTATTCTCTAATAGGTGCTTATTATTCAAGAAATTCACTCTCCAAAACTTATTAATAATATCTAACTTCTTAATCAGACATATCCTAAATTTCCATAGGAGCATTGTAATTACTCTTCATCAATTATGCTGCATCAGAATCTCCTCTTATTTTCTCTCCTGTCCACCAAAATAAATCTCCTTCAAAACCACCAGAATATATCATTTTATATTTTTATGATACAAATATTGTTGAAACACCACCAGATTTCAAATTATGTCCTCTTAATAATCTAACATCTTAATTTAATTGTTGATAACTTCTAAACATTATTGTTCCATCTTTAGCAGAAGAATATAAAAAGTCTTTTATTGCTAAACATGTTGCTGGTAATTGATGACCATCTTATTCATCAACTGGAGGTTAATTAGCAACTCTCATTTTTAAATCCATTTTTGATAATAATTCTTCAGGAAATTTATATTTTTTAAATATTTTATCCTTTCCTGTTGTTATTACTTCTTATTAAGGTGTTACTATTAATAAAGTTTAATCTGGATCAATCTTTCTTCCCATAATTTAGACTTCCAATTTCAAAGATTATGATTATTTTGGTTAAGGTATACTCAATAATAAAAATGAGCATATACAAAATAATTGACCTTTTCCATATGTTATTGCTTAACAATTAAATGGAAGATCTACAAAACCAATCAAATTTTCATTTAAAAAAAAAAATATTGTTGGAGAATCACTACTACAAACAGCCAAATTGTTATCATTAATACTTATACTTGTAATTGGTTTATCAATATAGAGTTTTATCATCTTAAAAAGTACTGGCTAACGTATGTCAGCAACATTATAAAATCTTAATACTCCTGCTGATGTACCTATTATTAAATTTGGTTCTATTAATTCTCCTGAATAGATTTTACCTTCAATATTAAAACTACTCAAAGGTTATTCTAAATATATAAAATAATTATTTACTTGTTATCACATCCATAAATAAAACTACTCCTTAATCTGATCCACATACAATTACATTATGTTATTTATATTCTCTGATAAATGTTATGACTCCTTTTTAAAAGGGACCTAATTTAATTGGTTCAATTTCATGAGTCAAGTCTATTATTTTATCTTCTTCTTATTAATCAACTTAGCCTTCATCTTCTGCCAAATAGCCTTCTGCAGGTACAGGGATAATAAAGAGAGTGGCATTATCTTATGAACATATCAATTTAGTGCATTATTGATTGTACATTATTTTTTTGACTTCTATTCTATCATGAAAATTATATTTCTTATTCACTTTAAAAGGTACAGCCACTTTATCATGCAAATTATTGGTTACATATTTGTACAACCATTCAATTTTAGCATGAGCATATACAACAATTAAATGAACTTAGGTTGGAATTAAATGTTTAATTTCTGAATGACATTCATGTCTTACAATTTCAGTTAAATTTGTTCCATCTAAATAAATTAATACATTTCCTTATATTAAATATATATTATTTTATTCAAATTGATTTTTTGAATCATCTATTAGATTATAATCCTAAACCATAATTGTTGGAGCTGATAGTTCAATTGATGCTACCAATTCCAATTAAAACTACTTCTGAATTTAATTATCATAATGAGGTGTAATTTAATATAATTACAATTAGTTTACATATCGAATTAGAATTCTTTCACCTAAGATTGTGAATTTAGCTTCTATAAAATTCAATTTTAATGGTAATTAACTAAACTTTCCTTTAATTCTACATTTTTCTCTTAAATCCCATAAACAAATTTCAAATTTTGGCACTCCCAAAATCACCAACAAATAACGTCCACAATTAGACACTTCCATTTAAAGTATTTCTAATGGACTTACTCCTACTAAATCATATTCATTTTCATTATCATAAACATGAACTATTGGATTAAGCCCATATTCTGCAACCACTAATATGTTTTTCCTATAATGAACTGTAAAACACTAAAACCCTTATCTCTAAGAATGTACAAAACTCTTGCTATTATTTTCTAGATTCCACTTACATAAAGTATCTAAATAATTTCATTTATTTAATTACTTCCTGCCATAAAGCCAATTGTGTCTTATTCTAGTAACTCCCATTTGTCTCCAGTAAAAGCTATGCAATCACTAAATATATTAAACAACTACTTACTAAACATTCATCGGTTATCTTTTTTTGATATATTAATTAATATATTTAATTTCACATATACAAGAACTTATTTTAATCAATATTTATTATTATTCTAAATTAAAAACCTGTAAACATATATTAAATTAAAATATTTATATTTTTAAATATATAAGTAACCATTCAAAAGATAGAGCATAACTTTGATGGATAAGTTATTGTTTCAGTTCTACCATCTTGATATAATTTTTTATGTTCGCCAGTTTATTAATCCTCGTAATAATCCCCTAAAATCTCATAATTATCTTTCGAATTGATTACTTTTCCAAATCCATGTTTTTTGTCATTTTTAAAATATCCTATGAAAATAATATCATCATAATTTTCGTATATATTGACTAAACCATTCAATTTATCATCTTTGAATTCTCCTTTTTTTACGATTTTCAATCCAAAATTTTTATATATACCCTCTCCATCCCTCTTATCTTTCGAAAACTTACCTACATATTCATCAATTTCGTTTGGATCAAGTCCTTAAAAATTATATTGTCTTTATATTCCTATTCCATCTTTTTGTTCATTTAAAAAATATCCTTTATAGAAACTGATAAAATTATTTTTCTTTAAGATAATTTCCCAGCCCCATTTTATTTAGTCTAATGAGAATATTCCAAATTTTAAATGATTTTGATTTATTCTACTTAATCCTAATCCATGTTTCTTACCATCAAATTTATTGCCTAAATAAATTGAATTTTTATCATCTATATTAAAATTTCTTAGATATGATTTTAAATCTGGATCAATTAATGGGTCTCTTAAAAATTAAAGCATTTAAAAATCATACAATTTTTAAGTGAAATTTAATTGATTTCTTCTAAACTCAAATTTAAATATTGGAACTAATCCCTCATTTTCTTAATCATATAATTATGATAAAAAATTGCTTGATTTCTCTTTTTTAAAATGTAATTATTAAAAACTTTCATTTAAAGCATCCATATACTCTTTAAACTAGATTTAATCCTTAAAATTTTAAGAATTTTTAAGAGAGTAAATTTTCTTCAAAATACTATCTTGATATTTTTTTTTCTTATTTCATTTAATAATGTAAATTATTGAAATGTTAATTTATAATCAAGTGGATTTTCATTAGGGTTATTATTGTTTATTGCAAGTAAAAACTTTTCATAAAAATATCTAGCATCCAAAGGTTTTTCAAATTCAAAACGCTCTACTCCATGAGTTTTCATCTGCTTTTCTAATTCTTTCAATTTCCATAATTCTTTAATTTTATTATTTTGACTGGTTTTTAAATTTTCAGCAGGTATTAATTGTAATTGTTCATTATTAATAACTTATTAATCCAAAGCAAAAGAGGAGATTTTCTACAACAATTCAAGATATTTATTAATATTAGCAGAAATATGTTAATCTTCTTAAATAAATAGCTTTAATAAATTTTTATCATCTTTTAACTAATTTAATTCTTTTTCATTAAGAAAATAAATTAAATTTGGGTGAGGATCTTTATTTTAGTTTTACATTAAATTAATTGCTTATTATCTATGCTCAGCTTATAAAATAAATTATTTTGCTTTTTCCTATACATTACCATTATATTTATTTTTATTTTTATTTTTATCTTTATCTTTATCTTCACCATTACCATTATCATTACGATTACCATTTTCATAAATTTCTTTTTAGATTGAAATATAAATTTGTAATTATTTATTTTATAATTCTTTGAGAAGTATTAAATCAAGTCCTAATTTAAAAAGTTCTAGATCATGCTATTCTAATTTTGATTGTAATTACATTTGTAATTTTTTCCAATTTTCTAATACTGTTTAATAAATTTGTTCACTTTCATCACTCTATTTAAGACTTAAATTGACTTATTCAATTGAAATATCTTTAAAAATATAGTCTATTAGTATTTGAGCTATATTTTTTAATTCTTTATCTTCCTTACACTTATTATTAATTTCATGTATAGAGATTTCCTTATTTTCAATTTTCAAAATACTAAACTAAAATAAGATACAAATATCCTCCCTATACTTTTAAATTTTGTGTTATTTTTCCTTATTTTTTTCATCTTTGTAATTAATAAGATTAACTTTATTTGTTAATTCTTCAAGTTCCTTCAGATTTAAATTACTATCAATTGAGAGTTTATAGTCTTAAATACATCCAAAAATCGTTAAATAAAGTTAATTTCCTTAATAGAATATATTTTTATTTTGAAGGTAAAATATTTTTGGATTATTCTTCTCCATATCACTCATATGTTAGAAAATATTTTTGAATTTCATGAATTTATCTATATTGTCATTGATTTCTTCAAAGGAAAATATATTATTATTATTTCCTTCTCTAGTTTATATTGTCATATAGATAATTTAATTCTATTCAATTACTTAATAAGCATGGTCAATAATTTTGAGATATTATTTGAAATTTGAGGCTAATTTATTTTGAAGTTCAATTTCTTTTTCAATTTATGCTTACCATTAAGGAGATTTAGATTGATTCATTTCCAATTTGTAAATTATTTAACTATTATCTTTATCATAGAATAAACATTTAGAGTTTCTTATAGACTTTAGATCATTAGTTTTTCCATGATCCCTCTCAAAATCTTAAAGGGATTTATTCTAACTCATAAACATTTATAATGAAATAATTGTAAAAAAAATTTGCATAAGAATTAGATTTTATATTAAAAATAATTATATATTTATTGTGAGAGTGATAAATAGAATAAAAAATAAGTTATTGAAGATAACTCAAGTCTAGTTATTTGAAAACCTTTAATTTTAATAATAATATATGTTATGATAATTGGAAGGAAAAATGAATTTTTTGAGGGTTTGCAAAATTAAGAAATATTGAATAAAAAAATTAATTAAACATATGTTATTTGATTGGGTGAAACAGAAAATGTTTATCGATTATATATTTATATTATGTAAAATTTTATTTTTATATATTAAATTATATTAATATATTAAGTTTAATATTTATTATATATTAACATTTATTTTTTCCTTTTTTTTTATTTTATAATATATATCAAAATTTCCTTATCTATTATTATTGATTTTTATTTGTATAAATTAAAAACTCTATACGCTAAAGTCTTTTTTCATAAGCTAAATAACTTGTAAATTATTATTTATCATAATTTATATGATTTTATTATAAAACTAGTATAAAATTTCTTATTTTATTTCTAGATAGCTGTTTAAAGATATTTAATAAATGTATTTGATTAAGATATTTGCTCAAAAATTTATTCATTTTTATAAGAGCCAAATTACTTTTAACTTTGTATATTCAAATTAAAATCTCCTTATATTTTGAGCATAAAGTTTATCAATATTTATTTTAATTAGTTTTAAGAATCACAAAATACTCAATAATTTAAAAATAATAAAATATAAATTCAATTTTTTGGTTAATAATCAAATTAATTCAGTTTAAGTAAATTCTTTTTTAATTACATAGTTCAATTTTTATTGTTTGCATTATCTATAGGGAATTTTAATAGTTGCTAAAAAGATTATAAAAATTATTAATAATATTATTATACTTAATTAAGAAATTTCATTCTATTCAATACTTTTTTAAATCACTTATAAGTTAAGGGTAACTTAATCTATTAATTAATTAAAAATTATATTACTTGTTCCCATTTAATCAATACTAATAACCTAAAACTCAAGAGATATTGATTCAGAATTATATTAAGATTATTTTTATAAGCTGTATCCTCCTCTTTTCCCTATAGATAATACAACAGATTAATTGTTTAAAAAATGATTTATGAATAAATAATGTGTACTATTTAATATCTCCATTTAATCAAGTATTTTTGATGAATAAATTGAATCACAAAGGAATTCAGAGTTTTATATGTCATAAAAATATCTTGTTAATCCACATTCAAGTATAACTTCTGTTTCAGATAATAAAATATATTTGCAGGATTAAGTAGATTTTGGGTATCTTAGAATTTTATAATTGATAAATTCATATTTTTGCTCATTAAGATAAAGACGAATTAAGAATTATATATCATAAATTTACTTGTTGATTATAAATAATATCAAATCAAGTTATTACTTATTTTAATTATAATCTTATTTTATTATTTAAATGGAATCTTATAATATAGGAGTTCCAATTTCAATGAATAAGTTTTTCATAGAAGTATTCATAATTAATATTTCAAATTTTCTATAAATTATGAGTTAAGAATTAAATAATTCAAACAAATTTATAACAATAACTTTTTAAAAAGAATTTATCATCACTTCTAAATATAAGTCTGATGTTATATGATAAATTTAACCTTAAGTATCGAAATTAGTAATATCTCCATAAATTATATCATAATCATTAATTAGATATCATATATTCTTTAAATTATTGAATATTTGCGTATTTAATTACTTTTATATTATAAAGAAGTTATCTTTTATTTAAATTAATGATATTAGAATAGTTTAATTATTTATTTAATTTATAAATAAAAATAAATCTTACTTTATAATCTCCACAAATAGAAGATTATAGATTTACTTCTGAAAATTATAAACTAAATAAGTCTTCTCAAATAATCCAAATTTAAAAAATGTCATATATTCAAAATTATTTACTTAAAAACAAAACTTATTACAATAATATTAACATATTTAATCCATTTCTTTTTCTAAAGGATATCTTAATTAAAATTCATCATTTGATTTTAAAATAATATTGTCAATTTCTCCAAGAATAAAATTTCTAAAATTTACTTCTTGATTATTATTATTAATCAATAAAATATAATCTGTTTATATTAATTTTAAAATCTTTGGATTAATGAGTGTTATCATAATATCCTTTTTAAAAGGAGGTATTTCTATATTTTCTAATTCTATTTCAATTTAAATGATAATTTCTTAACTAATTTTATTATCAAATTCTAAATATTATATTTCAATATTAATGTGCAATAAATCTTAAACAGACAATTCATTTTTATTATCAAAATAATATAAATAAAATCTCTAAACCCAAAAAAATTAATTGCTTGTTTCAATAACCTTTTATAGTAAATGCAAACTAGATTAAAAGGCACAGTTAATAATCAAAATGTAAAATTTTTTATTTATTTTATGTTAACATGAAATTATTATTTTAGACTCTAATATCTTAAATTACAAAGGTTAAACAGGAACGTAATTCCCTAAATTATAATATCTAATTTTTATAAACTCAGTTGTTGAAACAACATAAAATTGTAATTCATTTTTTATTATATCTATTAGCACTAAACTTGAGATTAAATTGCTTTGGGAATTACTTAGAAATCCAAGTATCTCAGCCTTAATATTAATAACTAATATATATAAATATATTTATACTTTATACAACAACTTATTTGTATATTAGATGTAATTAATCTATGTACAAAACACCATAAAAATCAATTTATATTTAAAAAATATCTAAAAAATTCTAATTTTTTATTTAACCTAACATAAAGTTTTATTCAATTTTTATTTGACCAAAATTTGAAAACATATTATAGAATACTGGTTAATCCTTCAATTTAAAGATAATTTGATTATTTAAACCAAATATCTTTTCAACCTATGAGTCTAAACACAATATCTTACTAATTAATTCATTTTAATTTTATTCATCTAATTAGATTTTATATAAACACATCTTTTATTAATCTAAGAGTATTAAATTATTTGAATTTATAAATTTATGTAATAATTATTCATTTAAAGGTAAAATATTTTGATAAATATAGTCCTGTGAACTTTAACAATGATATTCTATAATATTATTCTTAGGACCTTAAACGATTATAGAAAAAATAAGATCATTTTTAGTTTTAATAATAAATTTCCCTTTGTAATTTTTTAATTAATGGTTGAATATACATTTTATTTAATTATTTTTTAACTAAAATTTTATTTGATTTAATGGAGATCGAAAATTGATTTTATATGGTTATATTGATTAAATAGAAGATGCCAAAAAACTTACTTAGAAGGATTCCTCATAATTTATTCTTTCAATATAATAAATTTTATTTTAAATATTAATAAAAATTGCATATTCCTTTTTCATATCATCATTATCCATTATGATGGGCTTATAACATTCAATAAAGCTGATTTTCTAAAAATTTAGATTTAATTTATCAATAAATTAAAGATAATAATTAGAGTATTTTTAATTATCATTATAATATGGTAGACATGGTTTAGAATATTTAATCTAAAATAATTTAACTTAATTTTCTTCTCCTATTCCAATATAAATTCTTTAATTTGATAATTAAATTAAATGTGCAATTTTAATTGTTATAGTTTGATAAACAAGCTCATTTACATAAAAACTTACATAATTTTCATACTTTAGTAATATGCTAGTAGGATTTGAAATTTAAAAGACTTTTTTTGGTAACTCTTTTGTATTAAGAATTATTTCTTAAAATTGTTTAGGAAGAGAATATATAACATAATTTTCTGATTAGCTTTTTACAGCCGTTCTTAGATTACAATGAAAATCAAATTCAAATACAATTTCTTTTAAATTTAGATTTTCTGCCTTAAATAATAGTATCAATTATTCTTTAGAGTAATAATAACCACCAGAGGAAAGTAACATAAAAATATTATGTTAACATGTAAGAACATCAAGAAGAATTCCTTCTGTATTATATTTTTCAATTAATAAATTTTGATCAATTTATAATTTGAAAGAATTATTCTCATAAACATGAATTATCCATCCTTAACATGAAAAGTAGATTATAAAAAATATATTAGAATAGTAGTGAAATTTTAAAAGACATAATAAATTAAGAATTTCTGATTAATATATAATTGTTTATTTGAATTATTCTTATTCCTTTTATAATTAGTAAAGTTTAATTTAATCAGACGAAAAGCAAAATATAGCCAAACCTATTGTGTTATAATCAAATTAGGAACAGTTAAAATTTTATTCTGTTTATATTAAAATATTAAACTGAGTGTTAATTTGTATGATAATCTGATTATCTATGATATAAGTTTGTTGTGTTGAAATACAATTTATTGAATAAGTATTTAATTGAGGATTATAAATTAATGAACAAATTTCATTTTCATCAATAAGTTCTCTATATTTAATAGAAATAATTATATCATCCTTTGAATATAATATTGGTCCATTTGAGATTTATATTAAGTCTTCATAACTCTATAATGTATTAATATTAGTTAAATTATCACTTCTTTATCCAACAAAAAAGGTATTTATTTCTCTCAATTCACAATATTTTTCATTTTATTTTAATAAAACAGTTTAACATTATTTTTGATTATTATTTGTTTAAACCTTCTGAATTAAACATAAGATAAACAAAACAGTTTATAATTGTATAAAATTTAGAGTAATCATTCTAAATTATATAATAATTATTTTAATAATGGAATATAGAAAATAAAGTCTTAAATATTATCTAAAATTTTATGAATATAAAGATTGTAAATATTTTTTATTATTAATATATATAATCAACAAAATTAACTATTTTATTTTATATATAATAGTATATTAATTAAAAATAAATCATATTTTAGTTTCATAAATAAATACTTTAAAAAGTAGAGTGGCTATGTTTGTCACCTTTTATAATCTTTGTTTGTAATTTATTTTAAGCTAAGATTAATCTATCATCTATTCAAACTGATTTTCAGATTACAAATGCAAATCAATACTTGTAATATACTTTAGTGTATCACCGAAATGTGAGTCAGATAATGTAATCATAAAATATATTTTACCACCGGGTTTAAGTAATGAAATGGCTAATTAAAGAGCTTCTTTTGGTTAATTAAGTAATAGAAATGAGGAAGAGAATACAATAGTATCAAATTTTCCAAAGGTTTCTGAGTTCATTTAGTAGAAATCTAACTCATATAATTTGACTTAAGGTTTATCTTTAAATAAGTGATTTGCCTTTCTTAAATAATTATGATTGATATCTATGGCAATTATCTCACAATTTAATGGGAATCTATTTAAAGCTTAATTCAAAGGAACTCCAGTACCTACACCTACATCTAAGATTCGTTATTATTATCCTGTTAGTCTTTCACATAATTTCTCATAGGTTAAGGAGGTAATGGGATGAGATATAAACATATCATATATTGTAGTGCTTGAATAATCTACAACATCTTTTATTGTTGAATAGATTGCTGAAAATGAATTTCTTGCAATAGAATGGATCATATAAATTATAATAATGTAAATTAGATTAAATGCTACAATTTATATAGTAATGCAATTGTTATTAAATACGTATTATGAGAATTAAGATTTAATGAATAATTAATGAGTTTATACACATTATATATAAAATATAATAATAATGATTTCTAAATTAAATGAAAATAATCTTAACACTAATTCTCATCTACAGAAATGCTATAAATGGATATCTAGTAGCTTGTAATACTTTATCCTAGATTAATTGTTAAAATTCAGGCTATTGTTAATGGATATCAAGTTCATGTAGATCACTTGAATGCCATAAAGTAACAGAAGTGAGAGCATGTTCTGGAAAATTATTAGGAAACTTATATTAGAAATAACTTTGTAAAGTTGCTCAAAATGTTGATCCAAAATTTTTGAACTTATGCATTGGATATAAGTAGGATACAATAAAATGGGGATATTTAGTATACCCATAAGACAATACTCAAAAATCTACTTATGTAGCATCTAGTGGCTAATTAATTAGTTTAATAGCCACAAAAAAGTATCCAGGATAATTCAAATCAGAAATATTGACATTAAATATATTGAAAGCATAAGCAAATGATCTCATAAATATTATGTATGGATATCTATAATAAACAAATGAATTATGTGATAGAGAAATACCTATATCATTTTTAGAGAAAGCAATTTATGAAAGCATGTAATAAATAAGAGATGATGAAACTATCACATTTACTTCAAGTATACCAACAAAAACTGATTATTATTTGGCTTTATGGGGAATGACTGATGCATTCTTTTTAAAATTAAGATCATAAAAAATTAGTTAATATATTTCTTATAAATATTTGATAAATTTTGGATTTGCTAATTTGAAGATGGAGAAATTATGTTTAGATACACAATTTGAAGTATTTGAGTTAACTTGGCAATATTAATAATCTGGATATATTGAGGTATTGGTTATGCCTGGTGAATAATTTGGATTTGATTTAATACATTCTAATGTTATTATAATAAGGATATCAGATTTAAATGGTCAAAATATGAGTAATTAAATCTAATTAAAATGGATTCATCAATCCTAAAAAATATTTACTTCTAAATAGATCATTCAAATAGATATAACTAAAATGTCTATTATAAATAATATTAGTGGAACTTGTTCATAATTAAGTTGTGATGCATCATTAATTTTGAATGAAAGAAAAGCATATATAATTGGTGATTCAACAATCAAAAATTGTGTAGGAAGATCTTAATCAGCATGTAGACTTGGTGAATGTACTTGGAATGATTCTACAGGTATTTGTTCATGAAAATAGATATAGAAATTTATTATTAAATATAATTTATATAATTATTTAGATGATGCAATTCATTATATTAAGTTTGTCCTTAGTACAAATAATCAATGCAGCCTTCGCTCTAATAGATTGCGCCTCATTAACTAATGCAACTCTTTGCATGTAGTCAGGAAATTGTCAGGTAAGCAGCTTTGCAGCTACAATTACTTGTTAACCCATTACAGATTGTTATAGAGTTAGTGAAGTTTAAGCTTGCTTATTAACTCCAGCAGCAAACTCAATAGCTGGTTGTAAAGCTTTGAACATAGACTATAAATATGAAAATGTTTGTGTAAAAACAACAGAAAACAGTGTTCCAAATGGACTCCTTAGATTTAGAAGATAAGCAAATATAACCAGATCACCAGATATAACATTATCAGAAACTCCAGTTTCAGTATTGACAACAACAACTACTCCATAAAAATACACTTATTAATTATTTACATTAGATATTCTTCTAGCATCTCCTACTTAATTGGCTGCTATTTTAGATGCATTCAATCATGGAATTAATTAATTGATTACAGATGCAGTATAACCAAAATTTTTGGAAAAGGCTGTCATTGAAACTTTTTAAAATATTAGAGTATAAATATTGTTATTAAATTTAGGATGATGTGACATATACACAAGTTACAAGATCTACTTAATTAGGGAAGGCTTGGGATTTAGTTAATATTCTATTCTAAAGGTATTAAAACTATAAAGCATATTATGTTTAAAACTATGATTTTATAAATTTTGGATTTTCAGATTTAAATAGATAAAAACTTGTAATAACAACAAAGACCTATGAAATTGAATTAACATGGGCAACTTATGCTAACAATGGATATATATATGTTATGACATTGGCTCCAGAATAATTTGGGATAATTAGTATCAAACAATTATCTGATTTAATTTGGATTAAAATAGTAAAAGATGATGGTACAACTTAAGACCTTACAGCTGTTCCTGTATTTATTAAATATACCTGGGTCTATACTGCAACCTAATACTCTGCTGTCTATATTCAAACATTCGACAAACTATTTTCATCAGCCTTTGCACCAGCTGCAAATACACCAGTTTCAGTAACCTGTTTTTATCCAACTACATCAACGACTTACTGCCCTTCATTTGCTGTTCCAGTTGCAGCATTAGATTAATTAATGATATTTCATCATGATACAATTCAAGATTGCACAGCCCTTACAGGAAATTAACCATATTTTAGATTAGCAAGATGTTGATGAAGAATATAAATATCAATATCAGACAAATATTATTTTATATTTTCTATAATATAATTATGATAATACCTATTTTATTAATCACAAATTTGATTACATCATCTGCTGTTTATACATTGGTTGGAGAAACTCCATGCACAGGATTAATAAATACAGCTTGTACTGCAAGTGCAATTTCTGGATTTGGATATTGTTATTGGGAAACGTAATTTATAAAACAATTATTTTTATTTTAGCAATTGTTAAACCCTACCATGTTATATGATTGATGAAATTGCTGCCTGTAGAACAGGTTCTGGATTACCTACTGGAGGTGCATCTACTCTTTGCGATTCTTTAGAAACATTCAGTTTATAATATGATAATGTTTGTTGTGATAAATCAGAAGGATAATTAAATTATGCTTTTGTTAGATTTGCTAAAACCACAGATGGTCATTTTGATAAAGCAAGTGATGGATCAACTACATTAGCATCTCTAAACTAATAAACTTCAGCAATTATCTTTTAATTATACACAGTAAATCCATGGAAGATTATGCCATCATTTTATAATTTGCCTACAGCAACTAATTTTGAATCATAATTAGGAGCCATTTTAGATTAATATAAATTTTTAGCTCCTGCATTACAAACTTAGTCAGATTCACATCCTTTTTACATGGAAAGAACTGTGTATTAATCATTACAAATGTTAAGAGTATATAATTAATTCTCAATCTTAGGATTTCCTTGTTTTATAAACATCTCCATAAAATACAATGAGAGATAATTTAATAAAAAAAATATGGTCAGTTACCCTTATAGCATTATTTAGAATGGTCAAATTTTAACCTAATTATTATTCAACAAATTATTATTTTATCAATTTTGCCATTATTCCTTATTCAAGAAATTCAATCACACTTAATGGACAACAACATACAACTAAAATTGATTGGACAGGTTATTCTTATAGTTAAAATGGATATTTAATGGTGTATTCATTTCCTCCTGAAATATTTGGAATTAGAAATGCTTACTCAGATGTTATCTGTTTAAGACCAATAGTTGGAAGTTCACCAGTTTATGATGCGAATGAAAATACTTTTGATACTGGTTTCAAACCATTAACTTTCACATGGTCCTGGACTGACCCTTCATTAACTGTTGTTGCTGCCAATCTTAAATTATTTAAATTTCCTATTGGTGATGCTTTAGAAACTGGAATTACTTAAGAAACTGCCACCTTTACTTGTTATATGAGTGCTAAATATTGTGTCTCTTCTAGTGTAACAGCTACACCTCCTAATACAGGAGTTAATTATTATATCACCACTGGATTAGGAGTTACTGCAGATAAAAATAAGGTATAATGTAGATTGTAAGGAAAATCATGGTCAGGTACAATTTGTTCTTGAATATCAAATTATTAATAAAGTTAAAATTAATTATATTGCCTTAAAACTTAAAACTCTTAGTTATTTAAAAGCCTTTTTGATTAATTATATTAAATTATTAATGATTTGCCTTTCTGAAAGGAAGATTTCCATTCATCAGAATAAAGGATTGATTTAGTTACCTGAAATATCTAAATCTTAAGAACTTCTTGTATTTAACATATCATCAATTTAGAAATTAAACAATAGAGCGTTATAATCAAGTAAGGTTAAGAAATAAACAAAACCACAATCCCCAAATAAAGACATTTATTACTTAAAATTACCTGCAATTAACAAGAAAGCTTTAGATTAAACAGACAACTTTTTCAAATTATCTAAATCCCAAGTATAAACTTAAAAAATGTATAATATAATTGCTAATATTAGACTTTAAGGAGATACTTCACTGGACAATATTAGCAAATATAATAAAAAACTACAAGATATCTAAAACAAACACAATCATTACATTAATAAAATTGAAGAGCTATATATGATTACTAAATAACACTCATGAAATCATAGTTTATGTTATTAACTTTAATTAATTATTTTATATTATTAAATTTAATAAATATTATCTATTACCTAGTATTGCTAGATATATATTGTCTTCTATCAGACTTTATCACTTTAACAAATAATTATTACTCTAAGTTTGTTATATATCTGATTTTGGTTGTTGAATTTTCTATTTAATGATTCATTCATAAATAGATCTCCTTTTTTCAACTCTAAATCATATGAAATCATTATCATTATTAATCGAAATTTTATTTGATGAAAAATATTTTAATAGAATTTGATAAATATTTTTATGTATTTATTAACTAAAAGACTAATAACAATATTATTAATGATAAACGATTTACCTTTGCCAGAATAATTAAATGAACCGCCTTTGCTAGAATAAACAAAAGAGAAAATCGAGATTGCTTAATTTTCTAAAAAGAGATTCATTTAAATAACAAAGTAATTCCTTTATATGATGAAGAGTATTGAATCCTGTTCTAGAAAATTTATATAATCTTATAGAGCCCTTTGTAACTTTAAAAATGAAGGAATCTATTAACGAAAAAGAAGTTTAAGAATACGATTTAGGGTTCTAAATTTAGCTAGTAAATCTAAAAGAAATAATTATATAATCTTTAGGAATTGAAATGGTCTTTGTCACTCCAATATCCAACTTAAAAACTCCTTATTAATTTGGTACATTCAAGATATTTCACTATTTGATTAGTCTTTTGACTGAATTCTATCAATTTGAAGATGAAAAATTAGACTAATTAATTAAAGATTTCAAATAGTAGAATTAGGATTTATTTTAATGTTGTAACCAATTAGGGTTGAACTTTTTTGAAAATGAAAATTAAGAAAAGATAAAGTAATTCATTAGCAATTTGAAAGATTTATTTTAAAATGATTTCTTACAAATATTAAAAGAGATTTTACAGATTCTATGTGCAATTTTAAAATTAATTCACATTGGTATATAGAATAATTGTGAAAATAAAAATTAAAAAGAAAATTAATAATTAGATGAATATTAAAAGGGTTCATTATCAAATACATCCGAATATGATTAATAATCAGTTGAAAGCTAAAAGGGTGAATAATCAAATTAATCTAAAGACGATCAATCATCAGTTTAAGCCTAAAAGGGTTCAGAATAAGATGAGCAAAGTGATGTAAAATATAGTCAACCTTTTACATATATTCCTGATGAAGATGAAGAAGATGATAGGATAGATAATTTGGAAATAAATCCATAAAGTGATTAAATCCACATTTTAGATACCAAAAATTAGGAAAAATTTAAGAAAGAATAATTAATAGAAATATTTAAGAATTTATTAGATGTGTAAATAGATGACCAAAACAAATCCTTAATCGAACAATTGTTAGATAATTATTCAGGAAAGGCAAGTAATTTACTTCTAAATTCTAATAGAATTATTGGGTAGGCATAGCATCTTTATCAAAAACTAATATAATCCTTTTTCATTTAGGTAGGATTATCTTTATCCAAGAAAATAAGATATGATTAAGAAATTAATAAAGAAGGTTAAGCAACTTTTTTAAGATTTCCTGATTAAATACTAGGAGGAAGTAAAGCAAGACCATATTAACCTAATTGTTATTTTATTAATCTCTACAGGGATTTGATGAATTGTTAGTATTAAATCTAGAATTACCTAATTGAGAAGAATAAATAAATTGAGAAGAATGAATAAATTGAGAAGAATGAATAAATTGAGAAGAATGAATAAATTGAGAAGACGAATGAATAAATTGAGAAGACGAATGAATAATTGAAAGTTTTAGAAAACAATACTATAGAATTATAGAAATTAAATGATTAAAAAAGTATTAGAGATTTTTTTATGGATGTTAAAATGAAAAATTTGGGTGAAAACCTACTTGTTTAAATTATTCATAAATCGAATAATAATAACTAGAATCCATGTACTATTTATGATTTTGATTAATTTTGCAAAGCTAATCATTATGATATAGCAAATAATGATAAATAAATATTGAAGACTAGTAAACTATATTTGATCAATAATTAACATAATCAAGATAATATTGAAAATTTGCCTTTATAAAAAAGTTCTACAGCTATAAGGGAACTTCTCTAAAATTTCTATAGTATTTAGAAATATAATTAGAATTACAATAACGTTTATAATTATTAAATTGATAATAATTTAATTAATGCTATGAAAACCTATATTAGAGATATAAAAAATCAAGAAGTATAAGATAGGAGGAATTAGAATTAAAATAATGGCTTATATTAAGATTAAAATTTTGAAGGTAGTTCTTCAGATGGATCTTCTAGTAGTGGTAGTAAATCTGAAAATATATTAGATTGATTTTATTATTTAATTTACTTATTATCATAAGATAACTAAAACTTTATATTGTAATATTTTTCGATTTCTTTTTGGCTAATAGCTGAATTTATAAGCATTAAGATAATATCAAATTAAAGATATGATTAAATAATTGTATATTGAATAGTATGAATAGAAAAATTTATGAAATAAATGAAAAAAATAAGAAATATATAAGATTTTTTATTAAAATACAACTTAAAAGGTAAATATTAATCTTATCTTAATTAAATATTTGTGATGGCTTGAATAAACCATCTAATTACACAATATTAATGATCTAAATATAAAAATAATTAATGAAATTGATAATCATTACAAAACTTTGTTGACTTAAATTGAATCATTATACATATTTATATTTTAATAAATATATTTATTTTAACTCTCATCATTATCTCAAGAAAGCTCATGATTTTAGATCTTATGAAGAAAAGAATTTTAGAGTCTATATTTTGATGTAAATTATATAAGGTATTAGACACTAGAAAATCAAAATTATATCTAAATAATTAAAACAATAGATTTACTGAATAATTAATGTTAAGCTTTATTGAACATNAAATTGAGAAGACGAATGAATAAATTGAGAAGACGAATGAATAATTGAAAGTTTTAGAAAACAATACTATAGAATTATAGAAATTAAATGATTAAAAAAGTATTAGAGATTTTTTTATGGATGTTAAAATGAAAAATTTGGGTGAAAACCTACTTGTTTAAATTATTCATAAATCGAATAATAATAACTAGAATCCATGTACTATTTATGATTTTGATTAATTTTGCAAAGCTAATCATTATGATATAGCAAATAATGATAAATAAATATTGAAGACTAGTAAACTATATTTGATCAATAATTAACATAATCAAGATAATATTGAAAATTTGCCTTTATAAAAAAGTTCTACAGCTATAAGGGAACTTCTCTAAAATTTCTATAGTATTTAGAAATATAATTAGAATTACAATAACGTTTATAATTATTAAATTGATAATAATTTAATTAATGCTATGAAAACCTATATTAGAGATATAAAAAATCAAGAAGTATAAGATAGGAGGAATTAGAATTAAAATAATGGCTTATATTAAGATTAAAATTTTGAAGGTAGTTCTTCAGATGGATCTTCTAGTAGTGGTAGTAAATCTGAAAATATATTAGATTGATTTTATTATTTAATTTACTTATTATCATAAGATAACTAAAACTTTATATTGTAATATTTTTCGATTTCTTTTTGGCTAATAGCTGAATTTATAAGCATTAAGATAATATCAAATTAAAGATATGATTAAATAATTGTATATTGAATAGTATGAATAGAAAAATTTATGAAATAAATGAAAAAAATAAGAAATATATAAGATTTTTTATTAAAATACAACTTAAAAGGTAAATATTAATCTTATCTTAATTAAATATTTGTGATGGCTTGAATAAACCATCTAATTACACAATATTAATGATCTAAATATAAAAATAATTAATGAAATTGATAATCATTACAAAACTTTGTTGACTTAAATTGAATCATTATACATATTTATATTTTAATAAATATATTTATTTTAACTCTCATCATTATCTCAAGAAAGCTCATGATTTTAGATCTTATGAAGAAAAGAATTTTAGAGTCTATATTTTGATGTAAATTATATAAGGTATTAGACACTAGAAAATCAAAATTATATCTAAATAATTAAAACAATAGATTTACTGAATAATTAATGTTAAGCTTTATTGAACATATTTTATTTTTTAAGACTATTTGTATCAACTTTGATTAAAAATTAAATAGATTCATATAATTCAAGTATACATATTGATGAATTTTAATGAAATCCATTTATATCTATAATTAAATTATATGAAAATAATTTGATAAAAGAATTCAATTTATGTAATAAAATTTGGACTAAATTTGAAAAAAGATTTAGTTATTTATATGTTTTAGATATATGTATATATATAAAAAAACTAAAATAATATTCAAGATATAATAAATAGTTCAATATAATAATATATATCATTAATAATTGAGAAATTAAATAATTTTTTTTAATTTATGGGATCATCATGCAATTCAATTAAATGTGAATAAGATTCAATTGATTACGATATTCCAGAATAAGAAGGATAAATCAAAAGAATTACATTAAATTTTGTAGTGAAATAATAATACTTTGGTTTTAAAAACGAGGACATTCTTTAAATTGAAAATAAATCACTGTATATACCAATAGAATATCAATAAAATTAAATCCTTTTTCATTCTATACTCTATTAGAGTGAAATTGCTAAATCTTAAACGTTAGAATCTTCCGGAAAATATCAACCTAAGAAAAACAATAGTCTAACTTAAGTTAACAATAAAAATATTCAAAAAGAAGAATATAATCAAAAATTATAAAAAAGTAGACTTATTTCTTATTAAAACTTAAAGGAATGACTAATGAAATATTATTTATGTTTATTATTATTCAGTTATTTTTTAATTTATTAATAATTAACAATTTTATGTATAAATTGTAAATTATATTTCAATTAAATAATCAAAAATTAGATTAAGAAATTAAATTGATAAAAAAATTATTTTAACTCTAATAATATTATTTCTATTATAGTATAAATAAAATTTTGATCTGAATTTAAATTAATGTTTAATTGGATAGATTAAGATTTCTATTAAATTTAACTTATAATATTTATTTAAAATGAATTAATAATAAAAAAATAGGCAATTAAATATTTCAATTTTGTTATCTTTAAGAAATAGTAAAACTATGGACTTTTTGAAATTAAAAAAAACAGATTTTAATTTATAGATTTAATTGAATTTGATATTATTAGTATATAATTAAATAAATTATGGTTGCATATTATTAGATAAAATGGTTTGAAAAATAAAGCTCTTTATATTATAAGGTTTAATTTTTTATATTTTGTAATGAATATCATATTAATTATTAGTTTAATATTAAAATATATAGGAGTAATTAATAAGAATTCTTTAATTTAATCATATTGGTGTAAAATAAAAAGATATAAAGATTTTTAACATTGCTAATGATGTATAATTCTTAATATAACTAGAATTTAATAAATTTGAAATAATTCTAAGAAATATTTAGATTTTTCTCTACCTTTAAGAATATTTTGTAATTTATTAAAATTGAACATTTTTAGTATTATAAAATGTATAATATTNGACTAAATTTGAAAAAAGATTTAGTTATTTATATGTTTTAGATATATGTATATATATAAAAAAACTAAAATAATATTCAAGATATAATAAATAGTTCAATATAATAATATATATCATTAATAATTGAGAAATTAAATAATTTTTTTTAATTTATGGGATCATCATGCAATTCAATTAAATGTGAATAAGATTCAATTGATTACGATATTCCAGAATAAGAAGGATAAATCAAAAGAATTACATTAAATTTTGTAGTGAAATAATAATACTTTGGTTTTAAAAACGAGGACATTCTTTAAATTGAAAATAAATCACTGTATATACCAATAGAATATCAATAAAATTAAATCCTTTTTCATTCTATACTCTATTAGAGTGAAATTGCTAAATCTTAAACGTTAGAATCTTCCGGAAAATATCAACCTAAGAAAAACAATAGTCTAACTTAAGTTAACAATAAAAATATTCAAAAAGAAGAATATAATCAAAAATTATAAAAAAGTAGACTTATTTCTTATTAAAACTTAAAGGAATGACTAATGAAATATTATTTATGTTTATTATTATTCAGTTATTTTTTAATTTATTAATAATTAACAATTTTATGTATAAATTGTAAATTATATTTCAATTAAATAATCAAAAATTAGATTAAGAAATTAAATTGATAAAAAAATTATTTTAACTCTAATAATATTATTTCTATTATAGTATAAATAAAATTTTGATCTGAATTTAAATTAATGTTTAATTGGATAGATTAAGATTTCTATTAAATTTAACTTATAATATTTATTTAAAATGAATTAATAATAAAAAAATAGGCAATTAAATATTTCAATTTTGTTATCTTTAAGAAATAGTAAAACTATGGACTTTTTGAAATTAAAAAAAACAGATTTTAATTTATAGATTTAATTGAATTTGATATTATTAGTATATAATTAAATAAATTATGGTTGCATATTATTAGATAAAATGGTTTGAAAAATAAAGCTCTTTATATTATAAGGTTTAATTTTTTATATTTTGTAATGAATATCATATTAATTATTAGTTTAATATTAAAATATATAGGAGTAATTAATAAGAATTCTTTAATTTAATCATATTGGTGTAAAATAAAAAGATATAAAGATTTTTAACATTGCTAATGATGTATAATTCTTAATATAACTAGAATTTAATAAATTTGAAATAATTCTAAGAAATATTTAGATTTTTCTCTACCTTTAAGAATATTTTGTAATTTATTAAAATTGAACATTTTTAGTATTATAAAATGTATAATATTAATAAATATGAGACCATAAGTAGGTTTAAAAATATAAGGTAAATTAAAGCCATCAGATAAATAACTAATAGAAATTGTAAATTTACATGGTGGTATCAATTGTACAAGTTGGAGTTAAGTGGCTAGAATATATGAAAGTTAAGTAGGAGTAAGAGTGAGAAAAGCTTATGAATTAAAGAGACTCTATATATCATTTACATAATATGATGAATAATTTACAAGAGAATAGTTGGTTGAGTTATTTGAATCTGCTATATAGAGTAGAGGGAATTCAAGAGCAGGTAGCAAATAATTTGAATAAAGAACTGGGATACATATTTATATTTCTAGATATACATCATATATTAAGGGATGGTTGAGATAAGGTTTGAAATATATGAGAGATGTATTTTTACCATCAAGAAATAAATCTTGGGCTTAGACAGAATTCTATTCAAAATGTTAATACATTCCACCAAGATCTGCATTTTATATGCTTAAGATTTTAGATTGTAATTTAAAAGACTACTAAGATGATTTTATAATAATGGATTTTTATAAATGTGCAAGTGTTTTCTAATAATTACTATATTTATATGCTTTAAATTTTGATGTAAAAAGTAGAACAGAAGTATATGGTTTATTTAGTCAAATGATAACAAGAAGAATGTATAAGAAGATTCATTGTTATGCACATTATTTTGAGGAACTTAGGAAAATTAATGTAACTAAGATTTGTAAAGATGAATAACTTACTCAACATCCTATGTTAGCTAGAACAATTAAGAAAAATTAAGAATCCTCATTATATAAACTATTATTTTAAGAGCATGACTATACTGTTAAATTTAAATTATTTAATGAATCAAATGATTTAGATTAGAATCAATTTAGTGTATTATTAAAACCTTCAAAGACTAAAGAATAATTAAATGAATAGGAAACTTTTGTTATGAATTTAGTTTAATTGAAAGAAGAGAACAAAATAAAGAGTCAAAAGGTACCTAAAGAATTTATAGAAACAAAAAAGAAAGTAAAATAAAAGAAATATTTTCGTGGACATTTTATACGTGATGGAACTTATTCTTGTTGTAATTAAACAACTAAATAATTTGATTATGATTATGATATTTGATAAAGATATTTCTTATTTTTCAAATTTAATATAATTGTACAAATATTAAAAATATTAAGTCATTATATAAATAATTCATAATTATTTTGATTTATGTTGAATTAGATAATGCAAAGATGACGGTGTATTTTTCATTAATTAACTCCAATTTTCTATTTGAATGTAATTAATTATATATGAAAAATATTACGTATGATTTGTAAAATTAAAGCAATTGCTCAAATCAAGATTCAAAAATAAATTTAAATACCTATGAATCCTTTACAATAGCTTTACCTCTAAGCAATTATCAAACACTAAGAACAAGAAAAGGTGAAGTAAGAAGAATAAGTCTAAAAGTAAAGTAACGAAGTATAATATTATAATTAATACATTAGATTCTTAAATAGTAGCAACTCTTATCATTAATGTCATATTCTACAGACAACCTTATAGAAAAGTAATTATAAATATTTAATTTTTAGAAAAGCTTGGTCTCTAATTGACATTCAAAATAGGGTTACCTAATATTTTTAATAATAAGTGTTGAGAAAGTAAGTTGTAACAATTAAAAACTGTATTGAATATCATCTGCCCTATTTTTTGAATGTATTGGGTAATTTGATCATTCATGGATTGGATCAAATATAAGGAGAAACTGAACAGATAGTTTTACTTAAAACATAATTCATTGCCTAACCAAATAAAATTACAATGAGTAGTTCTTTATTTTAAACACTCTCTCTTTTATTGAGATCTTAACTTGTATAATATGATAAAGGTAATCTAGAATATTTATTTGAATATTAGGTACATAATTCCTTTCCAAATTCTTAATATTCAGAGATGACTTTTGTGATATTTTCTTTAATACTCTTTATTAGTATTCTATATCATCCAACTAATAAGTGAGTCAATAATTGAGTTTCAATCAACTTTATTCTATGATTAAAAAAGTACCTGAAGATATTTGGGGAACCTTTATTTTCAAAATGTTTAGCTAATAACAATAGAAATTGAATAAAGATTAATTCTTAGTTCAATTCAATTAATACACTGTTAATATGAATAATTTCTTCAAAAAGTCTAATTTGATTTTTGATGTTGTAGAAAACACTGTCAAACAAACTGCTTAAATGCACAATGATTCAATTTTCTAAGAAGTATATAAATCTATTAAATATTAGTATCTCTTAATTATGGGAAGTTTCAAAGCTACTACTTAAGACTTTCTTAGAAAAGCTACTAGTGTATATTTTGAAGAACATAATGATGAGATTGACCTAAATGAATTCAACATCAGAACTTAAAAAATACACAAATAGATGAATTGTTCAATCTTATATATTCTACCTATGTTATTATAAATTGAAAGTCATATGATTGACATGATACAATAAGATAGATATAATGATAATACTTAAGTCAAGAATAGTTCCAATTATTATTTGAAAATGATTGAAAAATTGAAAAATAAATGTGTGTATAATGGAGAAGATGAATGCAATTGCAAAAAGTGTCAATGTATAAGAAGGAATAGGAATTCGGCTAAAGAATCTTAAAGAAAGAAAAGAGAAGCTCTTGAAAAGATTGGACCACTCTAGGATGCTTATGAAGAATTGTAAAAGAAAGTATACATTCTTAATTACAATTAGGTTAAAGTTATTGAAAATGAAAATGAGACTCTAAGATAATTATTAACTGAGGTTTTTAAACATCCTACTGTTTCATAATTATCACCAGAGTTCATTGAACCATTGACTAAGGTTATTTAAGATACAGATCCTGTACAACATTCAAATTCTTATGAATGTTGATTAAATAACAATGTCCCCATTAAGTAACAAATTTGAATATCTATATATATATTTATATATGGATATTTAATAAACATAATTTAACTTATATTAGATACAAAATCTTAGAAATGATAAGATGATAAAGATTAAATGTCAAATATTTATATTTAATAAAATTAAATCCATCAATTACCCGAAGTTTTCCTAAAAATTAAATACATATTTACTTCTCTAACCGTATTGTTAAACTTTTAAAAGTAGTATAAATTTACTCGAATTTATCTGATACTAAATCTAACTACCTGACCAACTCTTCAGGTTTTGGACACTCCCTGAATTTAATGGTCTTTATTAATGCAACAGTGAATTCCCTAAGATATTTAAGATTTAAACTTGGCTAACACGTGGGCAGCATCGATTTCAATATTTGAATCTCCCAAACATATTAGATTGGTAAACACATCATTTTCATACTTAGATCTTATATCCTTAAAGGCTTCTATCTTCCATTTACCACAATCACCTGGAAACATTTCTTCATATCCATGTCTAGCAGAGATTACAACAATTTTTTTATCAAAGATGACTTAAAACACCTTATTCATATACCTACTTAAATTAAAATATCTACAATTTGCTGCTGTATTCAACCCAACCCTAAGCAGCATTTGTAATTATAAATACATCCCCTACTTAAGAAGCTTTTTCTAACAATCTACTCTTAATATGTTTATTTAAATTACAGCGCTTTCATTTAAAGCAGTCAATTATTCTAAAACATCTATGGGTAAATCAACAAATCCATATCCTCCTAAAAAGGTTGTACATAATAATGTGTCATCCCAATCAAATATTGTCACTAAATCATATAAAAAGTATTACAAGTTTAATGCTTCTTCTATTATTACATCAATTTATTATTCATAAGTTTTTAGATGTAATTATTACGAACATCATCATTCGTTCTTATTATATAATTTAATTGAAATTCTTTAGATGAATTCTCCTTCTCATATACTTACTTTATTCCCAATCTCTGTAAATAGTTTTATCTCCACTGTTTTCCCGAAAGTGAATTCACTATATTGTCTTTAATCCACGCTTAAGGATTTTCCATCTTATCTTATTCAACCTTTTCCATTACAGTCAAACTTTAATTCATTTCTGTGTGTTAATTAATATTATTAAATTGATAAGACACATGAATAGCCAAAATATAATTGTAAACGAAACTGCTATGAAATAGTTCTGATATACAATTAAGATGTATCATTAAGAATCACAATATGATATATTATACTAATTAATAGAAAAGTTCAACTTGTTTTTTAAAAAAAATATGATTATTCTTAAATATAAATATGAATAACAAAATTATTGAGATTCAAATTTACATCAAAACGAGATATTATTATAGAATTTGATTACATGTTTTTATTTTATTAATATTTAACAGAAATATTAAAGAACTCATTAGGCGACTTCTGAATGATCTAAAATTTCATCTTGGTCATTTTGTTATAGTCTTTTTTGATTTGGTTTTTTTTAATTTTCTCTCTTTTCTAATTATTTAACAGCATTAAAATCAGCTTTAGATGGATCTATAGTGATTTTTATTCCTAAAGTTTAATAGATAAAATACCTTAATTTTATATATATTTAACTTTGTCTTCATAATTTGTTATATCAAATAATTCTTTAAAATTGATTGTGCAAACCTCCTTTGAAATAAGAGATAATAATTTCTTTTACAAAATACCTTAACCAGTTAATGTTACTTTATCAAAATTTAAGTTGTATCCTGTTAGGATAAGAACTGATTATTAACTAATAAAAAATAGAATAAATATATTACGTTTAAGGTAAATACATTTCAATTTAAACTTTATCTAATGTATAATTAATTTCTGCTTCAATTCCTACTGCCTGTAAAAGTTTTTGAATATACTCTACAGAAAATTGATTTTTTTTAATAGAATTAGTAATTCTCTCTTCTTTAATTAATGCTTCATGAATTTATGTTACAGTTGATTCTGGATATTATCTTTTTAATATATCATATATTAAACCAATTCTATTAGTTTCCTTTGTTTTAAAGGCTTCCAATGTTTTTGCAATTTTCTCAATTTCTTCTATAGGTTATTCAGCCATAATATAATAATGAATTAATTTTAAATTGGTTGAATGGCTTAGAACTTATTTTTCAACCATAGATTTAATTAATGATACAATATCAGGTTCAGTCAAACCTAATTAAATAAGAGATTCTAAAATATCACCAAAATATGTCTTATAAAATTAAGGTGATTTATTAATTCTTTCAAGTGTTTTCTAAAATACATCAACTTATTTAAGTTTACCACCTGATAAAATAGTTAAAACTTAGACTCTCAATTCATTATAAGATGAATTAAATTACTATCCATATTACTCTAATAAAATATTATATATCATTTGATTTGTAACATGACTTCTTTAAAACTTTTCAACAACCTTTATCAATTTAATTAATCCTAATTTATTACCAATTTATGGGAATATAGTTACTAATTCTTTGATAATTGTAAGTTCTTTAGAATTCATAACTAAATCAAAGTATTATCTAGGTGATAATTTAGATGATATAGTTTTAATTTGATTCCTAATTTTATCAGTTTCATTTTATGTCAATTTGAATAAAGTTGCAGCTTCTTAAATTTATTTAATTTTCATTTCTTCAGCATCTAATTAACAATCAGCTTTAATTTTTTCTTTTAATTATAGAACATTTTCAGGAGGATTTTCTAATTATAATGCAATACCACATAACTATATTTTTAAATATTAATAAGATCTTTCATTATTCAATTAAATGACAGCATCTTCAGGTGTAAGAATATTCTAATTTATCATAATTTAAACGAATGTTGAATCTGGATATGGAACATTAGGATTAGCTGTTCTATATATCTCAGCAACCTTTTTAACCAATTAAGTAACATTTCTACTTGTGTAACCTGCACTTTCAAATCTTTCAACGAAATTTACTAATGCATTTAATCTAGCTTATGGTTAAGTTTAATAGGCAGATAATATAACCTAACATACCCATTAAATTTGATCACTTCTTACTAATCCAAATAAGCTTTATACATTCAAAGTTAAAAAATCAACAAATTTGAAAATTGGAATATTACTTGGATCTTTTTATAATAATTATAAAACTATTGATAATTTATCTGAATCAAATTCCTCCTAATCACCAATAACTTTACTTAAGATTAATTTTGCTTATATTTTGCCTTCTGATATTTCACTTAATTGCAATAAAGCTTATTTACATCTATGATTAATGCAAGAATTCAATAATTCCTTTAAAACCTTAAAGATTTCAATTTTTTTTGATTTAACATTTTCAATGATTTACATAAATGCTTCCTCTTGCACTTAATATTTGATTTAAGTATGAATCTTAATATCAAGTATTGTTTTTAAGAGAGAATGTGGATTTGATTATATTACTGATTTACAAATAGTCATGAATTTTTCTACATGTTCTTATGCATCTCTTTGAGCATAAATTAAATAATGTAAAGCATTATAAGTATTAATTCTCTTTGATTCTGAACTCTAAGCAAATTAATCAACATAATCTTTCATATTGATTCCACTTAAATATAAATAATTGAGAATTTTAACATTTGTCTCACCACTTTCTTTTAAAGCTGTTGTTAAATCATCAAACTTTTTATATGTCAATAAACTAGTAGATAATTAACTTAAAAGTTAAGGTTCAATTTCTTTTTTCTAAATTCTTTAAGTTAATTCTCCAATAATTTTTTTCATCAGATCTTAAGGGAATCTAGAATTGTGAGAATTAGTAATTCTTTCAATAAGATGTACTAAGAATTTTGATGATAAATTATTTGGATTCTATTCAATAGTTGTTATAATCATATCTTTCAATTCTTTTACAAGATCTTAATCAAAATATCTTGGTAAACTTTAGTATGCCTTAAAAATATTAAGTACAGAATCTTCCTATAATAATTCAATCTTTTATAATAACAACTCTTTAACTTATTTAACTAAATTAGGAATTGAATATTTTGGTCCAATATTTTGAAATTGTACTTCTGCAAGATTTTTAAAAAGTAAAGATTTCTAAATATAAATAATATTTTACTTATTCAATATCTAATTCTTCTAAAAGTCCTTCCACTACTTTAACAGCATTATTAAGGATTGATATATCATTCTTTGAGACTGCACAATTATTTACCTTAACTACAAGTGAACTAAAGAGTTGGATAATTAAGAATGGTGAAAGTTATTTAGTAACTAGAAGTTATTCAGAGATTGATTTTGCTAATTAGTCATTTGAATGATTAAGTAGTGATAAGTCAAAATATACATTACACATATTTCTAAATGAGAACATTTGATTCTCTGACATCTATTATATTCTCTAAAATAATTTTATTTAAGCCTATTATTAAAAATTAGTTGGTATTTTATTTTATCTAAATTTCCTCAACCAAAATAATACATCGATTACATCTTAAAATAATGAATATTTAATTATATACCATATTCTGTCAATTAATCAACTATGTCATTTAACTTTCCAGTTAATTCTGAATAGTTATTATCATGTCCCAATTATCTACTATATCTACCCAACATTCTCAATGATAATACTACATGCTCTTGCTTAAATAAATCTTTATTTTATTAGAATATTTGTAATATAGTTGAAGGACTATCAGCACTGCTTAATTTCTATATCAATGACTCATAAGTAGCAAATCCAAATCTAATGATTTTATTCATCCAGAATTAAAAAATTAATTTTTTAATCAAATTTAGAATTTTAAAAATAACTCATATTCTTTTTATATAATCTATGGTTATGTTTCTGCTACAGGAATCCTTGATAATTCACATTAACATTAAAAAATAAAACCTTTATTTTATACTTCTCCATATCCTTAAAATTCAACAATTCTATTCTTTCTTTAAAATGATATTTATAAATTATCAATCTTCTCAAACCAACTCAAACGAACTGTTTCTACTTATATATTTTTAGAAATAATTGGTATAGACTTATATTTAGATTTATTAAATTCTTACTTGAATTTCAATCTTCTTTTTATCTTCTATCTTTTCATTTAATTAATCAATTTACTTTTACAAATCTAGGTTATGTAATTGTATATGTATATATTTATCTTTTAAATTTTGATCTTCTATTATATTTCTATTAAAAATATAAAAAATAAAAATGAAACTTAGAATTGCTATTATTCTAATTCCTTTAAAATAATTGTTATTCCAAATTAGCCACCTTTTTTTCAAGATCCTCCTTTTAAAATTGAACAACTTAAAATTTCTTATCTTATTCTTCCAATTTCTATTTTAATTATTGAATCTCAGCCTTTAAAAGGAATTAATCTTATTATTATTTAAAATTTGTTAAGGGTGTGTTAACATTTGTAAATTAAGGATGCTAGAACTAATTATTATTCATTTAATTTATTATTATTAATAAATGGAAGATAGCACATTTAATAAATTAGTTGAAGTAATATCATTCAAAATATTAGCAAGTTTAATCTTAATTGACTGAATTGCATGATAATGTTGAATAATTTGATTAAGATCACAAAGATGTTAATAATTCTAGTATTGGTTAAGACGTCATTGATTTGTAAGATTAAATACAAAATCTTCTTAAATAACTATAAAACAATATGCAAAGACTAGATAATAATACAGGACATCTTTCAGGTCGTTAATAAAAGTATTATACAATTAAAGCTATTAAAGAATGAAACAAATTAAGTAATTCTACAAAAAAGAAATCGATAAATTTACTTAAGTATGTAAACAAGTGGAACAAAAATTATAATAAAAACGAAAGACAATTGCAATGAATTAACAAGGAAGATGGAATGAACCTAAACCAAAACCTGAAGATGAATTATAAGAGTAATTGATGCATGATTAATATGATGTAGATAATTAAATGATAAGAGAAAGAGATGAAGATATTCAAAGAATTGTATTTATATCTTAATTAAATAGGATCGTGAAGCTTAAATGCTTAATAAATTAGTAGGAGAATTAGCTTTAGAAGCCCATAAAGCAGATGAAGTTCTTGATATCGTAGATACACATCAATAGACAACAAAAGAAAATTTAGTCAAGGCTAATGTCGAATTAGACTCAGCATAAAACTCTTAAAAGTCAGCAACTAAGAAATGGATTATTTTAGCTATTTTGGCAATCATACTTGTAGGAGTATTAGTAACAATTTTTGTTCTAAAATTGCATTGATATTAATAACAAACACATCAATAACGATATCTAATAGTTTGTACATACTTAATTTTAGTATATGGTTTATTTGTGTTGATTTTCATAGCTGGTTTAAAAGGTAATTAAATTTATGATTATTGTTATTCTTCTGTTATTTTTCTATCTTTTTATCTTGAAGATTCTTGAATTATTTGAAATGCTTCTTCAATAGTCTTAAGATTCTTCTTCTCTTTATTTTGAAGAGGTAATTCAAATTTATTTTAAGGCTATATTGTATTAATATTGACTTCCAATTCATTCATTATAGATTCTCTTTTTAATGTATGTCCTCTAGGTCTATTTTAGACTTCTAAAATAGGTTGAACATATTCAATAGTCTCTTCTTCTTAATGTTATGATTATATAAAGGAGGCTTATTATATTTAGTCTTCTAGAATTTCTTAAAATTAATTAGGCTATTCAATTTATTCAATGGATAATTCATTATTATTATTCTCCTCCTCATTATCATCCAAAAAAAATGGATGTATTTTGATCTATTCAATATTAATTCTCTAATCTTCGTAAGTAAGTATTTTGCTAATAAGATCTCTAGCATCTTTATGCAAAGAATTAGGAATCGTATATTAACATTGTTTGATCTTCTCATACAAATCCTGAAATATAATCAATAAAACATTACTTATGTATTTTCTTCATCAAAAGGTAAATAACCACATAACATTGCATAAAGAATTACACCACAACTCCAAATGTCAGTTTTTGTTCCATCATAATTTTTGCCTTCTAACATTTCAGGAGCAGCATAGCAAGGACTTCCACAAGGTGTTACTAATAGCTATCCTCTTGTGACTTCCATTGAAAGTCCAAAATCTATCAAACAAATATCTCCATCATCTCTCATTAAAATATTTTCTGGCTTAAGGTCTCTATGAATTATCCCTAAACCATGCAAATATTCAATTGCATTTACTAATTATCTAATAATATGTCTAGCCTCTCCAATTGTAAGTCTACCATAGTATGGAATTTACCTCTACTACTCTACAATATAATCGAACAACTCCCCGCCTGAAACGTACTCAGTTATCAAATATATGGACTCTTCATCCTCTACTATCTATATTCTCTACATGATAACTTACTTCCTTCATCTTAACTATGTTGGGATGATTGACCTTGTTTAGTAATTCGATTTCCTTATTGACTCTAAATTTGTCTCGATCAGTCTTAAGAGATTCCTTCTAGAGCACCTTAATAGCCACCTGAAGTTATGTTATTATGTATATACCTATTCATTATTGCAAGCCCCTATGTAGACCTATGCAAAAGTGCCTTCTCCAATTTTCTAACCAAATTGATATTTTAACATGCTATCAAGAATCAGGCCTTAATACTATTAATGTTCAGTTCTTAGTTCTCTTATAGCTCGGAAACTACTATATTAAGCAACAGCCTCTAACATACCTATATCAGGGAGTGTGTATTGTGGATTCGACCCTACAGCTCATTCTTTGCATTTGGGAAACTTGATTTCAATCCTTAATTTGGCAAGATTTGGCTTAAATAGGATTCAAACCAATAGCAATAGTAGTAGGAGCAACTGTATAATTGGGTGACCCTATTTTTAAGATGGAAGAACGAAAGGAGCCTGATTTATTAGTTATCTAAGAGAATTTATAGAAAATAAGGAAATAATTAGAAAGTGTATATGGGAATATAGAAAATCAGGTCAAGATAGAATAGCCATTATAAATACTTGATAATATGGATTTTTATAGAGAGACATAGTTAATTGATTTTGTTTCTAAAGTAGGAAGATAATTTAGAATGAATAGTTTATTAAATAAAGATCACATAAATAAGAGATTGAATAATGGTGATGATGGATTATCTTTGAATGAATTCTTTTATACAATTTTACAAAGTTATGACTTTGCATATTTGAATAATAAATATGATTGTACTTTACAAATAGGAGGTAGTGATTAATGGGGTAATATTACAAATGGTTGTGATTTCGTAAAGAAACAATATAAGAAGTAGGTATATGGGATAACAACTCCTTTATTGACAGATAAGAATGGATATAAATTTTGGAAGAGTGAAGGGAATGCATTATTTTTGGATGTGAATTCTAAACACAATATGAAATAATATTTATTGAATTTAGCAGATGATTCAATAAGAGATTTTTTATTGATGTTGACATTCTTAAATAAGGATTAAATTGATAGTATTATGGAATAACATAAGTAGAGTCCTTAGATAAGGATAAATGTTTGAATGATGAATTATTAAAGATGATTTATGGAGATGAGAATTCTGCTGAAAAGAACTAAATACTGTATGGATTAAGAAAAGATAGATTATTGAATATGAGTGTATTAGAATTTGAGAGATTAGCTAATGAAATAGATAAGGATGTAGTAATAAGAGTATCAAAGTAGACAAAAATGATAGAAGTATTATTGAAATTAAGATCATCGAAGTCAGAGATTCGGAGATTATTATAATAAGGAGGAATATTAATTAATGATTAAAAAGTTGATTAGTTAGAATAGGTTTAATTGATATATGATAAATATATGTTATTAAGGATTGGTAAAAGGGATGTGAGATTATTAATATTCATTTGAATTTATATAATATGTTTTTGGATTGATTTAAATATTTTTGAGGATTTAAATATACATATTATTTAGATATATCTATTTACATCTTTTAGATATCTATTAATTAAAATATTATGCTTGTTAAAAACCTTTAAATATTGAGGCTTCAAAATTTTTAAATACATTATAAATTCATTAATTTAATTAATGAGCGCAAAAAATGACGATTATCGAAGTGATTAAGATGACAAAAGTGAATCATCTCTTGATTCAATTGAAGAAATTTCTGATTCTTCAGAGTCAGAACAATTTAGGAAAACAAAAAACAAGAAATTACTTAAGAATTAAAAGAATAAAAAGAAAAAGAGATTGAATAAATAAAAATTAATTGATACAGAAGCATCTGAAACATCAGAAAATGAATCAGAAGAGGATGGAGAAGGGAAAATAACAAAAATAGAGCAATAATAGATTTATAAAGAAATAGACCTTAAAAGAAAACATCACAAAGATGTTGTTAAGGAAATTGAAAGAAGATATTAAGATGGAGATGGTTTAAATGTTGAAGAAGTAGAGAGATCAGATGATGAAATTGAAAAACCAGGTCTAAGAGATCCTAAAGTATTATATTAGTTATAAAAAAGTTCTGGCGTGTTTCATGTAATAAAGGAAAAGAATAAGAAGCTGTTACATCAATAATGTTTAAACATAATCACTTAATAGATACTAATCCACTTGATATAATCTCAGTATTTGCACTCAAGAAATTTCCAGCAGCAATATTTGTAGAAGCCTATTTTGAATAACATGTTATGAGAGCAATCGAAGGTCTAGTTATTGTTAGACAATCCCCACCTGAATTAGTAGAATCTGAACAATGTCCAAATATGTTCAAACCTGCTGAAGTTGAATAAATTGATATTGAAGAAGGTTAATGGGTTAGAGTTAGATAACATAACATTTACTCTGGGGATTTGGCTAGAGTTATGTAAGTAGATTAAGAAAGAAAACTTATCAAACTTAAAGTTGTACCAAGACAAAAATTATTAATGAAATCTATTGAAGAAGAAGAAGAAAATAAAAAAAAGAATTCTAAAAAGAATAATTCAAATGCAGATTAATCTCGTTTTTAAATGAAAGAAGAAGAAGGTGAACCACCAATTGAAGATAATGAACCTTTTTAAAGAGGAAGCAAATTTAAGTTCTTAAAAAGAGCTAAATATCTTTAAGAATAAAGAAAATTCATTCGTGGACCTAAAATCCCTATTTAGATGACCAAGAAAACTATTAATGATGATAATGATGAACCTACTTCTCAATTTTTTTATACTACAATTAGAGATGAATGGACATCTGCTAAAAAAGATGGATTTGAAATCATTACTCTTCCAGTTCATCAAGTACTTACTGGGAATATTAAACCTACAGTAGAAGATTTATAATATTTCTATCCAGATGTCTAAGATTATAGATTGATACTCTAGAAATTACACAACAGTTTAAAATAAGTAGTTGAACATAAATCTAAAATCTAAATTGGAGATTATATCACTCTTAATTAAAATAGACCTCCTAGATATAAGGTTGCATAAATCTTATAAGATGAAAATAAATTGATAGTAACTAAAACAGTTAAAAATAAAACTAATAAAGAGAAAAGTAATTATTAATATACATTATAAATTAATGATGCTATATTAGCCTTCAAACTTTATCAATAAGTCTGTATAGTTTCAGGACCTAATATTGGATTAAGTGGTACTATTATAAAAATAGATGATTTGACTGCTCAAATATCAACTGAAGCTGGCAGAATTGTTGATGCTTTGATTTCAGATCTATAATCCTAAAAAAATGTCATTAAAAAAATGGATATAGAAGAGAATCCTGAATAAGGAATTGCATAATAGAAACCAGGATTCAGAAGAAATGATTTAGTAAAGTTTGGATTGATTGATAATGATATTGGATGCATACTCAATATTTCCAATAATGAAGTCAGTATACTTGATTTAACTAATTAAATAAAAGCTATCAATAAATTAGCTATTAGAAATTCTATCAACACTAGAAATAATGTAGTCAAAAATATGTATGGCAATGATATCAGATAATAAGATTTAGTTGTCATACTTGATGGTTTTTATAAAAGTATTTTATTTTTACTATCATCTAGATAATAAAGCAACTGTCTTACATGTATATAGAGATTATTTATTTCTATTTAATGGTAAATTTGACAATACACAAGGAGTAATCATTGAAAAAGCCAATAATTGTGGTTTAGTTTCTTCTTCTAAAAAAGCAGAACCTGTTGTAGTAAATACTTAATCTCAAATATCAAATGAAGATTGGAAAAATCTAAGAGGATAAATGGTCACCATTCGTAAAGGATAATGGTAATCTTATAGAGGAATGGTGTAAGAAGTCACTAGTAGAGTTGCCACAATCTAATTATCTGCTAAAAATTTGGTTGTTAAAGTTCCATTAGAATTTATTAAATCTGAAACTTCTAATTCGCATCTTCAAGTTGGAAAAACACCTCAACATCATCCAGGTATGTCTACAAGAGTTTGGGATGATCTTGAAGGTGTCCAATAATCAGCTATGCGTGGATATCAATCTCCATATATCACTTACCAAACCCCTATGCGTAATGATTGATAATGAATAAAATAATATAATAACATTATTATTATATATTTTTGTTTTTAGATTAAATAATGTTATTTAAATGAATTTTGATTCTTATTTTAAGTATCAATAAGAAATTAATTTAAATATTTGCAATAATAAAGAGATTTATTTTTATTAAGCAAATTTATTAAATTTAAATAACTATTGTTTAAATTTTTATGGAGCAAATAATTATTATTATAGATTGATAAGTATTTCCAAATAAAGGAATTTCTTATTATTCTTATACTTAATCTAATTTTATTTCAATTTTTTTTGAAAAAAACAGATTTAATGTCATATAATAACTTGATCCTAATTATACTTTAATTATGAATAATTAGTTCTATTAGAATTAATACATAAAATAAAAGAATATCATTTTGATTTAAATTTTAAATTTCTTTATTAATATTATCCTATATTATTTCAAATAACAGATTAATTTGCTAAAAATAATAGATATTCATTAAAGACAATAATTTTGGATAATCCAGAGATTCATTCAATATAAGATAATCAATAAATAATAAAATATTTTATTATTGGTAAACTTAAATTATAAGACTTTCTTAAGATTTTATTTTACAATAGTGATTAGATAGAATTGATTATATTCATTTAGAAGATATTATTATTTAATTAAGAAAATAATATAATAATTATTTAATGTATCTTTTTATTATTTAATGTTAAATCATTTCTAATTTTGAGTTTAGAAATCTTGGAAAATGAAAAATAGATTGATTCTATTGATAATATTAAAAGTCAAGAGGAATTAAGTAAAGAATGGAGAAGTTAGGATTTAAAAAATGATTTATGTGAAGAAATATTTATGATTGAGATAATATTCGTTTTTCTGTTTTTTGATTTTTTATTAATATTATATGAAATCAGCTTTGTTGGTTGTTGTTTTGATTGCCTGTATTTAGGCAACCACAGTTTCTGAATTGAAAGAAAGACTTTCAGGATATGGAGATCATCCTTTTGGTTCATCTATGATTAACTTAGTGAGTGTAAACATGAAGACAGGAGGATCATTGAATGAATTAAAATAGCTCTTATAATAAATAAAGGATGAATTGATTGCCTTAACATAATTGTAAGATTAAGAAAATGCAACATTCACAAGAAGAAGTTAAGTTGATTTAGCTAAACTCTAAGCAACACTTGAATAAGGTTAATAAGATCTTGATAATCAAAGATAAGAATAATCAAGTTTAAGTAATGAATTGAGTACATTATAAACAAGAGTAAAAGAAGGTAATGATTTTGGAATATAATTTTATAGATTAAGCTGCATTAGATAGAAATAGTAGAGGAAGTGGTGATGCTTAAAGTAGATTAGATGCTGAAAATACAGATTTTGCAGCTAAATTTTAAGATTATAGTGATGCAATACTTGCTTGTAAAGAAGCTTAAAGATTATTATTAAATTTAAGAGGTGAAGGAGCATCATTAATTCAATTAACGTATTAGATTTATTTAAATATTTAGTTAAGACACAAAGAGTAATTTGATTTAAACAAAAGAGAACTTTTAAAAGATTAAAGAAATATTAGAAGCCCATACAAAGAAAAGTTCTTTAACTTTATTCTAACCAATAATTGAAGGTTTAGCTGAAATGACAACAAAAGTTAATCCAGAAACTTTGAATAATGTTTTAAGTTTGGTTGCTAGATTAATCACTGCATTATAAGAAGGTTAAGATTAATTAGAATCAAATCACAAAACTTAAGTTGAGAATTTAACAAGATTAGGTGATGATTTGAGAAATGAAAAATAAACTTTATAAGTTTCATTAGCTACTGCTAATAATAGACTTAAGGAGATCTAATCAAGATTAAATGAATTAGATGGATTAATAAACATCTCTAATGCTATTGTTGAAGTCACTTAATTAAATATTTAAGATGCCACAAGAATCAATGAATTAGAAGATTAAGAATACAGTAATCAAAAAGTTAGTAGGTAATCAATAACATTTAATTTAGATAAACTGAAATTGATATCGTTGATAGATTAATTGAATACATTAATCAAAAGTTGTCAGAATGAAATCATCATATTCATATAAAATATTCATATTTATCTAGAATCTGTTTCAATCATTCTATGAAATTGATCAAAATTTAAATTCCAAGATTCTGCAATTTTTGCTACTTCCAAAATACGAGTGTCATTAGTTGATTCTGCTGATTTCACTCTTACATTCATAGCTATTGTATCCTACATAATAACATATATTATTACTATTGCATAAGCCAAGAAAATGTCTTTAATAGAAATCCCTCCAATATCATGAGTATTCAAATTAATCTTAACTAAATTATATACATTTTCCCAATCAGGATGATCTAAGATTAGAATATTATAATACGATCTATTTGTTCTGAAAAAATAGCTACTTAATTCATGAAGGAAAATGCTTCCTTAAAATTATTAAACTTGATTTCTCTATATAATTTTTATGGAGTCTATTATTTCTAAATAATTTACTATTTTCCATGTTGCATTCAATGAATGCATCTTACATAATGTTTATATATCAGAGTCAGAAATAAGTGTTGGATTTCTTTCCTTCATTGTTTGAAAATCTAACACTTTAAATGAAAGCTTTGGGAAATTTGATTATATTGTGCCAAAGGGAAATTTGAAAATTGAAAATATCATAAATTTTAATTATATTGATAATGATGATTAATTATTTTGAATTTATTATAATAATTACACTAAAATTTTATCGTTTTCTATTTCAAATCAATTTTCATTATCTATATATATATATAAATATATAATTTATAGAAGAACACTATTAATTGTTTCTAATATAATGTTAATAAATCTAAATATTTACTTCAATAATTATTATAAGTATTAAGTTAACTAAATTTTATTATTATTAGCTTTCTCTAAGTTAAAAATTCATCTTCTATTTAGTATCTCATAACTTATTAATAAGGATATTTCTAAAATATACTATTTACTAAAATAATTTATTTAGAAATTGTTTAGAGTAATTTTCGTTAACTCTATAATTAACGATAAGAGTGAAATACATTTTATTGTTATGGAAATTTATTGTGATAACTATATGAACAATTAATAGCTTTCAATTTACTTAATTAATTATTTTATCTATTTTAAGTTATACTTTAGTTACTTGAAAACTTTTGAGAAATTATTCTTATATTTTTTAATTTCCATTTTAGTTTATAATTTTGTTTTAGTGAAAAAATAGACTGAAAATATAGTATGATTGTTATTTCCAATTCAAATCAATTTTGAACTAAATTTGAAGCTCATTAAATATGTTAAGATAAAAAGAAACAGATGATTCATTTGATTATCCTCTTGATTCTCCTTAGAGTCAGAAACACTATTAAATTACACAAAATGGAATTTATAGTCCATCTCTATTTATCTAGTCTAGTGCAAAATCGAAATCTATTTTTCAGAAAAGAAATGCATAAGAATATTAGAAGAACTCTACTTAACATGCAAAAATGAATAAAAATTATGTAAATGACTTTGACAATTAAATGCAAATACATTTGTATAGTTTTAATATTAACAATAACAAATGTAGACCAATACACACATCTTTATGTTCATTATTTAGAGAAGTATATTTTTAGTCTAATAGAAATAGAATAATATTGAAGTGAAACAGGAATCAGTTAAATAAGATAGTTCTATGATTAAATATTTGGAGACTATACAATAACAAATGTAGCAATTAGAATCTAGTGTAGATACCTTAGAAAGGAAATTAAGTGTGAATAATTAAAAAAACAAGAAGCCTATTGAATAATCAAATGATCATTAGTTAGTTTATATAAATTAGAATGTTTCAGGATTAGTGGGTAGATTGAAGGACATTTTAATGCAAAAAAAATTATTAACTACATAAACTTAAACAAATCCTTAAGAGAATGATAAATAGACAATCTATACCTTTAACAAGAACTTAAATAAATTCTCCAAAGAGTATAAATGTAGATTTTGTAATTGCAAATTTGTTAAAGCTTGTTCTTTAGGGTAATAATATTTGTATATATATTAAGGGGTCATATTTCAAGAACTCATAAGGAGGAATCGAAATAATAAAAATAAAGTATTCCTATAAAGAAAAATAAACAAATAAAAAAAGAGAAAATTAACATGGGTAAGATGAAATGATTAAACTTTATGATTGTTAATTAATATATATATAATTTAAATTTAAATTTAATGGATTATCAGAAATTATTTAATGTCATTCCAAAAGAACCTCGTAGATGGACTTAAAGTGATGTTGAATCCTGGTTAGAGTTTATTGGATTACAAGATTTATCAGATGTTTTCTGTATTAGTTTATAATTATATACAATAGAAAGAAATGCTATTGATGGGGCTTGTTTAGAAGTATTAAATGATGACGACTTGAATGAATTAGGGATTAGCTCTAATGTTAAAAAGAAGAAGATTTTATAATGGATTCAAAATGGATTTATAGAATATAAATAATTTGTTAGAAACAATGTCGGTTAAAGTGAATGGTCAATTGCAAGCAAACAAATTGTAAACAAAGAAAATCTTGATTATACTCCAATTTAAAGATTGAATGATTTCAAGCCAAGAAGAGATAGTTTCTAAGATAATCATAAAGTGGAATTGGTAGAATCAATGAAAGTAGTTGAAGCACCTCAAATCTTAAAATAACCAAAATAAAATTTAGAAGCCACTAAGATTCCATCATATCCTAATTCAATAAAGTAGATGGAATCAATACATATTATTGAACTTGTTTGCATAGGTGATAATTAGAAGATATGTGTCACAGAAAAAGGACTTAGTATTGGAAGAAATCCAGAGAATACTCTAGTGTTAAGTGAAGATTATGTAAGTAGAAATCATTGTATGATTGAATTTGATCAGAAAACAAAGAATTTTTATTTGAAAGATACAGGTAGTACTTCTGGAACTTTTGTATTATTAATGCAACCTTCATTGATGAGATTAGGGTTAATTTTACATATGGGTAGCATGTAATATAAAATAGAGTAGATGAATTGTAATAATCAATAATGTGATGTTGTATTAAGAGTAATAGAAGGTTAATAGAAAAATTAAAAATTTTCATTTTAATTAGTTAAAAATTAGAATTGTCTTAAATTTGGTAGATAATTAGATCAATTTAGAATGGATACAGTAATTATTAATATTAATTAATAGCATTTATCTGGTATTCATTCCTAATTTAGTTACACAAATGATGGATTGATTTTGGAAGATATGGGTAGTAGAAATGGAGTATGGGTTAGATTGAGTGAATAAGGTTAGTGTAGTGAAAGAGTGAAGTTAACTTAAGATAGATAATTTAGACTTGGGTATGAAAAAATATATTTGTGTAATATAAATAATATTAAATGAATAATAATTAAGCCAATTCAGCAATTTCTATCAAATTAGTCATTGTGGGTGATGGTAGTGTTGGGAAAACATGTATTTTGATTAGGTAAGTATGATCAAGTTAAATATAGATACACATAAGACAAATTTCCAACAGATTATGTGCCAACTATTTTTGAGAATTATTGTGCATAAGTATTATATGAGAATAAAATGGTAAACCTTAATTTATGGTAATCTAAAATGTATATAAATAAAAAAGGGATACAGCAGGACAAGAAGAATATAAATAATTAAGATCTATCAGTTATCCACAAAGTGATGTTTTTTTAATTACATTTTCAGTAGATGAGCCAAGTTCATTCTAAAATGCTATTAAAAAAGTAAATATTTATTATTAATTATATATAGTGGTATCCTGAATTACAAGCAGATCAACCAAATGCTCCTAAGATATTTATAGGAAATAAAATTGATATGAGACCAACAGAAAATGTTAATGAGAATAATTTTGTTACTTACAATATTGCATAAAAAGTTGTTTCAGATCTAGGATGTAAGTACATTGAATGCAGTGCACTTAATGGAACCAATTTAAAATAAATATTTTAAGAAGCCATTAAATAAGCCATGAAAAAGAAATTCCCTTAATAAGTACCTCAAACTACAGGACCAGCAAAGAATTAATCTGGAGCTCAAAGAAAGAGTAATTAGAATGAAAATGCTGATGCAAGTGGAAAATGTTAAATTTAATGATTGCATCAAGAAATATATAAATATATATATAGATTATTTTATATTGTTCTCTTTTTATATGGTTAAATTCAATCAATCTTTATTTTCTTTGATATCTAATCTACTTCTTCTTCATGATCTATTGATTTCTTTTATTATTTAATTAGATGAGTGTTACTATGTCCCTAAACTGATTTGAATAAATCCATTTCATCATCTACTACATTATATCTAGATTATATCTAGCCTGATGATTATGTTTATGAACTAAATTATTATTTCATGCAATTATTTTTTAGATTCTTAAAAATATCATGTATTCTTTAATAATTTGTTTAATTTTCTCTTTTCTTTAATTCATCTTCCTATTAGTTTATTAATAAATTCTTACTAACAATGAAATTAATTTTTAACTTATTCCTTCATAAATTATTTTTATTATTTCTAATTATTAAGAAAATATTAGATTTTCCCTTAAACCTTTATAGGATAAAATAACATTTATTAAATTAGGGATTATCATCATAATTTCATTATTAATATCATCATCTCTAGATAAGCAAATTAGTTTAATTATTTATAAACATTTAGTTTATAATAATTTTTAATTTTCTTATAAAATAAAACCAACTTTTAATGTGATTTAATTTAATATCACAGCTTCTTTTACTTAAGGTTTCATAGCTCTGACTAATCCTAAAGTAATCTCCAAAAATTATTATTTATATTCTTTTGTAGATGTATGTGAAATTTAATTTGTAATTCTAGGATAGAATTATACTAAGAATAAATCCATAGTTTCATTCTATTCTTCTGAATTATTATCAATTAATAATTTTAATGCTTCCATATATAATTCATTTTAGAAAGCATTTTCTACAATAATATTGAACAATGGATATTTCAGTACTTATTAATGTTCACTAATAACATATTATCTGAAATAAGTTGGACAATGTTATAAACATACAATTAATAATTCTAATATCATATTTGGTATTTTTGTTAATACATCATCCTTTAATTAATATTATAATATTACAGGTATCTTTAATTTAAGTTTCTTAAATTTAGTTTTATAGTTCTCAAATCCTTTAAGAGAATTATTTATATAATCTTCTATTATTTCATATAATCCATATTCACTTAATTTCTAATATATTACTACTTTATTCAACTAATAATAATAATTATATAATTTATACATCTGGAAATTCTTTAAAAACTGAACATATTTCATTAAGGAATCGTAAAGCTTAGAAATTGAAATTTCTTAATTGGTCAATCACTTCTATCAAAAAATCTTTCGAATTTTCTATGTACTTAAAGAGGTCAACATAACAACTCTTTATAATCTATCATGATTTTGATTACGTTAAAACTATCTTTATGAACATCAACTGGCACTCGTCGATGTAGTAGGCTAAACCACAATCGCGCAAGTACTGCAGCCGATATATGAAATGAATGGTTTTAAGTCTCTCTTTACTCTTTATTTGGACTACTTGTAAGAATTGTACATGTTTCTCTAAAAACTAACGGTGGGGAACAAAATTCTTTTTATTCATCTCATAATCATCTAAAATAATATTAATACTACTATATACATTCTAATGCACCAAATATAAATAAATAATTTTAATCGTTTAATATCATTTAAAATAATTCATGTTCTGCCACTGTTACTATCTAATCATTTATTAATATATTTATACATTCTTTACAATCTAACACATTGTTTATAATAAATTAATATTATTGTCCTTCTCCAATTATTAAAATAATTTAATAAGCTTATCAAAATAGTCCTTATCAAATTCAATATTATTTTACTTTCTTATTTATTAAATAACTCTATAACATCTATTTAGATTAAGAACCATATGCTATTAGATTATTCATTGTTTCCAAAATTGTTTCTAAATTCGTTTCAGAAACTGGTGTCAATGCTATAGAATCTTAATCTTCAGCCTCATTTTCAACCAAAATATTTTGAATACGAGCCCATACTCCCATTGCTCCTTCTCTGCTTTAAAAACTTAAAGCATAATCTTAACCACTATGGAATTAGATTGCTTCTTCTAATATACAATTTAAATTCTATTCTTACCTTAATCAAACCAAAATTCATTCTCTTACTTTATTGGTACAACTATAACTTCTTAACTTGTGTCTTTCTGTAGTAAAATTAATTCGTTCTATAAATCTCATTTCTAAACTCATTACCTTTGAATTGATATGTGTATAACCAATATCTACATAATTCCATTTATCTCCTCCTAGCTAATATATCTAACATAAAAGAATCTCAGAATTAGGTTTCATTTTAATATTTTAAATATTAAATCTTATTTTTATGCAAAATAAAGGAATGAATATTATTATTATATTACTATTCTAATTAATATATAATTATTCTCTTCATTTAAAATAACTTCAATCATCTTCCCTTAATTTACTATATTTTTATATATAAATAGCTATAAATATAGATATTTATTTATCAAAAGTCAATCATTTTTTCAATTGTATGACATTATACAACTAACATTGTCATCAAATCATTATGTTAATTCTATTATTATTAACATTTCATTGGTATTATGTCATTATCCAAATTCTCTAATAGATCCACTTCAGAACTTGTTTTGAATGAACTATTATGTGAAATGCATTGCTTAATCTTCATATTATTTCCAAATTGCTATAAAATTTTCATTTTCTGTTGAATTGTTGCTTTCTTATTATTTAAATCTTTTTATAAAACTCTTATAGATGTTGGTATATCTCCTTATTACTTTTATAATAAATCATTAGTATACAATGTCATCTATCCTAAATATAATGCTTCATCTGTGATTAAACTCTAATTTATATAAATTATAATTACAATAATTTTATTTTACTCTTATTATTATTATAATAAATCATTAATTTATTATTATAAATATTTTGAATCATTTTAATCTTATAAAGAGGCTTATAAAACTTCACATTTCTCCTATAATTTTAAAATTTATTATTAATATCCCTTACATTCTGCCTCATATTATTATTAAATTTTTTTAAGTTAACAATTATCATTAATAATTGAATTTATTTATTAACATTATTTGTTATTCTCTTAAAGTATATCATAATATTTTTATTCTAATTACTTCATTTAATCTATTTTTATTTTAAGTTATTCATTTTCTTATAGTAATGTTGAATTTTATTATATAACATTGTCTAAATTTTTACTTATATCTAAAATTCTTTAATTTAATTCAGAATAGCATTCTTAATTCTTAATATTTTTTTAAAGTTCATTAATTTATTTATTTTTTTCATTTAATTAATCCTATAATTCTTAAATTGCATAATTTTATTTATCTGTAGATTACAATTCAAATATCTTTTCCATCAATTATCTATTGATTATTGTTTATTCTTCTAATAATCTTAAATTGTTTTATGAATCTCCATCCATTTATATTTTTCTATTATTTCTACAATATGGAGACTTTGATTTAGAACTCATCTAAGTCATAAATCTATCTTCATTAGTCTTATAATTTGATTAATTAATTAGTGAATTATTATTTTCATTAGTCTCATAATTAGCTAAATTAACACCAAATGAACTTTTTAAAAATTGTTATTAATCCATATTATCTTTTAATGTTTTTATTTATCTATTCAAAATGTCAACTTAATTGGTTAACACATTTTAATTATTTTAAGATTGTAATTGATTTACAATCTCTTATATTAAATTTTATGTATCATAAACCATCTTTTATAACTTTATTTAACCTTTAAAAGTCATTTAATCAGTATTTTGATTTTCTAATTATGATTTCAAAAATTCAATTTATTATACATAATGTTGATTATCATTACCTCTATATGTTTCAGAATTATTATTTAATTCTTATAGAAGTAAATATATAAAGTATTTCAAAGTAATTAAATCAGTGCATCTATAGAAATCGAAACATTCATTTGAGAATTCTTAACAAAAACATTTAATTTTTGCTAATGATGGAGCACATTCATCTTGATTTTGATCTTTAACTAATTTAAATTGTCTTAATCTTCTAGTTAATGTTTATATTTTCTAAATGCAATTTTAATTTAATCTTGTTTAATGACTAATTAGACTATGAACTGAATATTTATCTTAATTAATAGATTGTTCTGTTTTGATAGGTGATTAATCAATTTTACTAATATTTTCTAATCTTTTGTTTATGATTGTTTCATAATAACTTTGAGTGTCAATTTATTTATTAGATCCATATTTTTTGCATTATTTATTAGTATTGAAAGGAGATAAATTAGATGTAGTTTTAGAAGCTGTAGTAGATCTATTTTCACTTGCATGATGACTATTAAGATTTTTTACTCTCATTTCTAATCCTTATACTTTACTTTATAAATAATTAGCACATTATTAGTATTCTGGACAATTGCTAATTATAGCAAATGGCTATCTATTCACTTTAGCACTTCCCTTTCTTGAATGACATGAATTTGGTGTTTGAAATGGTTTCATCAATTTTCGATTTTAAATTATTTCTTATTTTATTTTAACAGAATACAATTATGAAATATTAAATCAAAAATTATGTAATTTAAACAAAAAAATTTCTTAGAAAAATAAAAATTGAATAAGAATATATAAAGAATTAATATGTTAAGTAATGTAGTTCAAATTTGATTAGATAATTTATGTACACTTTCTGTATTCAATTTCACCATTATAATAAAAATGTTGTTAAACTACTAAAAAGTGAAATGGTAAATTTACATATATGAATTGATAAAATTATCATCTTTTTAGAATCTAAAACAGAATTTTATATAATTTATATATTATAAGTTTATGTCTAATAATTAAATTTAATGAATAAACCTTTAAAAAAAAGAAGATAGTCTACTATTTATAGATAATCAATGGCTTTATAAGAATTTTCACAAAAATTACTAGAGAAAAATGATTTATTGGCATCTGAAATTTAGAAAATAGTAAGGAAATTATCAGTAAAACAAAGAATGAAAAAAGCAATTAGACATATTTATGATGCATATTATTTAAGAACTATTCGAAATGATATAGATTTAACTAACAAAAAATACTTAAAATTCTTTTGGTATTTAGAGAACAATCAATTTTGGATTGCTTTTCTTTTTTTGTTATCAATTATCTATTAAATAATAACATTCTTTGAATTACCTTTTTCAGATGCAGAGATTGAGGATGATCATAATTTATTGATATTAGAAGGCATAATTTTAACATTTTTAGGGATAGACTCAATAATTACAATAATATTAATGGTGACAAAAAAGGAAAATAGATTTGCATTTAATCCTAAAAGGTAATTTAAGTTGATTGTCTACTATGTATGTTTAATTGATTTTATAATATATAATAAGGATCCTAATACAATGAGATTTAGTAGAATATTTAGAACATTAATAATGCCAATGTATTCAAAGGATTTAAGAAGAAATTTAAAAGGAATAATGAAGGCTAGTCGAGATTTATTTCTATTAATTTTGCTATATTTAATCATAATATCAATATTTTCATTTGTAGGTATAAATTTGATTGGTCGTTTGGAAAATGTAGATTTAAGAACTTAAGATTATGGAGACTTTTTTAAATTTTTCTCTATGTTATTTATGGTGGCTACTTTAGATTTTTATCCTGATATATTAATACCACCAATGTTACAAGGCACTTATTATAGTTTATTCTTTATAATTTATTTGTTACTATTTATTTTTTTATTTGCTCCTATTCCACTTGCAGTTGTATATGAAGGATTTAGAAGACATCGAATGGAAATAGCAATTAATGATATTATAAAATAGAAATCAGCTATGATGGCTAGTTTTATATCTTTAGATTTAACAGATCAAGGATATTTAACACATGCATAATTCTAAGAATTTGTTGAATAGTTTTATGAGAATAGCATAAGTAAAGAAGATATGACAACATTATTTTCATTAATTGATTAAGATTTTAAGTAAAAATTCAATAATAATTAGTGATAAGGTTCAATTTGATGAATTCTACAAATTTCTTCATTTAATTTAAGATGGTTCTATTTTTAAATTACCAGAAAGGAAACCATTAGAATGTTGGGAATCTTTTAGATTATATCTTAATTCAAGAGGATTATTGAAATTTGTAGAAGGAAATGTACTAAAAAATTAATATATTTTAGGTATTTAGTATAGGTATGTTAATTATAACAATATCAAATTGTGTTCTTATTGTAACAGCATTTTTTATAGATGATATGACAATATTGGATATATTTACATTACTTGATACAGTTTACTTGATTTTTTATGGTGTTGAATGTATAGTCAAAATTATTGCATTGGGTATAAAACCATATTTTTAAGAAGGATGGTAATTTAATATAATTAATATAGGAATATATTTGATATATCTTTAGTGATTTTATAGATTATTTTTGATTACATTCTATTCAATATTGTATCTGGAAATATAGTACAATCAATTAAAGCAAATAGATTATTAAGATTAGCAAAAATATAAAAAGTTTTTAGATTATTTAGAGCATTTAGATCAATAAAAATAATAAATTTTATGTTATCTGGATTAGAATTTTTGGATATTGTTAGACATCTACTTTATAAGATTATTATATGTGTTCCATTGATAATTAGATTAATGTTACCTGTTTAAATGATATTCTTCATATATTCTTGTGTTGGAATGTATTTATTTGGTAAGATCTAAAGAAATCCAGAGAATCCTTATGCTAATTCTTAATGTGATTCTAATTTATTTGAATATTAATGGGGAAATTGTAAATATGCAGACTTTACATCATTTTCTGGATCATATTTAATGATGTTATAGATGTTTATTGCAGCTGAATGGAATTAAGTTGTTTTTGAATTAACATATGATACTGATGATATGTTATCAGCTATGTTATTTGTTGGTTCTTTTGAATTTCTATCTATCTTTCTTTTAGCTTTAATAGGTGGTTTAGTTTGGGAAGTGTTTTCAGTAGTTTCAATGTAACTTAGATAAGCAGAGGAGTAAATTCCTTAAGAGAATGAAATATCTTAAGATTAAGATATATAAGCATTTTCAGGAACTCAAATAGATTCAAAATATACTCCTGAGACAGCAGCTAATCAATTAAGAAAGAAGACTCTTATATTAAATGATGATAATCCAGATGTAATTAAATTTTAGAGGAAATTAAGATCAGATAAAAAGAGTAAATCACTTACTAAAGTATATAATCCATAAAGGAGTATTTCTGAACATTTAATAAAAGATGAGAAACCTGATTTAGCATTTAGTTAGCCAGGATCAAGAAATCATCTTTTACCAAATTATAATTCAAATCGTAAACCAGTTGGACTCTATAATACATAATTTGATAATAAAATAGGAACAAATATTGTAGAACATTATGAATAACATTTCATTGATTATTAATAATGGGTAATAAAATAATAAGGAGATGGTTTAGATATGAATTAAGTTGCTAATGATTATATGATTCATTTACGTAATGAAATTAAAAAAGATGAGATCTTTTAAAAAAAGAATGTTAATATATCTAATCATCATTTACTTATTTAGAGTGCAGTATTGAGAGATGCTTCTGAAGTTTATATTAAATAATAAGAAGATAGATTTTTTAAAATGTCATTTGGAAAGAAATTTGAGAGAATCAGAGAATTAAAATTTTAGAATAAATTTAAAGTTGAGAGTAAAATTATATTTTCATTAATGGGTATATTAAAATTCCCTAAACCTAATGTAAAATACTATTTTTAAATTTTATACTTAATAGAAAATTATTTTACTTATTAATTACTTTCTGATTCATCTTTTTTTAAAATGATTCATCAAATTAATAATAAATGGTATGTTATAGGTATTGAAGATGGATAAATAAGTTTCTAAAAATTAGATGCAGGTCCTTGGGATTATTCAGAAGAATTATTTTTATTAACAAATATGAGAATATGTTAGAATCTAAGATCTTTGTATGATACAGGAAATTAAGAATGTCTTTAAAATGTAAATAAATTTTCTGAAAGTGTAAAATTATTAGCCAAACATTTTGATATAAATTTAGGATCTATTGATACAAATAGTAGTTGTCTTATGTATTAAATAAAAAATGATAAGTTTATCCCTAGTAATATTGATACTCATTCATGGAAAATGAAAAAATGTATCATTTTATTATTATTTAATTATAGCAAATGTAACAATAGATGATCAATCTCCTAATCATAATTAAATTGTATACTTAGAATCATAAAATTTAATTAATGGTTAAGGTTTCAATAAGAAAGATTAATCTATAAGTTTAGATGAATATAAGTATGTCAGTAAAACTATAATGTTTGTTTTGACTTAAACTTAAGCTAAAGATAAACGAATTATTTATTAAAATCTTATAATGTTAGCATAATTTCTATAAGATTTGGTTGGAGTCATTCATAATTATGAATCTAATTTTTTCAAATAAATTGATAATCTCTTTGAACTCAGAAATTAATAAAAAGTAAAGAGTGTACCTAAATTGTGATATTTAATAGGCGGTAAATCGATGCGCCACTAATTTATAAATTTTTATATTTTATAATTTCTTCATAATAATTAAAATAAATGAATAGTTGTTTGTAAACTCCAAAAACAAAGTAATAGAAATGTCCTGAAGCTCCTAGAAAATAATTAAAATTTACATAAATTGATGATTAATAAATAAGATCTATATGTAGAATGCTATTTAATGATTAAACCAAACCAGAAATTACTATAACTTAAACTATATGATTTTAACATTTTTTTGTGTATATTTATTAGAATTGAAATTAGTAATGTCTACTTTATATAATTATATTAAATTTAGTAATAAAAATTAATAATAAAATTATAGGAATGGATTTGAGAAATAGAAATACAAGGAAGGTATTACTCTAAATGTTAGAGAAACATTTGAAATAAATAATGACTGAAAACACTACTAAAGTTAAATTTTAAGAATAGTTGACAAGATTTCAGATAGATGAAGATTAAAGAAGAGCTAGATAAAAATAACATAGTCCATCACCTTAATTAATGAGAACACATAGTTAATCAGATCATATTTAATTTTATGAGAGACAATAATCATAATTAAAATTAAAAAATGAAAGATTATAACAATCAAAAGAGAAGTCTATACAAAAGAAGTTATAAGAAGAAATTCAAGAAGCAACATTTCATCCAAAAATCCTTAAACCTAAAAATTAGAATACTTAAAAGAATGATTTGTATTAATAAGGAATGAAATGGATGTAATAAAAAGTATTAATTATTAATAGATAAGGCTGATCATATTGATAAATTAAAAGAATCTTCTATGATTCAATTAAGCTAAGAAAATTTGTTTAAACCAATGGTTAATAAAGTATCATAGAAAATAATCAAAACAACAAATCAAACTGATTTTTTTTAGAGAATGAATAAAAATGAAGATAAAAAGAAGGAGAAAATCAAGAGACTTAAAACTGATGCCACTCCTTCTTTTAAACCAAAGATTAATGGTATTTATTTTTATTTTATTATATAGATCGTTCTAAAAGAGTATAGAGTACATTAAATAAAGATATTTTATAAGTTTCTGTTAATTTAGAATTAATTGAAAAGATTAGAAATTATAATTAAAGAGATTTAAATTAATCTTGTCATGAATATTCTAGACAAAGAAATTGTTCATCAGCATTATCATAATCAATTGATATTGATAAATAAACAAGTGATTATCCAAGTTTTAGAAATTCAACTACAATTAAGAAATAACCAAAATTATAAATTGATTTTAATACTCCCTCTTAGAATATGACAGAAATGTTATATGAAGCATTAGGTGACTAAAATTATGATTATTTTTGAATTTAACACTTTCATATATTTAAATATATTAATATATATATATATATAAATGCCTAAAATTAAAACTATTCGAACAAAAAAAGCACCTGAGGGATGGGAATTAATTGAACCAACAATAACAGAAATTGGAAATTAAATAAGAGATGTAGAGAATCAAACATATAGTGATAAAAAGAAACCAGAATAATTTTGGGAGATTTATAAATTGCATCATTAAAGGTATAAACAATATGATATATATATATATAGATCTCGTTATATTTATGAAATGTACTATTACAAAAAGGAGATAACCAGAGAATTATATGAATTTTGTTTATAAGAATAATATGGAGATGCATCATTAATTGCAAAATGGAAAAAGACTGGATATGAAAAGTTGTGTTGTTTACATTGTATATCTAAATCACAACATAATTTTGGAGGAACATGTATATGTAGAGTTCCTAAAGCTAAATTAGAAGAAGGTAAATTAGTATAATGTAAATAATGTGGATGTAGAGGTTGTGCTAGTGGAGATTGATATAATTATCTATAAAATAATACCATAAGTTTTAATCATCTATATTTTAATATATGTTTTAATAAAATTCATTCTCTAAGATAATCCCACTCTTAGATAAGACACGTCATAAAGGATAAAATGGGAAGATTGCTAGTATAGGTGGATCATTTGAATATACAGGTGCTCCATATTATGCAGCCATTTCTTCATTAAAAGGAGGAGGAGATTTAGCATACATTTATTGTACAAAATCAGCTGCAATTCCTATAAAAAGTTATAGTCCTGAATGCATAGTATATCCTTATCTATTAGAAGATGGTGAAGAATAAGAATTAGAGAATACTATTAATAAATTATTGTCTTCTACTTAGATTATGCATTCATTAGTAATTGGTCCAGGATTAGGAAGAGGACAAATAATCAGCAAAATTTTGGAAGAACTATTCAAATAAAATAATAGTATCAAAATATTGGATGCTGATGCATTATGGCATATATCTTAGAAGCAGAATAAATTGATTTAAATCATCTAAGAAAAGAGTAATCAATTTATATTAACTCCAAATGCTATGGAAATAAAGAGATTGTTAGAATATTTTGATATTGAATATTTTAAGCCTGATTATGATTCCATTAATGTATTAAATGATCAAGATGTAAATTATAAATAAATTGGAATTGATAATGGATATCCAGGATTAATGGCTGAATTGAGTAGAAAATTAAATAATGTCATAATTGTATCTAAGGGATAGAATGATATAATAACAAATGGAAAAGTTGGATATGCAGTTTATATAGAAGGTTCTAAAAAGAGATGTGGAGGTTAAGGTGATATATTGAGTGGTTTAATTGGACTCTATTCTTATTGGTCTTAAGATTAGAAGGTAGACAAGATTGAGGGATGTATTTTAGGAAGTGTAGTAACTAGAAAAGCAGCAAAGATGGCATCAAATAAAGAGTATTATTCATTGACAACTCCTAAGATTATTGATCATATTGGAGATGCTCTTTATTCATTTGTTTCAGATTAGTGATTAATAATGTGTTTTATTATATATTATTTACAAAAATGGAGAGTTTTGATGATATGGTTGATATGGAAGTAATAAATGATTAAGAGTTATTGGTTAATCTTAAAAAGCGATATTAATTAAAAAAAATATTCACCTATGTTGGACCTACATTATTGGTCATAAATCCATTTGAGGCATGTCCACACTTAATCAATCTAGAAGTTAAGAACAAATATATTTAATCAGCTATCAATAAGGAAAATAGGAGTACTCAACCTCCACATATGTATGCAATAGGTGCTGAAGCAATTAAGTGTTTATTTGAAAATTAAAAAAATTAAGCAATCATCATATCTGGAGAAAGTGGTGCAGGTAAAACAGAAAATGCAAAATCATGCATGAATTTAATTACTAGTGTGAAATTTGACACCCCAAGATAATCATAAGAGAAAAAAAATAGTATTAATAAATTTGCCATTGAAGATCGAGTAAATCTATTTAATTTTATTATAGATTTTATCTTGCAATCCAATTTTAGAAGCATATGGTAATGCTAAGACATTAAGAAATAATAATTCAAGTAGATTTGGAAAATATACTAAAATTTATATCTCAAAAAAAGATAAGAAAATAAAAGGAGCTCAAATATATAATTATTTATTAGAGAAAAGTAGAATATGTTTATAAGGAAAGGGTGAGAGAAATTTTCATATATTTTATCATATTTTGAAAGGAATGCCTATTAATGAATTATAATAATTATTTTTAAGTGAAAATGATTAACCAATCTAATTGAATAAGATATCATATATTAATACAATATAAGATGTAGATGGAATAGATGATAAGAAATTATATGATGAAGTTATTCAATCATATAATTTATTAGGTTTAGAATCTGATAAATCAAATATTCATTAAATAGTAGCAGCTGTATTGCATTTAGGAGATTTACAATTTGATGATGCAACACTTACTGATGATGTACCTTGTAAAATAGTTACTGAAAATAAGTTGGAATATTTGTCAAAATTATTATAATTAAGTATCAAAGAAATAAGTGAAGCTTTGATACTTAAATAAAGAATTATAAATAAATAGAAGATTGTTTCACCTGTTTCTTATAATTAGTGTATCTAAAATAGAGATTCATGGGCTAAAGAATTATTTGAAAGATTATTTAATTGGCTTGTTTGTAAATTGAATTAAAATATCTTACCAGAAGAGGAATTTGATGTAAGTAACAATAATACCTATATTGGATTATTAGATATATATGGATTTGAAGTATTTGATAAAAATGGATTTGAGTAATTAATAATCAATTATACAAATGAGAGACTTCATTAATTATATATTCAATATGTATTTAAAGGTGAAGAAATTGTATTTAAAGAAGAAGGACTTGATAAATTTTGTTAGCATATCAAATATAAAGATAATTAAGCATTAATAGATTGTTTAGACAAACCTCCTTTAGGCATTTTTGATATTCTAGATGAAGTATGTTAAGTAGCTGGAGATGATGATTTATTAATTAGTAATATTAGAAAAAAGTAAAAGGATCCTAAATATGTATTATAACCTAAAATGCCTTCAACTTAATCTTTCATTATTGTTCATACTGCCAGAAATGTAGAATATTTAATCTCTGGATTTAGAGAAAAAAATGTTGATGAAATCAGTGTCTTAACAGCATTTTATAGTTAATAGAGTGGTAATCCTTTGATTTCAAAATTATTTACTGTTGAAGATAAATAAACATAAACAGTTACTAAGAAAGATAAAAGTTTATCTAAGAAAATAAGAACTTAAATGAATGATTTAATGAAAGAATTAACTAATAATTGTGATGTTCATTTTGTAAGATGTATTAAACCAAATGATCTTAAAAAACCATAATTATTGGAAGATGATTATGCTTTACAATAAATAAGATATTTAGGTGTTTTAGATAGTTTAAAAGTAAGGAAATAAAACTATCCTTTTAGAAGATTACATAAATAATTCTATAAACAATTTGGTGAAATGACATCCAATCCTCTATTTAATATTTTAGAATAATAATCTGCTGATTTTAGAGAACTAAATTTGTAATTGTTTCAATAATACTATCCTAAACTTGGACCTGAATTAGTTCTATTTGGATAGAAAAGAATATTCATAAGAATTGAAGGCATGGATATAATCTAATAAGTATTTACTGAAATTATGGAAAAAAAGAGTAAAATTGCTTTAAAAATCTAATATAATTGGCATAAGTACTTGATTAAAAAGAATTTGAAAAGAATACACATACATTATCAAAAGATTAAATTATGCAATTGGAGAAAGGCTTTAAAGGCCTTTCAGGATCTTTATTATTATTAATTAAGACAATCAAAAATGAAGTTATATCAAAATTAATTGGATAAGATATTACAATATGTATATAGATTATAAGCAATTACTAATTTTGATCTAATAATGAAACATATCATTTTTATACAAAGATAGATAAAATAGTGGTTATTTTTTAAAAGAATAAGAAAATTAAGATTAGTTAAATTCAATATAAATTATATCATAGAAAATAGTTGGCAATTTATAAGATTGAAAAAAGTATTGGTAATATAGAGTTTTTTTAGAGGAGCAAGAGTTAGAAGGATTCATAAGAATGTAGTTGTAAGGTCTAAATAAGCTAGGATGAATAAAAGAAATGAATTAGCTGCAATAAGAATTTAAAAGTGGATAAAAGGAATACAAGTTAGAGAACACATAAGAAAATTGAATAAGGCTGCTTTTAAAATACAAGGTTTTGTGAAAATGAAATGGTTATCTAAAACTTTTAAATAAATAAGGATTAGTACAAAGAAGATCTAAAAATTAATTAGAAGATATTTAATAAAATAAAGGGCAAAAAATATTAAAAAAGAATAATATTTTAAACCATTAGAGGAATAATTAAATGAAACTGTAAGGATTGAAGAAAATGATTTATTTGGAAATAATTTAAATTCATTAAGTTTTGATTAAATACTAAATTAAGATGATGATTAATTTAGAGATAAAGGACAATTATTTGATATCTTAGTGGATTTAGAATTATTATCTGATGTTGGTTGTTATTAGCCATCTTTCAGTTCTAATTATAAATAATTATTTTAATAAGGTTATAAAAATGAAAATATCATATAAAGTGTAAGAGTAGGTAGTTTTCATAGTATTGCATCAACGAGTTTAAATAAATTATACACTTGGGGATTAAATAATGAAGGTTAATTAGGATAAGGGAGATTGAGTGATATTCCATAATAACCTTAATAACTTACTCTTAATGTAGTTATGGATTAAATAGAATGTACTGATTTCAATAGTTATGTTAAATGTTAAGATGGAAAACTTATTATATGGGGAGCTTAATGTGAAACAATTAGTTATGTTGACATATAACCAGTAAAATAGATATAATGTAGATTTGATAGAACTTACATTATAAATAATTAAGGTATGGTTTAATATTGGGATAGTGATCATGTAATATAAAATATTGCAACCAATTCTCCCATTTCATAAGTGTCTGTTGGATTAAATTTTATAGCTTTGCTTAATAATCAAGGATAAGTTTTTGTGAAAGGAACTAATGAACATGGTTAATTGGGTTTGGGAGATATTTTATTTAGAGAATAATTAATTTAAATTAAAATTCCTTACAAAGCAAATTTAATTAGCTGTGGTTTAAAACATCTTAGCATTTAATGTTGTAATGGTAAAGCTTTTGTATGTGGTTGGAATCAATAAGGACAATTGGGATTGGGAGATTTCTAAGATAGATATAATTTAGTGTAATTAAAATATGAGACTTAATAAATTTGTTGTAGTAGAACATCTACAATGATATTGTTAGAGAATAAATAAGTTTTTTGGTGTGGTAGTAATGGTAATTTAAAATTCTAGAATGAATTCGTTTAATTGGCCAAGAAAGTATGAATTTAGTTATAATATAAAAGATGAAGTATATTTAAAAATTAAATCCAGTGAGAATTCAATGTTCATATTCAAAAGTTATTAGCCTAATAAATATAACATATATTAAGATGGAAAAGATCAAATAACCAGAGAAACTTAAAGGAATATTGGGAACATTAACTCAAAAATGGGTTGAGAATAATATTAATTCTATAGATCCTCCTATGATAGAGAGTGTATCAAATTATTTAATGCATTATCATATGAAAAAGTGTAGCTCTAATAACTCTTAAATTGTAATAAATAAAGTTTGTAGGAAATGAAAAATAAATGTATCTTGATGTATATTAATTTTTTACTTTTTTTCTGAGATTATTGAAAAATATTTAATATTTTCTTTTTTTATCTCCAGAAAGTAATTCTGAAATCTTTTGAATCCATGATACCAAATCAATACTCTGAAGTGGGTAATATTTGATTTTATTAGATTGAATAATAACTTTACAATGTCTATAATTCTTATATCCAATATCTAATTCTTGAGAATTTGCGTTATCAACACATAATGACAAATCCCCTTAACTAAATAAAAATCGAGGAAGGTTTAGAGTATAATATAAATACCAATCCTAGTGAATAACCTATTGAATCTAAATCAACCATAGAGTCTGTTAAATAATTTGCTGGCAATTTAAAACCTTAGATGCCTATTAAGAAAACAAGACGTAAGAATGCAAGAAAAACATACAATAATGGTATTTAGATAATATTATATAAGGTCATTGGACTCAAAAGGAACATCGTTTATATTTGTAATTTATAGAAACAAATAAGGAAATAATGATGAAATCAGACATGAAAAAACAAGAGAAGATCTTTAAATAGATGTCTCTTGTTATTAAAACAAGATCTCCATCATAATGTAGATCACATCATCAAAAATTTAATCCTTTCTGAGAATATTATGAATTATTCATTAATCATTATAATTAGTTGCTATGGAAAGAAATGATTCAAATTATTTTCTATTAACATCAGAATCATTAGAACCTTAGCGGAATTACATCATTGGCAAAGTCTATTATTGAGACATCATTTTCTAAAGTCTCAATATAATGATTGCATTGTATCCATATGCTATGGAATTACACAAACCCAAACAATCAGCCATAATAAATCTTATCCCTCTCAATACTTAAATGTCTTAATCACATAATTTTGCTATTGCATATACAGTCATTCCACTATAACAAATCAACATTATTATTGGATATAATAACATATTCTATGTTATTCTTTATGATAACTTTAACTCATATTCTTATTGCGTATATAATTACAATTCTTATTAATCAGAACTTCTTGATCTATTAATTTATTCTGATTATGTTCTTAATTTTGTCATAAAAATACTTACTCTAATAATAAATGATATCCCTACAATATTCAGCAACCATAATGGAACATAGAATAAGGAAATTGATTCAATTCTTACCAATTTAGATGGTGTACCTTATTCATTACAATATGAATCTACATCATCATTTGAAATTCCACAAACATATTTTTAGGTATTATAAGAATTTGTTATGACAGGGATTAAAGCAAATAAAATAGGGACACAAAATCCTATTAATTAAAAATGTCTTTAGTATTCACTCAAATTAACTCTATTTTTAATCACTGTCCAAAAAATGCATAAACATAATAAAAAACAAAATAGGAAACATGCAATTGAAGAATATTGAATTAAGAATCCTTAAGTTGTACATAGGATTTAATAATTAGGTGTGCATCCTTATAATATAATACTTTTACCTGGATCAATATACATTAAATTGGAAAGAGAAAATATGATATCACTAATTGTCAAACACATTATCAATTTTAATGCAAAGTTTTTTCTCATTCCCATTCTAAAATAAACTACAATTATAAAGAGAGATCCTATTAAGGACAATGAACAAGCTGTAATTTAAAGTATTTTAATTGTTTAATCGTTCATTAACAATAATAATATATATTTAATTTCAAAATATATTGCAAGAAACATAATCACTCTCTAATAAGTCAATCTATACATCATCTTCTCTTTCAGGTCTTCTATAAAGATCATTAATTTAACAATCTTCTTTTATTTATTCATAATCTACCTCATATACTTATTATTTTGCTTCAATATTTTAAATATTATACTTTAAATAGTATTATAATTTAGTGTCATTTGTTTTTCTTATGAATAATCTTACTCTTCAACATATCTACTATTTCTACCTTCAAAAACTGTTTCTTTCTATTGCAACTACTCATATTAAGGTTGAGGAATAGCAGAGTACTTAACCTCTGTAGTTTATAATTAAGATGTTGTTGTTCCTACATTAATTTAATCAAAAATTACCTCTTCCTCTCCTATATTTGTCCATAACTTCTTTTACACTCTATCTATTCACTTCATAATGACTATTCTAACTATTCATCTAATATTTCTCTAAAACTCTCTAAGATTATCTTGAAGCCTCTAAATCATAATTATTATTCCTTCCCTCATTATCCATTTAAACATATTTAGATGTAATTACTGTTGTTTATTGATTATTTTATGTTTATCTAGGTTTAGAGGATCGTCGTAATTCATATCTTTAAACAGCATCCTAGAATTCTCCATTACTAGTTCTTTAAATATTTTATCTTGTTGTAACAGATCTAACTTAATAACTTTGTGCTTCTGCTGAAAAGCTATTATTCATTAAAACGATAATTTTTTTATAATATAAAATTCTCATCTCTCATACTACATATCCATAACAAAAATGAATAGATATCTAATAATAACATTATAAGTTATTATATTCTGAAATTTATAACAAAATTACTTTCAAAGAATCATAAGAATTATAAATTTTACATTTATTATATTTTCATTTCTTATAAATAAAATTACTATATTAATGAATAATAATCATATATCTACAATCTTTAAAGTTAATCAATCAAATTTTATTTAAATATTATTCTTAAAATGTTATAATTTCAAAAGAAAATGTTGTTATTTTATTATAATATATATATATAGTTTAAATTCAAGTTTGATTCCAAAGAATTTAAAATTTATAAGTAATAATAACTTAAGAGAATTTAAAAGATGTTTTTATAAAAATTAAGTATATATTATATATAATTGAATTAATGTTATAATCCATTTTTGATTTTGGTAAAACAACTTCTACTTTTTGGCATCTATGCGATAAATCTTTGCTTGATGTATTACTAAATATGATATTAAGGAATAATCTGATTTAATAGAGTCTGAATTTCTAGTTGGTTCTAAATAAAGAATCAAAAAAAAATTTCTTTTGATGGGTGAAAGTACATTATTCAAAGTTTCTGTAATGTAACTTAAAAGAGCTCCCTTACTTACAATGCATATTTAATTTATAGATCCTTCATCAGATCATTTTGTCTAACTTAATTCAGATGAGACATTATATGGTTTTAGACTTTCTTATCAAGGGAAGAGTCTAGAGATTTTTACTTCTGATAAAGCTAATTATGAAATTTGGAAGTCTCACTTTCGATTAAAGTGTATTATGAATAATTTTCATGATGCTTTTTCAGTATCAAAAATGATTGGCAAAGGTAGTTTTGCAAAAGTGTATTCAGCAACAAAAAAAGAAAATAATAATTAATATGCAATTAAAGCATTTAGTAAAAGCTATATGTCTCAATAATCTAAAGGAATAGAAAGTTTATTAAATGAAATAAAAGTAATGAGAAGATTGAATCATCCAAATATTGTAAAGTTGCATGAAGTTCATGAAACAACTAATTCAATTTACTTTGTTTTAGATATGATTTAAGGAGGAGAACTATTATAAAGAGTACGTGAAACAGGTATAAATTTATTATAATTAGGTTTCCTACCTGCTGAGACAATGTAAAAGCTAGCTTTCAATTTGATAAGTGCATTAAGACATATGCATGAAAATAATTTAATTCATAGAGATTTAAAACCAGAAAATCTATTATTGAAATCAACAGAAAATAATTATGAAATTGTTTTAGCTGATTTTGGTTTAGCCACTAGTCTTAATGAAGAACCCTTATTCAAAAGATGTGGTACACCAGGATTTGTTGCTCCTGAAATCCTTGAATATATTGATGGATTAGATTTCTATTGTGATAAATGTGATGTATTTAGTGCAGGAATAATCTTATATCTTTTAATTGTATTATAATATTATTATTATAGACTGGTAATACTCCATTTGCAGGTATTGATTAAAAATCTATTCTAAAGAATAATAAATAATGTGAAGTGGATTTTAAAGATTAATAATTTAAGTTGGCTCCAATTTAAATGTAAGATCTTGTTTAATCTATGCTCATTAAGAAACCTTCTTAGAGATTAAGTTCAGAAGAAGTATATATATATATATATACTTAAATAAGTGTTTAAAACATCCTTATTTCAAAGAATTGGCAAAGGAATACAATAGATAAACAGAAAAATATTAAAAGAATCTTTAAGGATATTCTGAATTTAAAAATGCTGTTAAGATAGGAACTTAAGAGATTGAATAGAGATCACCCTTAAATTTCAATTCATCTGAATCTATATCCTCTAATATTTCTATTACAAGACAAGATTAAAGGAAATCTTCAATTGTAGTTGGAGCTTCAAAATTTAGTTAATATAGTTTTAAATTATCAAAATAAAATTCAAGGGAGATTACTGGTATGTTAATTTTATAGTATTTAGATATACCATAGAAGTAAGAACCAAAAAAATAAAAGGATTTACATAGAATTGCTTTGACTAATAGTTAATTAAAACATATGGCAAATAGTAAATAAGATAATGGTGATGATCCAACACCTGAAAATTGTAATATTGGAGCAATGGTTAGATAATATAATTCTACTCGATAAATAAGGATTCCAGATAGTACATTAAAAATAAAAGAGTGTAATACTCCTACACTATAAAAACAATGAATTAATTAAATTCTTTATATAATATAATAATGAATACATAATTAAGTAATATAATGAATAATTCATTTTTTTGTATTATTTAATTAAGATTCTGAATAAATTTAGTAGAAAGTTGATTATTCATTATTCAACAATTCTTTGGTCAAACCATATTCTTATACCTATCCCTTATTTATTACAATAATTCTAATAGATATATATATAAATTATTTACTTATCACAATTAAGTATTGTATTAATTCTATGTGCAATAGTAATGACAGTACAATTTTTGAATGCTTTTGAGATTGTATCTTATATTTTATGTTCAGTATCTACATCAATATTAGCAGTAGCTTCATCAATTAAAATTATTTTGCTTTTTTTGAGTATTGCCCTTGCTATACATAATAATTGTTTTTCACCAGCACTTAAATTATCACCATCTTCATATAAATTAGAATATAATCCATTTCTATTTTCTGTTAATTTATCTAAACAGCAATCCAATAAAACTTATTTAATTTCATCATCAGAACATTTATTTAATGGATCTAAATTATCACGAATTGTTCCATTAAAAATAACTGCATCTTATATAATGCTTGTAATTGATTCTCTTAATTATTTTAAAGATATATTTTATGTATCAATATCATCAATTAAAATTTATCCTTCTGTTCTATCTAATAATCTTAGAATACTCATTGTGATAGTAGATTTACCTGCTCCAGTACGTCCTACTATACCTATTTTATCCATTGGATTGATTTTGAATGATATCTTATTCAAAGCATATGGTAGATTTTATCTATATTAAACACTTAAACTTTTGAATTCAACTGATCCTGATGATGGCCAATTGTTTAATGTAATTTTCTTTTCATTTCTATTTTCTTTTTCAATTGTTGTGAATGCTTAACATCTTTCAAAAGATATCATATCATTTTCTAATGAACTTATAGATTCAATTGTCTATTAAATATTCATATCAATATTTGATGCATATGTCATAACTAATCCTGCCAATGCTGGATTATTCGTATATAAAATACAATAAATTATGGCTGACATATTAACAATCAAACTAGTCAAACCTAATATCTAAGTAAACCAAGCATTAGTAATCACTTAAGCTTCTACAATCTTTCTATTTTCATCTAATTTCTATCCAAAAGTCTTTATAAATTAATTAACTTATTAATATGATCTGATAGTAGTCAATCCTGTAAGAGTTTCAGAAAAGTAACTTAAAATTGGACTTTTACTCATTAATTCTAATCTTTATAATTCTCTACTTGCTCTTGTATATCCTCTTTATATTTTCATACATACTCCAAAAAATATGAAAATAGGAAACAACATAAGATATGTACTTGCATAAATATTTAAGAATATATGACTAGCCAATTAACTAACTTTAGTATATAACCAACTGATATTCATATATATTTCTGTATCAAGTTAATTAATATCCTTAGTTAATCTATTCATTATTCTCCCCAAAGGCACTCTTTCAAAAAATTAACATTAAGGTGCATACATTAAACAATCCATCATTTCATCATGTATCTTTGATGATGATTTAATACTTTATCTAATAATTGTTAATGCTCTTATAAATGCTAATAAAGCTTGTAAACATCCAAAAATAAAGTAAATTATTAAATATGAATAATTACTTAATTCATAAGTTGAAAGTGTCCATTCTGATAACCATAAACTAGAACCTAAGTAAGTCAAAATCCAAAATATCATAATTATTAAAACTAAAATAAAATTGCAGTAACCACCTCCATATTCAAAGTATTAATTAAAAACACTGAAACTTATTTCTCCTTTATGTCTTTCTTCTGCAATAATAATATTGTCATTTGCATTAATTTTATGTTCTTTTGTTGTAGTTAATTGAGTGTCTTCTTATGTTTTTTAAATCTAAACATTATTTTCATTAACTTCTTCGACCATATTACATTTTTCAGCTATATTTTGAAATCTTTTACTCAATTTTAAATCAGAATATATTCCCTTTTCAAAAATTTAACCATTGTCAAATAAATAAATATAATCAGCATATTTACAATAATTTAAAGAATGTGTTATTAATATTCTAGTTGTATTTTTTAAATGATTTAATATGCATTCCTTCATCAAAAAGTTTCCAACATGAGAATCAACTGCACTTAATGGATCATCTAATAAATATATACTAGCATCACTATAAATAGCTCTAGCTAAACTAATTCTTGCTTTTTGTCCCCCACTTAAATTAATTCCTTTTTCTCCTATTACAGTTTAGTCACTATTAATTAATATTTCCATATCTTATTTAAGACAAGAATAATGAATTGCTTTCTCATAACTTTGTTGATGATATGGCTTACCAAATAAAATATTATCCCTAACAGTTGCATTTTATATCCAAGCTTTTTAACTCACATAAGCAATTTAACCATAAATTTGGACTTTTGGACCATCTTTATAAAGCATCTCTCCCAATAAAGATTATACAAATGATGTTTTACCTGAACCAACATCTCCAATAATTGAAACTAATTATCCTGGAGCTATCAACATTTCAATATTCTTTAAAATTAATTCTTATTTTTCAACTTAACTTCTATTCCAATAGAAATTTCCTTAATTCACAGAAATAGCAATTTCATTATCTCTAAATTCTTTTTAATTTATATAATCTGTCATAATTTCTTAGGATGTTAGAAATTATTAGATTCTATTTAAACATAGTTTAGTTTCTAATAGTGCAGTAATTGAAATTGGTAATTATTATATTGTAATTTACAATATCTAAAATAAACTAATAATTGAAAATATGATTGAAGGATTCATAGTATTACCTAAATATATATATAAACCAAATGTAGAACTTAGAATTATTTAAGGTGCCAACCAACCTGAAAAAATTATAATAGCTGAATAAAATAATCTATCTTTTAAACATTTAATTTCTATTTAACGTAAATTATACACTTTTTATAAAAAGTATTCTTCTAAAGCATTTATTTTTATGAATTTTATTTAAGTAAATATTTCATTTATTTACTTTATCCTATTATCTTTGGCTTCTAATAATTTCACTTATGATTTGATTACATTTTCACCATTTTTTATATTCAAAATAATTGTTAATAGTATTATTATAAATCCTATTGTAAATGATATCCCTATTAAATGATACATTAATATTAAACTTATGACTATCATTACATATTAATATATATACTTAAATATAGTGGAATCATAGCTAAATTTAATAAATCATTAGATGCTAAAATCAACTTTTAAGAGTCAACTTGCATCAAATTTGTTATTTCTCCTATACTTCTATCATTATTACTTAATAAAGATATTCTGAGACTCTTTTTCATAATTAACATACTTATTACACTCATTGATTCATATCCAAGTTTTCTCTTTCCTTATTATGATATAATTTTACACTTAACATTCGTTAATGAGATTAACTCAATATATTTGATAATCTTATCAATAATATTAAAACAATCAAAATAATTCCATTTTCTAATTTATGTTCAGCATCTACAACACAATCAATACTTAGTTTTATTAATACTGGTAAAATTAATTACCCCAAAGTAAGTAAGACCTAAATCAATATAACTCTTATCAAAGGCTCTGAATTATAAATATAATTATATTACTTAAGAAAAACTTGAGTAACTCTTACATTAAATTTAAAGAAAAAGGATATTTTTCTTTACTTTCAATTTATTCTAAAAATCTATAAAATAGTATTAGGGTCTTCTCCTCATCATTTAAATCATCAATCATTTCAGATTCCAAAATGTCAAGCTATGCTTTCTTTACGTTATTTTATCATTTTTACTTTTAGTATAGGATAAGCTCTCAGAAGCATCATTTTAGAAATCAGGTTTTCATGCTATTTTCTATCTTAAAATTCTAAGTTAATTAAGTGAACATCATATTTTTCATTTGTTGGTAATTCGTTTTCCATATATTTAAAATTTAAATAAAATATAATAAGCAACTTAAGTGATTTATAAATTCAATTGTTAAGTCATTTAACATGAAAAATAGGAAATTTGCATCTATATATTATATTTCTGAAGATTTATAAATTACTTATTTTATTTATTTGCTTTAGATTTTTGTTTCATAGAAATTCTTATATAATTATCTTTTTGCATTCATAGTATTTCTGATTTCATATTTATCTTTTTAAGTATATCAACTTAGATATATATTATAAATCATACATCATAGTTTATATTTATATTTTTAATTAATATTGACCATCTTCTATATTTTTATTGTATGAATCCTATATTTTATACCATATATCAAACTATATTCTTAAATATATAGTTTCATTTATCATCTAATATAAAAGCAAATAATAAATTAGATGGAAATTTAGTAATTATTAATATACTGTTTAAAATATTTTATATATGAGTATTGTAAATTAAATATTATAGTTAATTACTATTATTATTGACTCTTATAAATTCATTCTAATTTATAGATACTTATTGAATATTAATGATATAATTAATTCTTGATATTTATAAGTAATTAAAATTTATAATGATTTTATATAGATAAATAAAAGGTATCTTTTTATTAGAAAATCTTTTCAGAGTTTTTTTTATGTTCTTCCCTTGTTTAAATGTTAATAATCATTATATTTTAATTAAATTCCTTAAAATTTCTCTCAAATGAGGGAAATTTACAGAAATCAATTTGAATAAGTGATAATTAAGTTTAATAGGTTTCATTAAAATTTCATAAAGACCAAGGATAATATAGGTTAAGAATAATACTTATAAGTGGAGTCAATAAGATCTTTCAAAAATAGTCCTCTTTCAGTTTGAAAGAAATAATAGAAAATAAGAATTTAATCAAAAGAATTACAATCCATAAGATATCTACAAAATTTTAATAAATTTCTAAATCAAAAAATACTTGTAATTGTAAAGATTAATTAAAGGTCATTTTTTATAAAATATAAATTATCTCAAAATTAATAAGTATATATCAACAGGAATTAGTCAACTATAGAATTATTAGACTATTATGAGTGATAATTATTGAATAACTTTAAGGGTTTGTTTAGATAATTTCAATTTAGATAATGTAAATTTTTGGATAAATCAATTTAAATAAGGTTTTCTAAGTCTATTATCATAGTATAATATTTTATTAAATTTGATATTTATTTTTTATTATAAAAATTATATTAAATTATAATTATTCTAGACATTTAGCATTCAAGAATATAAATAAAATAATTATATATATATATTAAATAGATGAACTTTATCATAGATTTGCAGCCATACTTAATAAACTTAATAGATGTTCTTCTGATTACTCTCTAATTTTCTTTATTTATTATAATTATACCTAGTCTTTTTTCTTAATCTAATTCTACTTTACTCTATTAACAATATCTTTAAGCATTTCAAATATTGATTATTCACTTTCATCTCTATTTCTCTTTTCTACATTAATGAGATTACTGAGTTTAACAAGTTCGTCAGTAATTGATTTCATAATCTAAAGATATATAAAGAGTATACATTTTAATCAGATTCATCTCTTTCATTAGCTTTTAATCTAGTTGCTTCTTAGATTTTTTGTAGATCATTTTATAACCCTTAATGAATTCCTTCTATAGAATCTACTCTGGCAGTAGTCTCCTTTTATACTTCAGTTCATAATAAGGCAGTTTTATCTTCAAGTAGTCACTATTGATTTTCCTTCTTTTCTTACATGACTTTCATTTTCAATAACATTTTAAAACTTCTTCTCTAAAGCCAAGACTTCCCTATTCTTAGCTTCTTTAGCCTATTCTTTAACTAATTTATCTTCCTCTACTTATTTTTATAATTTTCCTAACTATAATGATTAATTTCTTAATCTCTAAATCCATTAAGTTTAGTGAATATTTATTCTTAAAATTCATTAAAAGCATCTTCTGCTTATTGAAATCTTTATTCAGCTTATTCTAGTTTTTGAAATCTTTCATTTTCTAATCCAATTTAAAGGGTTGATAAATTCAGAGATCTTTTATATACGTCCACTACTTGGTGATACTTATTGATTTAAAGGTATTATAAATAATTAATACATAAATATTTTAAATTATACATTTTGATTTAATTTTATTTTTAATTAAACTAAATAATTGTATAGAAATAAAATAATCAATCAAATAAAAATTTTTAGTTTCTTTTGATTAAAGTTTGACCAAAATCTAATTATGAGATATCAGCAAAATCAGAATGCGAACTATCAACAAATTCATTTTGTGTTTCATCTTTAGTAATTCTACTATTTCTACTTGATATTTGATTGATGTTTTTATAAATATGTTCAACATCAATCCCTCTAGATTTAACTGCTTTTACTAATTGAATTAATTTCTTTTCTTTTTCTGATAAACTTTGTATTTTTTATTACATAAGTTTAATTTGATTTTTCAATTCAATTTTTTAAGGAGAATTGAATTAAGGTTTATATACTTCATCATTTTATTTTTTTTATTTTTTAATTTGTTCTAATTTCTCTTAATATTATTAGATTTTTTGATTTGTTTCATAATTTTTAATTTTGATATCTAAAATAATATATATTAATTATTATTACCAAATTGAAATTAAGTTTCTTTGGCTTATAATTCTAATTCATGAATTCGTTTAATTAGTAATGCTTTATCATTTTCATTTTAAATTTCTTTTTTAAATTAATGATTATTAGTGATTTCTCGAATAATTTGAATTAATTAAATGATATAACTTGACACTTCTTATTAATTAATACATGTTCTTAATCCTATTATTAATTTAGAGAGTTATTCATTTAATTCTTTAATATTTTTATTCTTTTCAAGACTATCTATTACTAATCTAATTAGTCTAATGATTTCTTTTTTAGAGGCTTCTTCTTTAAGATGAGCTTATTCATATAGATAACTTTAAACGGACATCATTTCACTACTTAACTTCATAGTGGACTATGTGTTTTATCTACTCTTATATAACTTGAGATCATACCTTATTTAGTTTTTTGTCAGGTGTAGTAAAGCTAGTATTGTTATGATTGTATTTTGAAGCAGATAATGATTTCATTTACAAATTTTAATTTTTATATTAATTTTTATTTAACAGATGAAATAGACATACAATCCAAATAGAGAATACTTGTCAATTTATAAATAAATTTGTTAAGAATAACATGTACATTTAAGTAAAACAATAAGTATATTTTTTGGATAATATTTTATAGCATAGGGTTTGAAAGATTAATCACTAAAATTGAATGCCATTTTAATAAGAATAGAGGATATAATTCCATTATAATTATTATTAAGTTTGTGTCATTTTGATTCAATAATTGTATATGGTAGATTAAGAAAGAAAATGAATAAAAGTATTAATAAGCTTAAATTTATAATAGATGATTTAGTAAGTTTAGAGGAACTATAATAAATAATAAATGGAATATTAACAGCTATAAATTTAAATTTGACATAAAGTTAATTCAATTTAATGCAAATACATATTACTGATTTGATTTTGAGTCCAAAAGATTGTGAATCTATATCATTTGGATTAAAGAGTACAAAAACATTAAAAGAACTTAAGATTACAAATTGTAGTTTAACAAGTTAACATTTATAAATATTATCTGAACCAATCTAATAATGTGTTTCATTAAATTTATTAGATTTATCCAATAATTTATTAAAAGAAAATGCTGGAATGATAATTGGTAAAATAATAAGTTCACATGCAGGTAGAAGAGATGAAATGAAATGGGCAGAAGAAATAAGAGGAGATGGTAATATAATAAATAATAAATTATTAGAACCTCCATAATAATTGGCATTGTAAGGATTATGTGAAATATTTTTACATTAGAATATGTTTGATGATAGATGTGTAAAAGATTTGTGTAATTTTTTAATGTATGATTCATGGACAAAGAATATTGGTTTAAGAGAAAATCAAATAGGAGAAGAAGGTGTTAAATTATTTAGTTAGATTTTGGATACAAATGAATCCTTAATCTCATTAGATCTTAGAGAAAATCCAGGATTTGTTGAACCATATTCTAAAGATATATTTGATAAGTTGGTTCGAAATATCAAAATATTTAAGGAATAAAAGAATTATTATGAAGATGTTGAAGAGAATTAATAAGATGAATATCCTATCATTTAAGAATAATAATAAGAGGAATCTGAAGAATTAGGTTAGTAGTTTATTTTAGTTAGAATGTCCTAATTGTAAGAATTTATTGAAGTAGAATAAACAATTGCAAAGAAGAATATAATAATTACAATAGAGACCAAGATATGATTCATAATTAATGAATTAAGAAATAAATAAGGATGATGAATAATAATCAGGAGATTTATTGATTTAAATTGAGAATAAAATGAATGAATTAACTACATTAATGGATATGTTAGAATAATCTAAATAATAATAATATTAATAATAATCTGGAAACAAGGGGAAAAAGAAGAAGAAGAAAATACTTAAGTAAACAATTTGATATTTAATTTATTATATTATTGTCAGATATATATATATATATATATAAATGGATTAGAATATGATATATATATTTAATATAATTTAATTTGTGAGAAATGAAGTTGATAAATATTTTCATACAAAATTTAAATAATTTAAATATCAAATTAGAATGGCATCTGAAATCTATGACTAATTAGTAACAGTTTTTACAAATACAGATAATAAAATCAGAAATGAAACAGAAAAACAATTAGTGACAAATCTAATAGATAATATTTAGAATTTTTAATAGATAGCCAAAGTTGCTATGTAATAGGATAAAAGTAAAATTATATTTGAATATATATATAGTGTAAGAACAAGCAGCCAGTTTATTAAATTCAGTTATATTGAAGATGCTAACAAATAGCAGTATTAATATATCATATTAAATTAGTTTAATTATCAATTCATCATGCAAATTCAATCCTTGCAGTTCTCATGTCTTAATATACAACATTAAAATGTAAATAATCTTTAATAAAGTGTATGAGTTTAATAGTTAGAAAAGATAAAAGTAATTATTAAACATTATTTAGGTGTTAAAACTGAAATAGAGAATAAAATGAAAGAATATTTAAGATAAGATCAACATTGGTAATTTTAAATAGGAATCTTATTTTTTAAGATTTTATTGGATTCTTTAGAATTGCAAACATATAGTTCAATTGTATAAACTGGTTATGAATGGATAAGTGAGTTTTTTAATTTAACTGCTTATATTATCACTAAATTAACAGAATAACCAAAAGAATTAGCAGATGATTTCATTACAACTATTAGATTATATACTTAAGTTGTTTCTGATCTATGTGAGAAAGTCTTTGATAAAAATAATAGTCAAAAAGAATAAACTTAACCAATACAAAATATATTATTCTAATTAAATTCTTTCTCTGGAGCTCTCATAATATTATTATCCTATTCTCCATAAATAGGTAAATAGATTCAAAATTGTTCAATTATTAATACAGGTAATGATCATTTTGATAATCAATTAAATGAAATTAAATGTTAAGTGTTTAAAATCTATTTCTTAACTCTTTAAGTCTTATTGAATACTCGAAATAAGAATGAAGTAAAAAAAGGAGCATTTGGACCTTATTTAACAACTATAACATAATTATTAATCTATAGTTTATTGTCCTATACTAATACTGAATCGATTCATTAAATATACAAGTATATATTTTATATATAATAATGAAAGTAAACCATATTTACCAACTATGATGACCTATATAATGAAATTATTGGCAAATCTAGGAACTTAAACTGAATAATATTAAATATTTTCTGATTCCAAAATAGCTTTAATAACAGATGCAATATATCCATTTTTAATAACATCATAAAAAGAATATTAATAAATGAAAGATTAACCAGAAGAATTTGTCAATTTGGCTTTAGATTCAGTAGATAAATAATAATCTGATGTTCCAAAAACAGCAGCAGCATCTTTATTAGAGGCTTTATGTGATCATATTGATGGATCTACTACATTTTTAGCAAATTTAGCGATAATAATTTCATAGCATGCAATAAATATGATATCTAATAATCCAATTTAATTAAAGGAATAATAAGTTACTTTTGTTTAGGCATTGCAAGACAAGTAGAAATACAGTATATATTAGGAAATTATTCAAAGAATATAGTCCAGTAGATAGAATTGAAAGTAGTTTAGTAATATTAACAATAATGAGTTATTTAATATAGAAAAGATTAGATATAGTATTATTAATGGAATAATTATTGAGTGATAATTTATTATTCTTTTAGAATGTTTAAGATTAAATAATAAAATTAAGACTTTCTTTATTTTTTGGATATTATTGTGATAATTTATTTAAAAAGGATACACAATCTTAAAATATGAATGCATATTTATAAATAATGATTAGTTTTGTTTAACCATAAGAACCTGTAGTATTATATTAATCAATTGATGCATTAAAAGACATATTTGAAGATGATGATCTTAAAATAAAAACTAAAGATTTAGTAGTATTACTATTCCCATAATTATGTAATGCACTTTAATATAGTACATATGAGAGACATTTTGAAACAATAACAAATTTATTAAAAAGATATCCATATTAATTTTTGTAAAATGATAATTTATTGGTTGGTTTAATATAAGTTTTGACTTAAAGAGTTATTATAGAATAATAAAAAATAAATTCTGGTGATTAATAAAGACATATATATTTAAATAGATGTTGGAATGTTCTTAGATCATTAGCAGATCAAGATGAATTTAGTGAAGTTTTAGGAAAATTAGAGTAACATTTAGGATAATTGTATTCAATGTTAGCTAATTGTGATAAAATTGATTTTGATGAAGATTTAGTATTATTTATTTCTGGATGTATATCTAAATTATCAATTGTAACAGAATTATAGATGTAAATCTTACCATACTTTTAGAATATTATTAAAAAGTAATAGGGAAGATTATGTAATCTATTTGAAACACTTAATTAATATATGCATTTTGGAAGAAACTATTTTATTAATGAAGCATAATAATCTATTTATTTTTAATTAGCATTTTAGAATTTATAAAATGAAGATAATTATGGTGATATTGAATAAGGAGAAGGAGCCTTATTAATTTAATTAGGAATATAAGAATTACATGATGATCTTAAGAGTAATATACTCTCTTAAATACTTTTCTAAACTATTACAATATTATAAAAACCAGATATTAATGAACATTTAAAGTCTAGAATTACTGGTATTATATTGAGTTCACTATATAAAATACCTGAAAAAACATATGAAGTTTTATCTGAAGTTTTTCCTGCTGTTTATAATCGCATTTTAGATACTCAATATTCTCCAGGTTATGATATCAAATTATTTATTATTACAATGTCATCTTTGATTATGAAATAACCTAATCTCTTAACATCCAATTTATTGACTATAATGGTCAATAATTTAATTGCTTAAGAGAAATATGAAAAAGATTAAAAATTTAAATAAAATGAGTAATTTATCTTTATTTAAAAATAGTTATATGGATGATGAATTAGATGATGAAGATGATAGCGATTTCAATGATGAAGAAGAAATAACATAAGCTTAACAATAAACAGAATAATTCTTAAGTTCTATAGTAAAATTAGATGAATATTCTTTATTTAAATAAACCATCTTATGCTTTAAGAATCTGTATATTTATTTAATTATATCTTTATTAGATATCCATAAATTATTGATTAATTGAGAAATGGATTAGACTAATAAATAATTAATAAAATTAATGAATAATTATAATTTATTAGAGTAGAAACTCAAGATGGAGAAGAACTTAGAAAATTTCGACAATTAAAAAATTGCAATCGCAAAAAGTAATTTAATAATTGATTATTTTGATTTATTATTATAATATATTTATACATATCTACATTTTTACATCATTTTTAATAAATGACATGATTGATTCGTTAACATTACATAAATTTAATCAAATCACACAATATACAACAATAATTTTATAATTAATTGTTTCTTTCCAATGCTTAACTATATACTTCTTCTTACCTTTATCAACATCATTTTTTCATCCATCCTCGAATTTGAAGGCATTTTATCAAAATCATATAATTAGGTACCAATCAAAAATGGAGAGAAATAAATCCATCTTCTATAACAGTTGATCCTCCAGCTACTATTCTTACATATCCTACAACTAATTAATTAGAAAATTGTCCCAAACTCTATGAATCAAGTGCCAAAACCATCAATATTAAAATCAATATCAACTAAGGATACTTAAAAATAAACTATGTTTTTGAACTACATCTCAAAGCATCTTTCGGTACATTTACATTTAGTGCAAACACAATTGTTTTATAAAAAAATGATTTTACAATTGATTCTAGTGCACTTAAGAATATATGCTTATCCTCAAAGGATTATCAAGTAAACATGAATATTCAGCAAAAACCTATTACAGATTCATCTCTTATTGACTTTAAGATGCAATATACAGATGCTGCATTATATTATGTTTAAAATTTTAAAGCATTTATTTTAATTTGTGATGAATACTGTGATCATTGTGATCTTTCAACATCAATATGTTCGATTTGCAAATTGAATTTTGTTTTGGAAAAAAGTAGATGTGTTTGTAAATTAATATTATAAGGAGGAAATTGTTAAGGAACAGCAACTGGGTTATATCAATATTACACTAAAGATTTATTATAACCTTACACATCAAAAACTCAAGTATTTACAGATTTAAACGGTTTTTCATATTAATTTTTTGCTGATTACAATACAACTCAAAGAAATAGATAAATATAAATAGATGGAAATAATGTAGGTGGTTTTTTTATTCAAAATGAATATATTCAATATTCAATTAATTAAGTAATTAGTACTCCAACTGATTTCACAATTGAATTTATATTATATTTATTAGGACCAATAGGTTTGTATAGTAATATTCAAATTATGGTAGATAGTTATATAATAGGATAAATTACAAATTATGGAGATATCAATAATTTACTTTTTTCTTAAGGTTAAATATATAATATGTAAACATGTTTAGTAAGTGGTTATTCATCATGCTATAAATATAATCTGATATTAAGCTTATTTTAAATTGATCATTTAAATACAATTTAAATAAAAGGTCATTTTAATATAACAGATTCTAAATAAGCATGGGCTTTTAGTGATTTAAAAATTTCTAAAATGGTATGGTAATCCTCAAGTTGTACTAATTTTATGTATAATAATGAATGTAAATTTATTAAATGCCCATCATATGCTCCATAATTTGGTCCAAATACATGTAAAGATTTATTAGAAACATATAAATTTTCTGAATATATATTAAAATTATTCTATGATTATGGGAGTATATTTTTTGAAGATAATTTATCTATATTTAAAAAGAATATTCCTTCTAATACTCCATAAGTTTATAAAGATAATTTTATATTTGGAGGATATTAAGCTTGGTAAACAGATTAATTTTAGATAAATTTATAATGTAATCCCCATTATAAAGCTCGTTTATTTGTTAAATTATTGTTAATTGATTTTGGTATTAATAATTTAAATAATATGACTGTTTATTTTGATTCATCATATAAAGTATATAATTGGTAAAATTCAGTTGCTGTATCATTAACAGAAGAGAAAGGAGATCAATTAATAAAAGATTATATAGTTACAATAAGTGGAACAGATTTTGAAGTGAATCATAATGATTAAGAATTATTAGTATCATTTAATTGTAATGCATTTAATACTGCATATTGTGGATTATATGATTTATTTGTAATAGTTGCTTTATGTCCTATTAATTGTTTAAGATGTATTGATAGTGTTACTTGTTTAGAGATTAAATAATCTCTTACAGTTTATTATGATTGTCCTTAAGGTTATTTTTAATAATCAGGAGAATGTGTTCGATGCATAAGTGGTTGTAAAGTATGTAATGACAAATATTATTGTAATTAATGTTATGATACTCATATATATTATAATAAACAATGTTTTTGTTAATTGAATGGATTATCATTTGGTGATTGTTAATCTAATTGCCATCCTTTATGTTAAACTTGTATAGCGTAAGTATCTTCAGAATAAAAATATGATTAAAGAACATTTAATAGAAAGAATGTTAATTTATAATGTGTAAGTTGTGATTTAAGTTAAGGTAAAGTGATGAATATATAATCATGTGAATGTTAAGAAGGTTTTTATTTAGATAAGAATTTTTAATGTTTAAAATGTCATGATACATGCAAGAATTGTTTACTTTAAGCTAGATTTTGTATTTAATGTTAAGATATATAAAATAGAATTTTGGAATTTTAGAATTGTATATGTAAATAAGGATATTTTGAAGTAAGTGATTCTTATACTTGTATGAAATGTGCAGATAAATGTAAAACTTGTGAACATTTTGAGACATATTGTACTAGTTGTTATGTATAATAAATAAGAACATTAAAAGAGAATGATTGTATTTGTTCAGTAGGACATTATTAATATTAAAATAATCTTATATGTTCAGCATGTAATGATTTATGTGAATATTGTTCAGATTATAATATTTGTACATCTTGTTATGATATATAATTTAGATCATTATAAATAGATAAATGTATATGTTAAAATGGATATTATTAAAATAATAATCAATTAATATGTTCTAAATGTTATTACACTTGTTCTGAATGTAATAGTTCAAATGAATTCAATTAATGTACTAAATGTCCAAAAAGTAGAATTAGATCAAATATATATCTTAATGTATTTGAATGTGATTGTAAAAATGGTTATTATGATAATAATGAATTAGAATGTATAGATTGTACTACTTATTAATATCCACCAATTACACATTATTGTTATTCAAAATGTGGTGATTAAATTATTTAATGGAATGAATAATGTGATGATGGCAATCTTGAACCTAGAGATGGTTGTAATTAATGTTATTTATCTAATAATAAATGTATTACTGATATATGTTTAAAATGTCATTTAGGAGAATGTTAATAATGTATTGATGGATATTATCTTCAAAATGATTTTACTTGTTAATTATGTTCTCCACATTGTTTAACTTGTATCTCATCACCAAATCAATGTATAGATTGTAAATTTTACACTCCTTAAAAACAATGTATAATCTGTATGTCTACTGCTGGTTATACAATAATTGATAATTAATGTATAAGTATATGTGGAGATGGTATAAGAACTAAAGAAGAATTATGTGATGATGGTAATCTAGATAATGGTGATGGATGTACTTCATTTTGTACAGTTGAAGATGGTTATATTTGTGATTAAATCTGTATCAAAATTGATTATATTGATATCATCTTAACAGAATCATTATTTGATAAAATTTATCAATCATCTAGAACTATTAAACTTACATTTGATTAAATAGTCAATATTACATAAGCACCTCTTAAAGATTCCATCTCTATGATTACTAAAATCCAAAATTATAAATTTATAACTAAAAATATTATAGATAAAACATAATATACATAAGAATTTAACAAAATTGATATTGAAATTACAATTGAATTAAGTGAATCTATTGAATCTCCAGATATTATTATTATCATTAATAATAATACTGAAGTAATTTCTCAAAATCACTTTTCATTTTAATCCAAAAATCAAACTATTACTCTCTTATAATATCAAGCTTTGAGTGACTCTGAAATTTCAAATACAAAAAATCTTGTTAGATTTAATTCTTATATAATATATTTACTTATTGGTTTTGCCATATTAGCATTTCTATTAGGAGGATTAGATATATTTTGGAATCTATTAGATACTTTATAAGTGTTATCCTATTTAAAATATTTAAATGTCATCTATCCTTATAATCTTGAAACATATTTTTAACTTTTTGGATTTGCTGAATTTGATTTCTTGAAGTCCAATTTTAGTGTTGAAGATTTAATTTCATCATCAATTGAAATTGAAGATCCTGCATTAAAATTTAAAGAAGAAGGATATACATCTGTATTCTTTGTAAATGTTATTGCCATATTTATTGTTATTATGACAACTATAGCAACATATATATTATTTCATTTAATATTCTATTGTATATATTATTATGCTAAAAAAATAAGTACTCATTAACAAATTTCTAATTATTAATCATAAGATGAACCTAATGTTATAGTATTTTTATGTTTTAAATTAACAAGAACAATGCAAAAATATTTTTATAATCTTAAAATACAATATAAAACTGGAATTTTAAGAGCCTTTTTAACAATATCTTATGATTTGAATTTGGCAATATTTTTGCAATTAATGAGTTATTCAAAATCATCAATCTTATTAATACTAAGTAGTCTTTTTGCATTTATCTTCTTATTTTGTGAAATGATTTTCATATATTTTGGAATAATTGTTATGAGTAACAAAAGATTTTACTTTGATTTATAAGAAGTTCAATTAAAATATGGAGCATTATATGAAGGAATTGAATTAGATAGTAATCCTTATAGTCTATATTATAATATTGTGCTTTTTACTAAGAAATTATTATTCATGTTTTTCTTAGTTTTCATATATGATTATCCATTATTTTAAATTGGATTTATATCCTTATTAAATGCTATATTCTTTACTTATATTATATACAATAAACCATTAATTGATAAATCTGAATATTATAAATAAATAATAACAGAAATCTTATTGTGGATAACAGAATTATTAATTCTACTTATAGGTTTTGGATAATAAAGTGAATTCTTTGTTTATGAAAGTTATATAAAAATAGGATGGGTTATTGTCACTATCTTAACTCTCCTGATATTTATACAATTAATAATTGATATTAGACAACATATGATATTTTTAATAGAAAACTATGAGATTCTAAGAATTTTAGTAAATAAAATAAAATAATTACATTAAAGTATATTTTCAAAGGAAATACATATTAATAATGATGAATCATAAAGTCTAGTTGGTTCTAGTAGTAGAGGTAGATTAAAACAAAGCACAAGTAAACTTCCATCAAATTAGAGTTCATAAAAACAAGTCAGAAAATTAGTAACATTTAAAATGAATGATTCAATTTTATGATTTTATATTATATTATTCAAGTATTACCTCTTCTCTCATAAAAAACTTGCAATTTATTTTTTTAAATTTTAGCAAACTTTGATTATTTTTAAACTTTTAATGCACCTGTAATTTATTCTTGTTTAGGGGGTGATAAATATGACATTATAATAAGATCTCCTTCAAGATTATCAAGCATTTTCTCTAATAATGTTCCATCAGGTTAAATTTAAAATAATTTAATTTTTCTATCCTAATATGAAACACCTAAAAGTTTTTTAGCTAAAGAAAAACTTAATTTTATAATTTAACCTTCTAAATTACCTTTTTTCTATTTCCATGTTAAATTATTATTAATACTCTCAAAACTCCAGCTTGTATATTAACCATCAATTTAAAATGTAATAAAATCCATTTTATAAGTTTAAACTACTTACATAATTTTATTTTCTTATACTATTTTATGTTTAAATGACCATTTATTATATGCAAATTCAATTATCTAAATTAAACGATCATCACTTCCTACCATCAATATATTTCCATTTTCACAAAAACTTAAAGCTTATATAATTCTTGTATTATTTTTAAAACTTGAATCTTAAACCCATTATCCATCTTTTTAAATATCCTATTTCCAAATTATTAATTCTTCACTACCTGATGCAAAATAATTCTGATTACCATAACATAATTAAATACAATTAACTGCTAAAGAATGACCTTCTAAAGTTTAATATAAATCCCATATTTTAGCATTCTTTTTTTTTACCCAAATTTTAATAGTTGAATCAACACTACCAGTAAATAAAACATCTTCATCATTAAAAAATAATGTTTTTACCTCTCTATTATGACCTTTGAGTAAACAACTTTTTCTCAAGACTCCTCCATCAATTTCCCAAATTTAAGCATAACAATCAGACTCTATTTTATTACTACCTATAGCTAAAAATGATCCAGTATTATTCATTTGAATATCATAAACTTAAACTGTCTCATCAAAATCTTATTCAACTTATTTATCAAATTAATAAACTTCAATTGCTTTTGATGGTGGATTAAAGAGTATAAATGCCTCTTATTTTAAAATAGTATTAACTTCATTATTTGCCTTTATCAGAATATTCAAAGCTTCATTACAATTCTCTTCTTGTAATATTTCTTTCTCTAGCATACTTTTCATTTACTTTATCTTTTATTCTTCTATATCATTATTTTTTAGGTATTAAAATAGTCCCATTAAATTCTAATAATTTAAATTCTTTAAATAATTCTAAATCTGATAATTCATGCTTTATTTATTTTTTAATTTTCTTTCAATATCTTTTAATTCGTTTTCTATCTTTGGTATTTATTCAGCTATTTTTCTAGCAACAATTAAATTTAAATTTGTAATTCTGAATTTATTTATAAACATATTTATCTGATTATTGAATTTATTTAAGAACTCTTCCAAAACAACTAATTTAAGTTAATTTTGTTCAGAATAATTACATTAATTACATATCAATTATTTATCATCCTGAATAAATTTTGCTAGATTTAAATTTTCTCTAGGTAATTAATGTTTCGGACATTTCATTTAATCTGTTTGTAACAAATTTTGCATATTTTTATATATAAATTAAAATAATAATCTCCCAAATATATAAATTAATATAAATATTATTCTATTTTATACAATATTATGAAAACTACATCATATTTTAATAATATTAATAATCAATATCTTTCTTCTTCATTTTGATAAATTAATAATTGATTATTTGATATTATTGCAAGATAATTTCCATCCTATGAAAAAAATAATTTATCCCCTTGGAAAGGAATCCTCTATTTAGACTTTGAGATTATATTCTCTCCTATCATATGAATATATGTAGATCCCTATTAAGTTGGAGATAAAGCTAATAATTTCTTCTAAAAACAAAAACCTGCTGCATAATTGTTAATTTATTAACTCGAATATGTTTCAGAAACCTAATAATCAGATAATTCATTATCATATTGATAGTAATTAAAATATCCATTTTTTTTTACTACAATTAGATCTTTGTTATTAAAGAAATTTATTAATATAGCTTAATGTTACATTTAATGTCTCTAAATCCATTTTTGACCATAATATTCAAAAATCTTAAATGAATAATCATGATATCCTACAGCTAATTAATTATCTTCTAAATTAAAACTTAAAGATAATATCTTCTATTCTTAATTAGAAGTTTCAGTATCATTAGTCCATTATCCATTTGTTTTTTTCCAAAAACATAAATAATCACCTCCTGATGCTAAAATATTCTCAGAATGATTCAATTAAATAACATTACCAGGAGATTTTAATTCTATTAGCTCTTAATTCAAACCCCACTTATTTTATTCTATTTATTTCCAGAATCTTATTTTTTTATCTTAACATGCTGTAATGAAATTATCATTTTATGAAGTAAAGCAAATAGATTTCACATCTCCTTCATGAAGATCTAAATTTTAAGTAAGAGTAAAAATGTTATTCTATAATGTATATACCTATGCATAACAATTTTTATCAGGTATTAAATTACTTGAAATTACAAAAATATTACCACTTTTATTAAATTTTATGTCATGTATCAATTATTATTAACCAATATTATTTGTATAAGTATTTACGTAATTAATATTAACATTATTAAATTATTAATTAATTAACATTGATTAAGATTATTCTTATGATTATGATTATTCTTACTATATATATGATTATGATAATGATTATTATTATTAATATTATTATTATTATTATTATTATTATTATTATTATTATTATTATTATTATTATTATTATTATTATTATTATTATTATAATTATTAACTTTATTAAGTTTCACCTTAATTCATAAGTTATTTTAAGTTATGAATCATTTATTCAAATTTCCTAAAATCTATTTCCTAAACTAATTCTTATAAGACTTAATTGAATTAGGAAGTATTTTCTGCATTTAATTAGATTGCAGTTTAATTCTACATGATTAAACAACTAAGATCATCACTCATTTCTTTGATTATCTCTCTAGATAATGCATTCTTCGTTTATAAGAATTTATCTAAGGAATTGTTTGGCTTAATAAGGAATTTTTATTAAATAATTAATAATTGACTTTCTAATTATTGTTCAATTGAATTTAAATGTTATTTCAATTCTTTTGTTAGATTACAGATAATTTCAAATTAATTTTTTATATCATTTTCCTCTTTTTTAAGATTATCTAAAAATCCAAAAACTTCATTTTTATTATATATATTTTCACAATTAGTATTAAAATCACATTTTTCACATAAAAGTCTTTTTTGATTATTAATTAATGGGTGTGTTAAATTTATAAATTCAATCCTCTTTTTATGATCAATACATTAGATAGACTCAAAAATCAAACTAATTGAGCTTGACATTTTTTATTTAATTTTAAATATATTAATAATAAAAAATTAAAATATTTATAAAAACAAATAATGCATAAATCATATAGATTAAATATAATTAAAAATATCATTTAAATTTTCTAAGATTTCTTTTCTTAATTCATTTGTTTCATTAGCTTCAATTAATTCTGTGTAAAATTTTTAAAAGTTCTTGTTTTTAATAATTTCTTTTAATTCATCTTTTAAATGATGCTTATTTTCATTAATCAAAATAGTTTATTATTATATACATTTAGGCCATTTAATTATTTTATCTACCTATAAATTTACTAGTTATTCTCTTAATGGTATTTATTAATCCTTTTTTAGATTTTTTGCTAATAATCTAAATAAAAATCGAATATATTATTAATTTTTATGTAATTCTTCTTAAGTTGTTTTAATGCAATTAATAGTAAATTTATAATTATAGAATTGAACAATTGTAAGTAGAGTTGGAAAAGGAACTTTGTATAAATTCATCTAATTAATAAAGTATTTAAAAATATTAACATATTTATAATCTTTAGGACTCCAAACAGTTTTCTTAATTTCTTATTAAAATATTTTATATTCTTCATTATCATCATCTAAATCACTTCCATCATTATAATTTTACATCATTAATATTTATTCATCATCTATTTTATTATTTTAAGAAGTTAAAGTAAAGACTTTAATTTCTGATAACAATTAAACTATAAGAATGTAATTAATTTAAGTTTTATTAAACTTTTCATTATCAGGATATTATTAACTATTTATTTCTGATTTATAAAGTAATTTTAGTCTAGAAATTAATCCTTTAAATTGTTAATTATCATAAATAATGATTAACTTATCTCTAAATTCATTTAATTTCTTAAATAGTAATTATAATTAAGTTAGAATAACTTCATCAATAGTTATAGATTTTACAAATCTAAAAAAAGTATATATTTCATGAATGTAGTATTCTTAATACTCTTTATGTTATTATTCACTTTACATATTATCAGGAATATTTAATATATGTACAACATCTTGAAGTTCTGGTAATTTCATCAATTAGTTTAAAAAATGAGGATTAAAATGACATATGATTTATCTATATTTGATATTGAATTAATCATATTTTGATTTATATCCTAAATTTAATAATAAATCAGGTATTATTATTTCTTTTTGATTAGCAAAATAGAGTAATATTTTCATCAATTCATAAATAATAAATGGTTATTTGATTTATCTATTTCTATTATTTTACAATACAATTAAGTGATTTTATATTGATTCATATAAATATTCCATTTTTAAATGAATAATTTCATTTAATCCTTTAAATTGTTTCTACTATTATTTTTGATATAAATTTCTAATCCAATAATAATCATTAATCTTCATAATTTATAAATTAATTATTTAATGCATGTTTTATGTTAATAATTCAATAGATTCAAGGATAATCTATTAATCATTAATATTTTAATTGATTTCTAATTTACTATCAAATTAAAAACTTGCAATATTTATATATTAATGATGAAATTGAGCTTCAATAAGATGTTTTTGTAATTTCTCACAATAAATTATTTCAAATTGATTCATATCATTAAATTCTATAAATTAGAAAATCTTTGGAAATGGTTTTCTCTCTAATATCAAATCAATCATTTCTTATCTTATATTTTCAATTTTCATTTATTCATTCATAATACTTAAAATATTTTGTTATTTAACATCTTCAAAACTATAATTATGCTTCTAAATCTTCTAAATCTAGTTTTTAATATTCATTAATGGATAACTACAATTCTTAAATATACTATTATCTATTTTATGACACATTTTATAAACTGATTGAAATTTATGAGTCTGTAATATTTCATTAATCAAAAGTTGACGATTTGGTGACAAATTACTCTATTTTTCTTCAATGTCCATATAATAATGTAGTACTAAATATATTAATCAGTTCCTGTATATATTTGTAAAATTAAATAATTGCAATATTATAATAATCAATTTCTTTTTTAAGGCTTACGAGACTAAATAGGTTCTACTTCATCTTCAGTCTCAATATTTTCAACTAATTCTTTAATTTATTTTTCAATTTCAGCACATTACTTTTCAAATGATTTTTGATTAATTCTTAAATAATCAAGAATTTCTTCAGTTAAATTTGCAGAGCTTACTTGTCCTACTTGTTTCTCAACTCTAATGCATTCAGGTGGATAAATTCTTGGTTCTTCTTATTAATCATATTCAAATTATACATAACTCAAAAATTACATCTAAATTTTACTTATTTTTTTATTCCTTTTGGATTTGATTATTATTTTCCTGAACTAGCTAATGAACTTCTGATTTCAGATAATAATTAAAGAGAATTTTATAGAACAGGACTTTTGTAAGACATTATGTTATTTTGAAATAAATTAATAATAATTATTTAATTTGAATTCAAAAATGAACTCAAAAATTCTATAAATTTGTAGATGAATTCTAAAACTCTAATAATCTCTAAGAATAAACCTAAAGAGATTTTTTTTTAAGCATAATCTTTCCCATTTTAAAAAACCTAAATTATTAGATATTTTCAGATATATTTTAACAATTAAAAATAATACCAATAGTAAAATTTATATATTATTAAACAATGATATTTAATTATATTCTGATTTCTAGAGATGTTTAATCTATTTTACAAACACATTATTTTTATTTATTAAAATTAATAACATTTTTATGATAACTAAATATAAAATAACTTTATTAATAACAATTTTAGATCTTTTTATTTTGAATATATATATGATTTTTTCTATTTTTTAAATAATAATTATATTTAATGATGAAATAATGATCTATTCTATAATAATTATTAATCAATAAAATATTCTATACTAATTTATCATATATTTTCAATAATCTTTTAAATGTTGTTTATTATTAATTAGAATAGTTATTTGAAATTAAGATAGAAGATATTTTATAATGGAATCAAATTTATAAAATTATCATTCATTCAATCTTATAGAAATTGCTAAAAATAAATCTAAAATCTTTTTCTATATGTATCACTATCTACACAACTAATCTATTAATCTGGTTTATGCATTCCAAACCAGGTTTTAAATTTATTTTCTAACTTTTTGGTACTATTATATTCTTAATAATAATCAATAATCCCAATTATTGTTCCAACATTATTACTTAATTTTATTAGTCTATTTCCTTATTGGCATTAATTGATGTATCCAGTAATAATCATAAGAGAATAATCCATTGTATTGGCTTCTGCAAGAATATCACTTTCTTATTTTATTTAATTCATTAAATCTAATTTCTTTTCATTTGAGAAATCTTAAAAGAATCTTATTTTTTTGAAATCTTCATCTTTCCCTTTCAATAAAGGTATTGTTTAAGCTTTAGTTTACAATAATTGTTATTGCTACTGAAACTGTTCATCAAAATTTTTTGTAATTCTACTACTTTATGCTCCCTTTAAGTCGTATATGCTGATTATTTAACTGTTTTACAATTTATGTTCATAAAATAAATTTTCCATCAAGACGAAATATGATTTATTTTCTCTATCTTCTAATTTATATATTCCAAAAGTTCTTGCTAACAAACAATTCTTGTTAGCTATTATTTTGAAATAATATTAGTGAAATGTATTTTTAAAATACCTGTATTGAGTTCCAGACACAACTTTTAAAATATACTTATGATTTAAAGTAAATGCAAACTCTGATTACAAGTTCCTGCCCATATTAAATAATTAAGGGGTCTCAAAATCTAATTGTAATAATGAATCAATAATATCTTCTCTATCAATCAATTAACGAAATTGAGCATGAAATAATGAAACAAGTAATTAAGTACTGCTTTATATTGTAACATGTTATTCTTGTATTTGTTATTCAACACTATATAACTACTAAAGAAGACTAGTAATTTTCTCCCAAGAAGTTTTCTTCACTTTATCCATTTATATAAATTATTATGAAAGAACTTAAATGTTAAAATATATATAAGAGATATAAATTCGGTAATCAACCAATTTTATTACAACTAATTATTTCTGTATGATATATATTATACTTATTATTCGATATTTTATATCTAATAATAAATAAATACATAAACTAAGCTTCCAATATAATAAAATCTGCAATCTTTATTATGATTTGCAATAAATCAAATTTTAGAATTAATATATAAAATTAGGAACTTTTATCATTCCAATAGAAAATACAAAATTAGACACTCTAAATTTATCAAATATTTTAAATTAGTTATAATTTAAGTAGGAATTGACTTTTCCATTGTCATAATAGTCATAGAATTTATTATAAAGTCATTTTTCATTGATTAAAATCAGAAATATTTAAAATATCTCTATAATCTTGTAATTTGGAATCTATATTAATTTTAGTTTGTATATTATTTATTTTTTTAAGTTTATAAAGAATAGAAGTTCCATAATATAATATATATTTACTTCAAAAATCAACTATTGTCTAATGTAAGTTTAGATTAGAAGATTTAAAAAAAAAAAGTCTTTAGTTGATATAAAATTATATTATTTTTAGATATTTAATTTAAAATAATTCTTATTAGTGCGAATCAAAATTGCATTTCTTCACTATATAAATTATTTTATTTTGATTGATAATTAATAATTAAAATTATTTATAAACTAAATTATGGTACTTTTATGATGAACCTTCATGCACCCCTCTTATTAAGATGATGATATCATTAAATATACCCATTTCTGATTAACCATTATATATAATTTATAAAATTGATAAATATTTAGAATACTTATCAATGGGCTAGAGTTTTAGGTAATTTATTCCAAAAATGCTAGTATTTTAGTTATTAGTATTTTGCCAATAAATCATGATTATAGATTTTACTACTTTTTATATAAGAATCACTTTCTGTAACCATGGTCTCAATTGTCTTAGGCATATATGAATTTAATTATTCATTCTGAGCCTCATATTTTTTCTAAAATAAAATTAATCTATTTTACATGAATATCATCAACTATTCGTTACATCTATTTGATTTGTTGATTATGTTTTACTGCCAGTCTTCCCAATCTAATTGCATAAGTCTCTCTTTATTCATCTGAAAATTTCATATTAAAAAAATTTTTTTTGAGTTTATTGTTTACATAAGGATTATCTTGTAAGATATCCTTATATTAATATTTAAAGCATTCAAGTTCTTCATTTAACTTTTTTTATTTTTGTTTCATTTTTTCTTTCATTGATTGTTTTACATAATAATCTAATTCTTTCGTTAAAGAAATTTATCTGCTTCTTTAAGGTATTTTTATAGTCTATAAATTGATTTTTGGATTATCTTAAGATAATTATCTTGGTTTCAATTATTTTTTTTGTTTTAATTCTTGTAAAATAATGGCTGATTCAGGTGTGAAGTAAATCTTATTATCTTCCATCAAAGAATAATATGACAATATTTTTGATATAATAAATTTGTATTAACAAAATACTTATTCAATCATTTTAAGTTCTAAGTTTCGGTTTTGCTAATCTCTATATTAATGATTTTTGCTTATCAGATTTAATATATAATTAAGCCTACTTTAAAGGAGGTAATTTGTAAGGATATTGAGGACTCAAGACTTGAGAATCATATTTTCTTAATTGAAATGAAAAATCAGGAGAAAAATATGCTTTATCTTATACATTTCGAATCACATATGTATCTCTTCCTGTTCCATCACTAATATAAAACTGTCTTCTTTCAGGTTTAAAATGAGTTTTTTAAGGAGAATATGTACCATAAGCCCCTTATATTTTTTAGAATAACAATTACAGTTTTATAGTGATGGCGTTTTTTATAATTTTAGATTGCCAGGATAGAAACCTCCATTATCATTAAAGATGTAAGAATCTCTTCCTGTTCCATCCTAAGAATACAATTTAGCCATAGATTGATTCATAATGAATAATTTTATTGATCTTTTATATAAATTATTAATAAATATTGATTTTCTTTATATTTTTCATACTCTAACTTATTATGCTACTATAGTATAGGCTTGAGTTATGATTTTAACTTCATTTTCTCTTTTTGAAGATCTAAGATTATAATTAGATTAAACAATTTCTCTTTCGTTTCTATATTATTAAAGTAAATCTTAAGCTATAGGTAAATCTTTTTAAATTTAATTTCTAGATTTTGTAGAGAGAACCTTAAAATAAAAAATAATTAAAACATTTTCTTCATTTCTTCTTTTAAGAGTTACTAAAGTTCTTGAATAATCTGCACTTAATCTTTCTCTTACTTCTGTAACTTCTTTTAGGGTTACTTAATAAGTTTAAGTAACTTTAGCTTCATATTCATCAGCACCAGCATTTTCCTAGATTCTTTAATCTCTGATATTTTCAAGTAATTAAATAATTCTAGTAACAGTTGGTACATCAAACCTAAATCATTACAAATATTACTTCGTAGTTACAGCCACTAATGCAGTTAAGGGATGATTAGGTCCTAAAGAATTTCTAAGTTCATCAACATATTATTTTGTATGTTATTATGATAGTATAGTTGTTTTATTTTACTCTGCAAATACTGCTTATTGTAATTTGGCAATCATTTCATTTAATCCATCAATCGATTTAATATTATTAGTAGTTCTTTACTAATTATATATTAATATGATTACTTTCAGAGTTTCTATTTCACTTTTATATTAATTTCTAATTTCCTCTTCTTTAGAGTTTAATGTGCTTAATTATTTCTCTTATGATTATTATGTACCAATAAGTTTGCTAATATCTTCATTTAATTCGCCAATTTATTAGTTTAGTCTTTATAATTCTTTTGCGAGTTTCTCTGTTTATATTTCTAAGATTTCAATTTCAACATTCAATTGTCCAATTTTCTTAGGTAATAATATTATATTATATATACTTTTGCGTATTCTTAATCCTCTACACTTTAATCAACAATTAATTAGTCTCTAATACCTTTAATTTCTTTAAGTACTTCCTCAACATAAGAACTTTATAACATTTTTAGCTCAATAAGACCTGCTAATTGCTTTGAAAAATCATTTTTTAATGCCATTTTATCCATTTATGCCATAACTAAATCTACTTTCCCTTATAATTGTGTTTAGATGGTTAAAGTAATAAGGATAGATAAGAAGGTAAATTATTTCATTAAAAACGGTATAATTAAAATATTATTATTTTATAATCATTGAAATTTATATGAAACATTCAATCTGTATCAATTTTTTAATTGCATAGTTAATTTAAATAGAATATTAGTAATCTATGATAATTACTTAAATATTAAAATGACAATAGCATTTATTAAATAAATTAAATTATATATTCTTATATTTGAAGACATGAAATCATTCTAATTATTGTTTTTAATAATAAAATACTTAAATATTTAACTTCTTTAAAATTTACTTAAATTTTCTATTTATTTATTATGATTATTCAATTACAAATAAATATTATATAGTTTCTACATTTTATAATTGAATTTAAAAGTTTGTAATTCCAAAAATATATAGAATATTAATTCATTATTCAGTATCTTCTGTTTAAGGTACTATACTAGTTTTACTGGCTCTCAATAATGGAGCATTTACAGAAGAATTTCTAGATGATAATTTGATTTCTTTTTAGAATGAAGTCTAATTCCAACTTAAAAATCCAAATTCTTTCTTAATTAATTCAACAGATTATTCCATAACTTCTTTTGGTCTTATAGAATTATGAGTTCCATCAAAACTTAGTAATGTTTTCTTCCCTCTAAAATTTTCCATCAGTAAAGAAGCATGTTTATTCTATATCAATTCATCTTGTTTTGCTTATAAAAAAATTATCAATAAATCATTTTGTAATGCTATATAAAATATTAGTATACTTTAGACTATTGAAAGTAAGTTAAGATCATCCAAATTAAAATTAGCTTCCTTTTAGATTTTAGATTTAATAAAACACCAACAACAATTGAAGAAACATTTAGGTATATGATATCTAGATTTAGCCAAATCTTAGCATAACATATAAAAATTTGAAAAGGGGCTGTCACAAACAAGCACTCTAATATTAGGATTTTCTCTTGCCGCCAGTATAGCTGTAGCTGAGCCCATTGATCTACCCCACAATCCAATTGATGTTATATTACTCATTTTTAGTCGATAACATGAATACTTTTTCTTCTCTCAAATAATTATACAGACACTAAACATCTTAAGATTCCCAATAACCCAAGGATATATATTCTCCTTATGACTATCCAGATCCTTATTTATTATAGTAATTATATACCAGATAAATCAATTCCACATACTGAAATATAGGATGGAATCACATAATCAATAATTGAATGCGATTCTATTCTACTTCCTGAATTTCCATGAAGATAAATGATGCAAGGATGTGGCTTATCCATTAATTTAATTGGTTCAAATAAACTAATATATTTCTAAATATAACCTGCATTGCAATATGAGATTACGATTATTTTTTATTGTAAAGTCAAATCTTTTGACTATAATACCTTGAACCATAAAAGATTCACTTCCAAGGCCACTAAGTTAATAGGAATATCTTTGAGGCCTGATTATAGGTTTCCATAATTTTTCATTCCATTTATGCTCTTCCTATTTCATTAATTAATGATTTAACAATTAGAAGAATTATTTTCAGAAACCCCTTAATATAACTAATTGTATTGGATATTAGGCCAATACAACAACACTTATGTGATTGGTCCTAACGGGGTTGGGAAAACAACTGCAGTTCATTTTTGTTTAGATAAACTCAAAATACCATATAGAAGGATTAATATGATGTAGGTAAAAATTATTAGTATTATTTAGTGTTTGACAAAATAAAGTTTATTATAAGCAATTGTTAATGAGATTAGTGAATTATGGAATCAAGAATTAACAAAAATAAGCAAATTTAGTGAACTAATTATTAGATTAAACACAATAATATCAACATCTAATTAAAAGAATAGACGGTATAATTTATCATTCATAATTAGGGCATATATAATTATTGATGCTCCATAATATCCTTAAATTGAATTTATTTATTTGTAAAAATTATTCGCGCTTTCAGAAATTAAATCCAAAACTTGCTCAGTTAATTTTATATTTATATGTAATCAACTACCAAACATTATTGAAATGCCTTTGGGAATTACCATGATCTTTCAATCATTTGATGAAGAATTATAGATAAGAATTATATATGCTCACATTATGTACAGAGCAATTATGCTTGAGGATTATTAGGTATAAAAATAAGATAATGTTCGAGCATTTGCAGGATAAGTAGCAAAAGATGTTTTCGTTACATTTTCTATAATCACAACTAATTTAAATAATTTAATTTAAATTGCTGTAGGTTTATTTGAAAATTTTATTTATTAATGTGTAAATTTAACAAATGAGGAATAAACATAGATAAGATAGCAATATTTAATTGCAAGAAAATTATTATTTGAAAATCCTTTTTTATAAATAAATTCAAAAGAATTTAAAGATCTAATAGAAGAAGTTGAATCATAAAAAAATCCACAATAAAAATCCATATAGGAATCTAAAAAATAATAGGCAGAAACTAAAACAGCTATTTAAACATTAGAAATTTCAAAAATAAAATTACCAAAATTGCCTTCTTTGATCCTTTTATCTTCTTATTATGCTTCTAGAAATCCTGAAAAAACAGATGGAACTATATTTAGAGATCTTAAAAAAAATAAAAGGTAATCCAAAGTTAAAGAATAGTTAAAAGTTAAATAAAAAGTATCTCTTTATAGATTAATCGCCATTACATAATCCTTAATGTCAATTAATGACATCAAGGAATTTTCAATAGAGAAATAACAATTCAATTAATCAGTATAATTCTATTAATAAATATAATTATTAAGTGATCAAGGATTTATCAAAATTCACCATAAAAAAGATGATATTTTGAACAAAATAAAATTAGAATGTTAAATAACTGAAAAATAGGCATTCGATCTTGCTGCTGAACTTAACATTTAATTCAATGAATTTTTATCTGCATTTTGATTGTTTATCATGTTTATCTGATCAACAATATATATAAAAATTATTTAATTAAAATTATATACAAAAAAAATGACTTTTTTATATCAGAAATTATAAATGATTCCTAAACTTAATAAGATTTTATTAACTAAATATTGGAATATAGATTCTATTTAAAATAAGTATGATTTATTTAAGAGTCTTTTAGAAAATGAAATGATTCTTATTAGAGCTAGTAGGAAATACAAAATTAATTAAAAATAAATATCTTTTGAATATTCAGAAAAAAAAGAATATTGTTAGTTATAAGCAAGGAAAGAAAAGAAACAAAAGGAATAATAATTTAATTACATTTTAAAAGACAGAGATATAAAGGATGAAGAAGTATATAAAGAAATATATAAAATAATAAGTATTTAGTTGAAAATCTAATAAGAATGAATAAATAAATTCACTCTATATTCTTTGAAAATAGAAACGATTGATATATTATAAATTTATTTAATAAATGCATATTTCTAAAGACAAACGAATGAGAGTGATGCTGACAATTTTGTCTGTTGTTGATTTTGGATATTGTTTTGATAATATTACATATCTTTCTGTGATACTTTCTTGCATACTTGTTTTGTGTAGTATTGGTACTTATATTATACAATATTAGTCAGTGTTTTATTTGCGAATAACAAAATTTTATCACAAATTATAATCACTATGTATTACGGAAAGGAATTAATATTATATGGGCCAACACCTACATGGCCAGTATTATATCTTTACAAACTGATTGGGTCTCAAAACTACATTTTTTTATTATTATTTTCGAATCAAATTGTATTCAATTAACTTGATTCGTTATGGATTTATAGTATCAAAAGGAAGGATCATCATAGCATTTAATTAATCTTGATATTATTATTAGAAGGTTATTCCTTTTATCTCAAATAAAAATCATATTATTTTTGCAAAAACTTGTTGATAAAGTAGTTTAAGTAGGAATGCGTGCTTTAAATCTATGATTTGAATTAAAGAAATATTTATGAAAATACACATTAGCTACCAATAACAAATAGGCTTTAAACAGAAAATACTTTAATAGGAAGTCCAAGAGGTGATAAAATTAATTTAATTCAAGAGGATAAAGACATTCATTATAAATTATTTTTGAATAATGAACCAGCTTTTTCAATAGACTCTAATCAATAACCTTAATAATAATAATTAATTTTTAAATCAACTAAAGAATTACTATAATTTTTATCTAAAAATAATAATTATTTTATAATAGCTATTTATAATGATCCACTTTTAAATGTCAAATTTTAATATTAAGTAAAGTATTTTTCAATAAACAATTTACAAATTCTTGCCTTTTTAAAGATAGATAGTGGTTAATTTGCCAGATAAAATCATAAGATATTAAAATACAAATAAAATCTCATTAATATTTTTAATCATAAACTAAAAACTCCCCTTAATAGTGCTATCGGACATCTTATTACAGCCTAAGAGGACGATAAGGTAATTGGAGAAATTAAAAAGATGTATTTGTAACCAGCCCTATTGAATTGTAGGTTATAATTATATTTAGTTTAAGATATTTTGGATTATTTATCAATTGAAATTGAATAATTGCCTCTGATGAACAATAAAACTAATTTAAAAACCTTATTATCAGAAATTTACGATCTAATTGAATATTAATGTAAACTAAAAAATATTGATATTTTATTTACTATTAATAATGAAAACTTTAAAAAAGTAGATAATAAATAATTATTTATATATACAGATTCAAACAAATTAATGAGAGTATTGTTAAATATTTTAAATAATTCTTATAGATATACAGAGGAAGGAGGTTGTATCACCTTAGAAATTAAATTAGATTAAATGAATAAGATTACTTATTTTTCTATAACTGACAATGGATAAGGAATTGAAGAAGAATAAATTAAAAAATTAAATTGTTAATTGAAATCTTTCGACAGCATTACTTTTAACAAGTTAAATAAATAATAAGATAAGAATCCTAATATAAAATTGGGATTAAGTCTCTTTCTAACTAATAAACTTATTAAATTATTAAGTGGGGATAACAGTTGTTTATAATTAAGAATATCAAATAATCAATTATTATTTACATTTTCAATCAATGATATTCAAGAAATCCAATCAGCTAGTTCACTTGGAAAATCTAAACATAATAGTTTTGTAAAATAAAAATCATTAAGAGGCTTAAATAACAAATTTAATAGCTAATCCAGTCCTAGAATTTCCAAATTTAAATAAAATTCATAAAGATAAATTGATATTAAGAATTATAATTCCTTAAGATTGATTTATTAGTGTGATATTCATAATGAACCCTAACCTTAGGTTCCACATAAGATTACTATGCATTAAAACAATCAAAAATTTCATCATCAAAGATAAAGAATTAAAACGATAAGAAAATCTTTAGAATCTTAATTTAGATCTAGAGCAACTAGTTTTAGAACTCATAAGATTGAACAAATAATTAGATCAGAATAAGTTTAATAACAATAACAATATATTTAAAATGATGAATATATATTAATAGTTGATGATGAACCTTTTAATCATGAAACTTTATGTATGATGCTAAAAAATATGGGATTTAAAAATTTCTTAAAAGCCTTTAATGGTTAGCAGTGTGTGGATGTGGTTTTATAAAATCATAATAAAATATATATGATTATGATGGATATTGATATGCCAATAATGAATGGAATTGATACAACAAAATAATTAGAAAGATTGATAAGCAATAATAAAATATGTTATATTCCAATTATTGGATGCACAGCACATGAAGACTATGAATCTCATCTATAATGCTTTGATGCTGGTATGATACATGTTGTTGTTAAACCTGTATTTATTAAATCAATCTAAGAAGCACTTAATAAAGTCTCTGAACTTAAATCAAATGAAACTATTAAAGAAGACTCATCCTCTTATGTTATCAATAAAATACAATCTTAATCTTTGAATTTTCAATGATTATTATATTATTCTTATATTACTATAATGTATTAGCTTAAAATTTAAAAAATTTTCAATAAATTATTGATTTATTTTCATTTACTTTTAACATGATAGATTACAATAAATTGGTTATTTATTATTACTTTTATATCTATGAGAATGAAATTCTGTAGGAATCAAAAATATTTTATCAATATGAACAAGTTTGATATTATATTACTCGAAGTAAATTTAAAGAAACGATAAATGAATGGATAGATAATTTAGAGGATCCCTTCATTATAGAATTTTATAGTTGAAAACTAATAAAACCAGTTTACAGTATTTTTGATTGTTTTGAGTTTATACTTTTTAGGTTAATAATAACATTTACATTAGATTAAGGTTCTTCAATTATATGATTGAAATAATTAACTTTACAAAAAGCATATTATTTGAAAAGCTTCTAACATTTTAAAAAGAATATCCAAATGCTTCTTATAATACTTTTCAATAGAATCAAGTCTACTCAAAATTTATTGTACAACAATCTCTTTAGATTATTATTTAGTTAATAATTATAAACTGTGTTAAAAGAAATAATAGTTAATTTGAAAATGAAATTATAAATTATAGCTTTTATGAAATAAAAAAGAAACAATATATATATATAATTTTAATTATGAATAACTACTTTGATATAATAAAACAATTATAATAAGCTATTGAATTATGTACAAGAGAAAATGTAGAATTAAGAGAATAGATAATAATGATGGAGACGCAATAAGACCCTTAAAAAAATCTAAAAATTAGTAATTTGCAAAAGATGATCATATAGTAATAACAATAAATATCTGAATTAAAATAATCAATGTTAAAACGCAATCAATTGAAGAAAGATAACTATTGTAATGAGGACGATAAATTTTTAATTGAATAAATGAAAAAGAAATTTGAAGAAAAAAGCAATGAACTAAAAAGATATTAAGAACTGAATGAAAAATCTCGATAAAATTTAAAGAAAACTCAATAGCAAGTACTAGAATTAAAAGAATAAATCAATTAATAATGTTAATTGAATGCATAAGAATAATAAAAAGTAACAAAGATGGAACTATTAATAAAAAATGCTAGATAATAAGAATTTGTATCATTATAATATATATTAGAAATAGAGAAATTAAACTCATAAATATAATAATTAGAATAAGAATAAAAAAGCTTATCTAGAATAAGCCATTGAAATGATTATTATTGTATAAAATTATTCATTAAAAAACATGCTACAAATAACAGATAGAGAATTATAATTCGTTATTTTCATTCGATAAGTTAATTTATTTATTTTTAATAAATTAAAACATGATTACTCTAATATGGTTAGTGCATTTTGATAAAAGATGGCTATGTTTTAATTGTCCAATAATTTAATCAATGTGGTATTCTAAAATTACACTGTAGGTTATTTGGAACTATATATTGCTTTTTATTAGCTGCAATTGATTTGTACTCGATATATTTTCATTAGTTATGCCCATATGCATTTAAGCATTTGCTAATAAATATATTTATCCTATTAATTTTGGCAGGGTTTTCTTACATAATTTATGCTAAAACTTTATTTAAATAAGTAATAAAAAACGCATTATAATTATTTTAGGAAAAAATGCAAAAATATCAAAATCGATAAGATATTGCAATTAGATTAAATCACTGGACAATTAGAAAAGTTTTACTTTCTAAGATTGGATTTGCTGTATTTGTTATAGGATTTATTTAAAATATATGGGCTTTAGAAACATTTCTACATTTGTAGGAGTGCAAAAATTGTGAGGGTATGTAACCAAATATTCTAAAATTAAATTTATTGTTAACTATCATAGCATCCATACCAATAGCATTTATGATAATCTGTTACGTTTTGATAAAATCTGTTGCTTTAATCACTAGCTCTTTATTTCCACATACATACATAAAAATAAAGAAAATATTTTGTAATTGATATTCATATTTACCTAATATTTATTGAAAAAAATTTAAGTAACATTTTTATATACTAAAACTGAAAAATGATTAATAATTTTCTTCTTTAAAGCAATAATAACAATTATTGCATCTCTTCTAAGATAGAAGCATCTGATTTTCTTTTAGTTTTTATTTATTCTTAAAATACTTGTGTTTAATTTGATAATCATAGTTAATCAGTTATCTCCTATTTTTATGTATAGTAATTATTCAAATTAAAATCGATGCAAATGGATTGTTACAAATAAAATGTTAATAATATATTTTTTTTATCATATAAATCATCTATATACAACAACCAAAATTTGTACTCTTTCGATAATAAAGTTTTAATTATTACTTGATAAAAATATTTACTCTAACTATAACATCATTTCATATCCAAATTTTAAATAAATTATATTGTAAAAAATTACCTTTCCTGGCTTTAAGTTCCTTTATATAACAATCTTTATAATATTGATAATTCCATTTGATGCTTTAATTTATCAGATTTAATATTTCAAACATTACAAAATGATTTAATAGATATTTAATCATTTACAGTCTTTGAACGCTAACTTTACTACTGTCAGTTACCTCTGAAAACATAGTTAAACTAGTGATTTCATTCAATATTTACTAACTTATATTACTTTTAAACAATACTATTTTTTTCTTTAATGATCCTCAAAAAATCTAAAATTATAATCATTATTAAATACTCTTACATAATTGTTTTTTAAATTTATTTATT